ATACCCTGTGTATCCGTTGTATTTTCTGGCGATTTCTGCCGTTTTAAAAACTTTACCATCACTGTTGTTCACATCATCTACTTTTATTACGTTGATAAAATCTGTACAGACATCACACCAACCAACTCGCGCGCAAAGTAATAAGACTATATTGAAGGCTTGAAATAATATTGCGATCGATTTTCATCAAGAAATGGGCCAGGAATATTCCTCAATACTGCAAATAATCGTGAAGGCGGATCGCAGAAAAGCGATTGCGTGACGCTCGGTAAGCTGTAAGATGACATGTTATTATATACCTGACGTAAAAACTCTTCAGATTCTTAGTCTGCATTTTGTACCCACTCTGCAGTCTGCAGTCTATATTTTGTATCCGGTCTGCAGTCTGCTGTCTGCATTTTGTACTAACAGGTATCTGTGACACCAATACAGTTTATTTTTGGTTACATTTATTCGCAAAACACACATAATCTACCACAAAATACCTGTGAGTGAGGTAATTTGACATTTTCGTTCTTTCCCACATTAATATTCTTCTCTCCTTTTGTAAGAATGTAGACATCACTCACAATGTTTCAAGTAATCCACCCACCCTACAAAAAAGTAACTCTTGCATGCATACCATGCCTATGTTTTGAAATACGTCTATGCCCTTGGCCAGACTTGAGCGCACTATTTCAGTATACTAGTCCGACACCCGTAGTATCACTACACTTGATTCCAAGGATCCAGTACCATCCAGGTATCCCAGTTACCCTGCTCACAGGGTCTAGTTGAAATTTGCACTCTCGTTACAACTTTGCACTCGTGTTACATAAAAAATGCACTCGTTTTCAGCCAATCAGACGGGCGTCATTTTTTTTTTTTTTAATATTATTAAAAAGTAAAGCGACCGCCTGTCTTCGAAAAAAGTGCAGTCAACAAAAGCAAGTGTTAAAAAGAAAAAAAAATTATTCACGCCAATTTTAAGTGATGAGAAAGTAGACACGGCTGATCATGAACGGGTTCAATACTAAACCTTCTGTGTGTTACACGCTAGAAAGGTATGGTGCCTATTTAAGAATTGTAGTCAAAATGGATAATGCCATTTGTAACGCATGCTTGAGTTATTGACTAACAAAGAGATTAACAATATATTCATATGTAAATTAAAAAATGAAGCACACAACGGGGCACTTGAACGGCCTTCAAAATCTACGTCACGTGAAAAAAAATAAAATACAACAGCTCAGTTTCATTAGCAAAGGCACCAGATTTATCCATGAGAAATAATATTCTTGTATAATGCAAACAAATACCAACACAATACACACAATTACCGGTGAAGTCTCAACATCAGATGGTGTACACTTTGCGTGGTTAATTAAAAAAACAGCAACTACCGTCACAGTTGAATAAGAAACTTGCTCTTACTACGGTCATCGACATTCGCTCTTTAACACACATAAAAACGAAGTCTAAGGATGCCGAAATCACGAGTGAATCAAAGCAGATTCACGCAATCTCGATAAGAATTCATATACATTCACTTTGAGAACGTCTTACTCAGTGTTAATGAACACATAAATACGCCGCCTTCACGGCTAGCTATTGGTTTGTTCACTGAGCCGGAAAAACCAATGATTCAGTAACACACTGAGTGAGATTCCCTTGGGATCATTTGCATTACGCAAGGGTGACCTGCGCATCAACTACAGCGGGCAGCGAAGTGTGTGATGCGATAACACTTTCGATCGAAATGAACCCCTTTCACGACCTTTTCTCAACTACAACTAATCCACTAGTATATTTTCGATAAAGGAAGGCATCTTTCATTCATTATGAATTCGATAATACGCGAAAAAAGATAAAATAACAGGTTTTTGTCGAACTCAGTCACCGCTTCATGCGGACTCAAAGGTTATTGTCATTATGCAAATGAATGCTAGACAGCCTTCCCCGTTCTCCGTGTTGACTGTATTGCTCGGATTTGTCATAGCAAACACATATATTTATGATACCTTAGCAGCAAAGTCAGATTGCTAAACCAAGCATATGACACATTCAAAACATTGCCAAGTCAATGTCAACGTTCGCTTAAAAAGCGTTGTAACTTACCACCAATTGAAGATTTAAAAAAAACCTTGTCTGAAGTAAACATTACGGTGACCACGAGGTTAATGAAAGTGAAAAATACCCCCTGCATTTTTATGATTCACTCACCTACTTGCTCGAACAAGAATGATTCACCTAGTGCGATTTGAACTGTTGGTACATACGTCCGTTCGATTCGTTCATCAACCGCCGATCTTTGAATCAACCGGTAAGTTACTGGCCCCGAAACTCAAGTCGTTCAGTAGTAGATCCAAGTGTAACTACAGGGTATGAATCTCCCGATATATTGTTTTCTTCGTGTGCCGGGAGGTTTCGCCAAAACAAAGAGTTAAAATGTATTCATAAATTTATCCTGTAGTGTTTGAATCCCGTTTACGACTTGACATCATGCAGTTGTCATGCGTGAATTGATGCTAAAAATAGATTGGGTGGATACAAGTCACGTGTAAAACTCTCCAAGCCAATCATTTGCCAGCTTGTTCACAGCAAAAGAATAGAGGTTTTCGAGCTAGTTGATCTCACATGAAACCAAAATTGACTCTCAAAAGGTCATCTTTCATAATCCTTCCACTAGATATAATATTACCATTACTACTAGAAACCGAAAACTGTATATAACCAAATTACATCAGATTCATATCGTAATTGTCAAACAGGTAGTTGAGGAAAATTGGAGCCACTTACTCAACACAAAAATACTAAAATCGCAAAGTTTCAATGGCATCTGTGAGTTTCACGCAGTGTTCCCGACCCTCTAACTGTCTGAACAAATATTTCCTTAAAAATAACCGTCGGGAGACACGGATAAACTTCTTATCAAAATACAAAATTTGTGGAATTCTGAGCTAAAGACGGCTGATTTTCGAAAATCAAGGTTTTTCCTCAGAAATCGTGAGTAATTAGTGCAATATCTGACACAGCTAATTGACAGTTGATAAAACTAACTTAACGTTTCTAATCTAAGAAGTAAACTTCAATTACTTCGAGGCAGTTCGGAGTCAAAAACGTTTGAGAGGAGTCTGGGTGAATTTTGAAAAATGCAAGAAGGCTCGGAAAGCCGGATCATCGCGTCTATTTCGATTCCTCCTTTTCATCTTCAAACGTCTAGGCCGGGTTTCCAGATGACGTGGCGTCTGTTCAAGATACGTCTGTCGTCTGTCTACTATCATAACAGACGAAATTATTTAAATAACCAAACACGTCTATTGATGTAACTCAACAAGTTATGGTCACGAACGTTAGATTACAGTCTTGTTTGCTTGTTAAATTGGCTTTGCCATTGACTTACATCAGTAGCCTCAAGAAAGGGAAAGATACAATTGTTTTTCAAATTCATGTCACGTGCATTCACGTTAGACCTTAAGCAGGAATACCCCACTTGATGTGTAGACAAAACAAGAAGAGGCAATGTGACATGTGACATGTGACACACATCTGTTGAATGAGAGTGACACACAAATATGCGTATACTTCGCAATGGGACATAAAAACAAATTGTCTTAAGCTTTGCTACCTACCATCATGTCACTCGATCGGCCCCTCCACAGCAAAGAGTTAAAGAACAAAGGTGATTACAAAGACCAAACACGGTTTAGCTTTGATGTCAATACTCTTTGTTTCTATGTGGCTTCATAATAATTTGAGGAATATGACCTCCAACCTTCCGTAGTTTTTTAGGTCTTCAGGAGACGAGGTCTCCTGGCCTCAAGCTCCTGGTCTATGAAGGTAAATCGTTGTTTTGTTTTTTCCTTAAATAAATTAATCTCAGAGAATTAATTTTATATTTCTGTAAATTTAGCCTGGTCCCGACCGATGTTTCGGGCGTTATCCCTACGTCACACGTTCTGACGAAAGGCTGACGCTCCAAACGTGATCTTTCAAAATCTTAACGGTGGCCAATTTAAGATATCAATTCAGTTGATAATACTTAATTACCCACTAGAGACGAGACAACCTTCCGCCTACGAAATAAAAATTTGCAGTTTCTTGTTGGGATAGTTTGTCTCGTTTTAAAATGATACTGAAATAGAATTTACACACTTTGATCGATTTTAAATTATGTACTTGACAAATTCGCGCGGGTGAACAAAAGTCCGACAACGACAGAGTTGGGAAAATAATCCGTCTAACCATAGTGAACTTTGCTTTCAAGTTCTTGTCAATAGAATTCAGTTTGGAAAAATCGGTTCAAAATTTGAAGGGATTGCCGATGTGAACAAAACCACATAAATTGGGGAAAACATTAGCTCTATAATGAAACAATGAGCTTAAAGTAAATACGAGGAAGGAAAAACGATGATAACCAAGTCATGATTGATTTTGGTCCTGATATTGGTTCAGGGCGAGGGTGATGTCATGGATCAGGAGGCTGTGCACAAAGAACGATATTAATCAGAAATTTTGGGCTCATTTGTTAAGTGTGAGGTTTGTGGCCTTCGCGTCAGGGCCTCGTCGATTAAGGTCGAGATTTATCGGGATATGATAGGTTCGCTTTTAAATTTCTAATTTAAAGCGTGTTTTTCTTTTTCGCGCTCCTTCACTCACAACGCACACGCCACACAGCTTCCATTCCACCACGTACCATGAACACAACGTCCAAAGTCCAATCAGAACTTACCCAATCATTGCACTACATAAACATTAGGCAATTTTTCACGTGCTTGAATTGTATTCCACCTATCAAATTCCATTTTGCCATATAAGACTTCGCTCTCTCACGTGTCATTTCCCAGCAAACAACCTGCACTTTACCATGTATTCTAATCACATTTTCCAACCCTCTGAAAAAATTAACTTGGAACTAAATGCTACTGATAGTGAACTTTCCACGCAATTCTCCCGCTTTTAACTACCTTGGACTTAACCCAATCGCGTGTCAATTCCTTGTAAAACAACCTGCATTTCATCTCGTATTTCACTCACAGAGGGCAAAGTCCAGATAGGAAACAACAAATCATGGAACCCTCTTTGAAATATTATATTTTTCTCTTGTTCAATGTATTTTCACTTATTCGAGATCACAATATATCTTTGGTTAGGGTCTATTACAGGTACGACAGAGTTTCAGTTTGCTTTTCGTAGTAAAATTCAGCGAGATTATATTTTTGTGGTAACAAACTGTAGACAAAGAATTTAGATTTCCTCTCTGTTAGAGGAACGATAGTAAGCTTAGTCTTTCTTTCAACCGTTATTTGGCCTCGTCACGCAACGCACTCTCTCTCAAACGGCTGCGAAGGAGACAACAGTAAGCGTGGCACCGATTCATTTCATTTTTACTTAGAAGTATTTAGATAATAGAGACAATAGACCACAAAATATATGTGTGAGTTCAGATAAGTTAGGTTTTTTCCTGTCTTTCTGCGATATTTTCGTTCTTTTGAAAGTTATGTTCTTTGTGGCTGTAATGATGAAAAAAAAGAACGCTCGCATGCTATGCATGCCTATGTTTTTCAGTTCCTCAGTAGTTAAGTCTTGTGATCCTCATACCTTAGGTCATAGCAATAGATAACACAAAAATATTTAAAAATAAAAATTGTTACAGCTCTAAAGGCCAGACACCGCGAAGAGGATCCACTAACGGAAAAACAAACAGGAAACGAATAAGACTCCAAGTAAGAGATCATAAACTACAAAACACGACGCGACAAACGCAAGAATTAAGCACAGTTGTATTCCTCTCTTTGAGACCTGCTGCGACATGGAAAAGAGATTGAATTGGCAGATGAGCTGTTCTTCAACTTTGTCGTTAATGTGATACTTCATTTCTGCGTTCATTACTCTGTGAGGAAACGACACACCATAGGTTCACTAGCTCCTGTAACAGAAGAATAGGGCCTGATTTCCTAAAAGTGTTGTTAAAACGTTTTTAATGTAAAGTTTGCTTTTCTGTGATCACTTTGTCCTCATCTAAGCCCCAGGGGTAAGGAGAAGTCCTAAAAGTCAAGCAAACCCTTGACTGGGTGTTGGGTTTGCCTGCCTGCGTTAAATTCTCCCCACCACCTCTCTGCTTTAACAAGACCAAGTAAACAGCAAATATAGAGAAAACGATAATCGCAATAAATGGAATAACGATGGTAGGTATACCGCTGATAGTGGTGATGATGATGATGATTGTATGGACAAGTTTAAAACAAATACGACATCCTCTAAAACACTGTTGTTACTGACCAGGGTAAACTTCACCAGTAAATGTGTTCACTATCCATTCACAGGCAGTCCTGCTCTCCATTCTAAAGCAAAACAGCAGAAAAACCAGAAATCACAAAAGAGCCTCTCTTAGGGACTCACAAAGCTTCTATGACTAGGTAGAAATAACCTTGAGAGATAACTTTATGCCACACCTGCCCTGGTTATTGACCCTACTGCTTGCATACAAATGTGATTCCTGTATGCAACCTGTGACCTGTGGAAAGGGAAGGGGGTACTAATGTGTATGAAATCCTCCCTCTGGTATGGAAGAGTAACAATTTTGGATTATAAAATACTCATCATAGTCTGGTGTAGGGGCCAGTCTATTAAAAATTTATGCCATACCCTTGTACCACAGGTAAATGCTACAGGCAGGCAATAAACGAGCTATTGAAATATGAATCAAAGTAAAAAGTAGAGCAGGTAGCTAGATTGAATAGACAGATGTGCCTCCCTGTGAAAACATCTTCACATTTCAGATGTAGCAAACCTGATAAGTGATGTTCCTAAGCTTATTCCATTGCCATCTCTTTCAATCACACATGATAGAACATCACCATATGGATTAAGTAGATCAATTAGATCCTGAAAAAATGTACACATTAAATTCATTATAAATCCTTTTCATTTTACACATCATTAAAAAGATCAAATAAAAAATTCCTATAATGATCAATATAAGTAACAGAGCATTAATAATAATTACCTGTTCTGTAATGTTTGGAGGAAAATTTTCAATAATGATCACATCACTGCCATCCAATGACTGTAATAAATCTTTCTGCAAAAATAGGCAATATTTTAGAGGATTTTTCTGCAAAAATCTGTTTGACACTGCATGATCACTCAGAAAGTGAGATCATACATGTAGCTTATGAAAATATCCATTGGGTCTCAATTGTAAAAGCAAAGCTTTTGGAGAGAAAGCGAAGGATAGAAGATAATTATTTTAGAATTTATAACGTTGAAGATGCATATGCTTTTAAAAAACAAAGAAGTTTCTATAAAAATCAAAAGAAAAGGTGTGCTGACCTCCTGGAAAAATAAGATGATAATTAAAATCCAATTCAACTTTGAAAAATGTTCACACTTTCAAAGAACATAGTCCCTTCTACCACTCTCAACCAGATTCCCACAGCTGATTTTTCAAATGATATTGGATTTCCCTCTCCATGACTTTGCAAAAGGAGACGGTTTATTTGGACTTTAAAAAATGGATCAAACTCCTAAGTGTAACGAAAAACACTGAAAAGTCTAGAAATGATATATCTAGGGGCAGATAGCAGAAAAATTGCTTCTATTACTTTAGGAAGTGCAGGTGAAGTGTAATTTGGAACTGGATTGTCAACTATTGTTGTGGAGGTTGGCTGTTCTGTATTTTGTTTACTTGATCTTGATTTGGTTGGATAAGCTGCTGATAAGGGAGGGAAGGATTCTAGTTGCTGAAAAAGAAATAAATAGGGGAAAATATTACTTTACATCGAGAAAAGCACGGTCACCATAGATTTCAGTCAATCTTAAATGTTGTAGTACCTACTGCTTTTGAGGTAGTTCCAACTGTGAAGATTAAATCAAATTGTTATAGTTTTAATATTAAAATGATACCAAGTCAAGAATGTTAATTAACCCTTTAACTCCTAAAATCTGACTGTTCATTCTCCCCTCTAGCTGCAACACATTTTGTTGTAAACTAATTACAAGAATTTGGCATTAAATCAAGATAACAACTTCAACCTGAAAAGTTAAAGTATTCTCATTACCTGTTTACTGGATAATGTGTTGATATTTTGGGAAGGAGCTACATGTTTATCACTTCTGGGAGCTTGAGGGTTAGCGAGCAAGTTTATAATTAAAGATAAAATTACCTTCAATAACTATTAAATGGAAATTCAGATTACATTTTTAACCCTTTACACCCTAACATCAGTATTCATATTCTCCATACTGTTCTCTGTATATTTACTAAGGTGCTGATAAAGAGAATTTGTCTAACAGTCAAGAGTTTCCTTAGTTGGTGATCATTTCCTTTAATCTCATGACATTACTGTGTGATTCAGTGGTGATATTGTAAGGAGAAATTAGATGCTAGTCACTCTTAGGGGTTAAAGGGTTAATTATTTTCCTATTTATTTTTTTCCTATCTCCTCTTCCTCCAGACTGTTTAATTACCAAGTTTTAACCATTTCACTGCGCCACGTGCATATTAGTAGCTTTAACTTTTACAAGTTCATACCGCATCAAAAGAGACAGTACTTCACCTTAATAACACTGGTGTCAGCTGTTGCTTTCTTTTCCCCTGGTTTCCTTATAGGGGGTGAATCAGTTAGTGCACGTGCTTTCATTACATTAGCTCTTCCGCGGCCTATTGCAGGCGCCTGAGCCGTGTTTTTGTCCTTTGTTATTTCCAAAGCGGCCTTGGGTAGACTGAGAGAGGCGACATCTTTTGCAGGTTTTCCTCTTCCGTGCCCAACCGCTGTTATTGGTTCTGTTTCCTCAGGCATTTTAGAGGTATGTGCATCGATGTAATATTCTGCGTCCCAAGTCCTCCATCGGGACGCCATCTTGAATGTTTACAACAAATTCATTTAAGTCCAGTCTCCCCCTGCTTTCTCTGCTCAGCAGGTGTTGCCTATTGCGTTACGTGTCACGTAACAACTGAACCACAATAACACCCGAGTTTTGCTTGTTTTTTTGCTTATTTTTTAAATTTTTTTTCGCTTACTTATTTTTCTAAACGATCTAAAATTAGCCTGTAGTGCCTATAAGTTTCAATTTTTGTGAGCAATTCGGCACAATCTATCCGAAACACGTAGAGTTTGAGTTTGAAACGCCTCTTCTGTTTCGATGGCTTTGTGGGTTTTAAGTTAGTGCGTGACACAGAATGTGTATGTCTGAGTATCATTCGTCATTTAACTCCCAGAAGTGATTCCCATGTAATTTCTTCCTATACTATCCATACATTACACAGCAAACCGGTAGTGAGAATACTCAAACTCATCATATACAATTTTTTCAGGTCCTATTTTCAACTACTAGTTCAGTAGTGTTCTTAGAAGCGAGGATCTCTTAAATTCGTTTCTTCACCGCAGTGTAAATATATGAATTTCATATATCGAAAATCATTATCCATCAGATACAATTTATTACCCTGATTGAACACCTAATTCTCGTAATCAATTTACAAGGAATTGTGCAATGGCTAAAGGGGAGAATTGACAATCAGATCTTGGGAGTTGAAGGGTTAAGAAACACGCATGCTCTTGTTGGTCAATGTTATAACGAAGGGGATAACCGTCTGAAGAAACTGTGGTGTGTTAGAAGTAAAAATTACTCTAACACTCGTTGTCTTGTTGTCTATTTCTTTATTCTCTCTTACTACTCAAGGCATTACAACGGGGACTAGCTCTGATCTCTCGAGGAAAGTGTGGGTCACCACTTATAAAGGTGACACTTACTGAGCTGTCAATCTCTAACCTTCGTCATGTTTTTACATCTGAATAGCGAATCACGTTGGGCTACGCAGAACGGAGTTTGCATACTAAGTAGATACCTTCGCGATGTATACGCTTTACAAAATGTATTTCTAACTTAAATTTCTTGGTCTTACGGTCAAGTTTGGGCAAAACAAAAACAAGATTGACAATATAAAAATTATAATAAACTTAGTAACAGAATTAAAATCATACTTGAAAAGGTATCCTAAAAGAAAATAGTCCTTGAAGGCTGTTGCATAACAGCAGAATAAACATAAAATTCGGAGAAGAAAGGGCCTACCCGAGGTACCGCCCCTAAAAGAGCTACGTACTCGTCGTATGAGTTATCTAATTACAAATTCAGTGCGGAAGATGAAAAGTACTTTAAGTCACCTCTAAGAAAAAGAGGTGTCTAACGTGCTAAATTAAAAACTGAAAACTATTTTCTTGATCGGGAATGCGACATGGATTTAGCCTGAAAACGAGTATTTAATGGATAAAAGTATAAAGGAGGGTTATTTCCAAGAAATTCCTATACGGGATCAATTTTTATAGGGTAGAGTCATTTTCTTAGTAATTAATTATTTTTTTAGCATCATAATGAAAATATACCGATATCTAGCCGCAAACGCCATTTACCCAAAAACATCTGTCTCCATGTCAATTTCACGATCACGATAAGGAAAAGGTGACCAAACTCTACCTGTAAGGTGAGACCGCCAAAAGGAATAAGAAATGAGCAACTGGCTTATTACAATGTTTACTGAATGGCTTATGCAAATATGTTATTTCCATTCATTTTCCAGCACCAATAGAGGAAACTCTTACAATGTTTTTAGATTAGATATATTTCTATTTTTATCGTTTAACAGGTGCTACGTCAGTGGTAAACATCACACGATCGTTTGGTAAGAGATTCTCTAGCTGACGTTTCGAGCGTTACCCCTTCGTCAGAGCAAATAAAGGAATTGTGGTTCTGCGGTTTTTCAACAGAAGAAGGACACGTGAAAAATACAAGAATAAACTAGTTGAATGGAAAGTGTTTGTTGATACCGCGGGGATCAAGAGTGCCAATTTAAAGATAAACTTTCGTTCTTGAGTGATAAAGCTTAAATATCTTGGACAACTGTTCAACCGTTTTTAAATTAATTGTTTAGAAATGACTACCGAAATAAAAGGCTGTCTTTCCCTTTTTCGTCCCCTTATTAAAGTCAACGCCAAATTGTGTTAACAATAAAGTGTAGGTGGTGTGATATTTTATGCCAAAACTATGGCCTGCAATTTAATTCAATACAGTTCAAAAAGCTTTTAGCCACTGTAATAATCTGGCCCCGGTTGTTCGAAGGTTGGATATTGCTATCCACTTCATAAAACTCTATCCGGTGGACAACGCTAAACGTTTTGCTATTAGTTATACGCCGGATAGTGATTTATCCGTTGGATAGCATCATCCCGGCGCCCTTTATACAACTGGGCCCTGTAATTTAGCTAAGTGCAGGTGATTTCATTAAGCCGTTAGTTACTGGCCTTAGATGTCACTGCATGTGTAAGAAAAAAAAAGTCCTCTGCAAGCCGCTGGTAGTTTTTTTCACCTAAAAAGTCACAGTACATCTAGAAAGAAGCTCAAATATTGTCACTGTTCACCATTTTGATTCCTTGAGATACATACTCGAGTTTAATTCAGACTCAATACACCACTCCATCGAATATTTAAAACCTTCAATTTTAATCAAGTTGCGCAAATGTTTATGCAGTGCGCATTACCCAAGCGAAAAGCAATTCTTTCTCTCTCGTATGAAAGCGTCCGAGTATAATTATTTCCGCCTGCAACGCTGCAGCGAGTGCTGTGACATACTTCACCGTATTCAATTAGTGTTCAACCTGTTTTCCAGACATGAAGACTCACTGTACCCTTTGAAATAATTCGTTTGTATATTGGCCGCGACTGAGAGTAAAAGAAGAAGCGAGACAAGCTGACAGAAAGTCTTCAAATTTCACGACGAGGATCTCGCAGTATCACATTCGAGACTGTTTCCTATTTTCTACCACCAGGTCATAAAAAGCCAACGCTTGTAGCAGACAGTCGCTCAAATCGTCCTTCTTATCACACGATTTGAAATAGTTCACAAATTGTGGCGATACCTGCAGCAGAGGTTTGTTACTGTTTCCAGGAAATCCACTCATCTGATCATCGATGAACGATTCGACAAAATCCTCACTGCCCTCCATCCCTTGTTGTTCTTTAAGAAACTGCTCACATTGAGACTCGAACGGTTCTTCGTTTTTTCTGTCCTGAAACAAGCTCTCCACCAAATTCACGGCTGCTCTCTTCTTGGTTCTACCCACAGGAAGACAAAAATGTTTCGAGGTGTACAACGGGTCAAAGGGTATTACTAATCCAGGCAACAAACAGGTCAACATGGCTTCAAACACGCGAAGGTGCACCGCAAAAGGGAGAAGGGCGGCGGTTTGTTTCCCGATCCGATGGCTTTGCATCTCCACCACATAGATGTCTGTTTTGGGTACTCTGTTGACAAACTGTTGAACCTGTTATTCAATAAAAAAAATAGTAAAAAAGGTTTTCAACTTCCATATATTTTACTGGAGTCTCTCTTTCAAAGGCCCTTTAGGCGGAGCCAACTATCCCCACCCAATTTTAAGAGAGGGGGGGGGGGTGGTGGCAGAGAAGAGAGGCTTAAGAAAAACTGATGTGGGCTTACTTAAAACGGCTCTGATGTCGACAACCTCTTGAGCTGGTCAACTAGATCAAATTACTTTCTAACCATCATTGTGCTCAGAGTGAAAGATGAAAAAAAGCAAGAAAACCAAGTTTTGTATTCGTGTTTGGGAACTGAGGAACTTAAATCTAAAAGCTTACCAAGAATGCAGAAGTGGGAAAAGGTGAAATACCAATTGATCCCTTAACCTTTAAAACACTCTGTTCTTCTGCACACCCAGAGACAAAGGAAACAATAGAAAAAGTACCCAAGCCATATAAAAGTAATTCCCACTCTTGCAGATTTTTGTTATTTTGCAATAATGGACACTTGATCTGGCAACAAGTTAACATTTTAGAATCATGCATGGCAGAATGGCCACTTTGGACATTTTTTACTCTTCACAAACTAAAGATGTTTTCTCTATAATATGATCTTGTCTTAAAAAATGAGAAATCATTTGATTTGGCTCAAAAGAAATACAATAGGGCGTCATGCAATTAAATATCAGATCATTTTTTTATAATCTTACATTGATAAACTCAACTTAAAGATAGTTTGAAAGACACATTATGAGCAGCCTAAATTACTCATAATTTGAAATCAAGACAGTCACTGTTAAACTCAGAAAACCTTGAAAACTTTGATGTGATTCCAGCAAGCCAGATATGTATTTAACAATCTAAATAAAGTTCTGCTCACACATGGTAAACCTAAAAATAAAGAACTGATAGCCATTACTGTCTATGACTAAAGTTGATTGTCTAGTTCCCTGAAACCTGAATCGTCTTGTACATATATTTGGTACTCACAGTTTTCTGAGTTTAACCCCTAATAACTCCCATGAGTGACCAAGACAGAATTTCTCCTTACAATATCAATACAAAATCAACCAGATAAGTGATGAGAATAGAGAAAAACATCAATTTGGGAATAATTAGTTGATCCAATACTAAATTCGCTGAACTAACATTATAAGAATTGTATGGTTTGCAATAAGGAGAATTACAAATTTGATCTGGGAGTTAAAGGGTTGACAATAAACAATGCAGGAACATCAATGCTTACCAAAGGTTGGAAGACAGCCGGGTTATAAGGTTTTGGTTTTATTATTTCAGCTCGAGACCAACCCAATACCTTCTTATCTTTGTCCATTCGGACCCAAGCAGCATTCTGGAATCCAATATCTATTGACACAATTTCAGATATCACCTGAAAACATACCAGACCACAAAGTCATAAGCCTGGCTTGTTCAGAAAATGTGTAACTTCAACAACCTAATCCAAAGCAAAGTACAAAGGGTGAAAAAAATTGAATTAAATGCCCGATTGGCCCACCCAGCCACAGCTTATCCCTGTTTCCTAATAGCATGAAGTGACAAGGAGTATCACTACTCCCCCCCACTGGATGAAATGTCAGTCCATCACAAGGTTACCCCCTATCATTTTGTTTCATCAGGCTTCCTTGACAATTCACCAGTACTCATTTACTCTCCTGGGTGGAAAGAGGCATTTTGAGGGTAAAGAATTTTACCCAAGAACACAACACATTAACCTGGCAGGTCTTTCACCTGGACCCCTTGACAGGGAGTCCAGGGCATTAAACATAAGACAAAAGTATCTCCCACTATCAGTTGTACAAAGAATGTTAATTTAAGTCAAAGCTTTGTCTAAAAAATTAAGCCATTCTTTACAATAAGAACTCAGATAGTGCCACACAAAGGCCATATCACAGGACTGTCCATAACATTCAATAAACATAATTCAAATCACTTACATCTTTTTTATTTTGTGCTAACTGCTCCCAGATGGTCTCCAGTCCTTTAGAAGTCTTTCTCTTAACAGCTGCTAATCCACCAGCCTCTTGAAGATTTTTAAAGAATGCAGAACCAAAACCTTTTATTTGAAAAAGATCCTCTACACTTTGAAATGGTCCAAAGTTGTCACGGTAGTCTAAAATGGAAACTGCTTTAACTTTTCCTATGCCTTTAGTGTTTGAGAGCTCTTCTAAACTTCTACTATTTAACTCCTTCAAAATTACCTGTAAAGAAAACACAAGTTATACACAAAGATTTACTGTCAGAGTATATCAGTCATGCCTCTCATTTGCATGTGATGCATAGTTACAGTCATTTACAAGTGCAACACTAAGGTAGTGTTAGGGGTGCTTTTGATCCCTCTGGTGTAAGTAAAGGTGATAACCTACGACAAAAAAAAAAGATTGCATGCCCCTTAAAGCCACTAAGCAAAGGACCATTCATTAGGAAATCTTGTTAATATCCCTACTCTGTTGATCAAATGCATTTTCATAATCAGATCTCTTCTTGCTAATGTCATCCAGGCTCCAAGCTCAAGCTTTTTTAAATAGCCCCTTGATGACTTAAAATCATTTGAGTGAAATAGAGAAAAGGAGGAGAAAATTTTTTGTGGAATATTGCATAAAAATTTGATGCAAATTCCCATCTAGTTCATATTAATACCATAAGCAATAACTAATCTTGAGGTTGAATCTTGAAAAAATTGTTTCTTCTAGCCATGGTAAACTAAAGGATTGCAGCATGGAGCTTTCATCTTTGAAATACTGTTTTAACAACTACTACCCCCTGTCAGTTGGGTAAAATTTCCACACAGCCCCATCCCATACATTACGCATTCAGTTCTTGGATAGAGAAAAAAATGACAAAAACAATACATTGCCATTGGGAAAACAGATTTGTTTTACGATAGTATGGGGCTCTGTGGAAATTTTACCGTCAGTTGTTATTCCCATAACAACGAAAATTAGTCATAGAACGAGGGACTGAGGTGGGAGAATTGGCTCCCCTAAGGATTTTAACTTTGAACTCTAAAGGAGGACCGATAAATTGAAAAGTCCTCTATGTTGTAAAGGTAACTGATGCTGCTCAATCAACACCCATGAGCCTAAACGCTACATGGAACGAAAACCTGAACATAGTGTCTCTCTGCAAGCTCAAGCTTTTTTAAATAGCCCCTTGATGACTTAAAATCATTTTTTTGATGCAAATTCCATCTAGTTCATATTTTGCCATAAGTAAGAGGTTGAATCTTTTGTTTCTTCTAGCCATGCAAACTAGAGCGTGTGTAACCTAACCACACGCTCGAACTTAACTTTTTTGTCTACTAGCAAAGTTTTGCTAGTAAGATTATTTTTACTAGCAAAAGAAGGAACCTAACCAGCAACTTTTCAATGCAGCCATTTTCAGCGTTAATTTTTTAATCGAAATTCTACTGGAAAAATACCGGTACTCGCAAATGTTTGCTAGAGGATATTTTTTAGACTCGCAACTTCGAAAAACCACTCGCATTTCGCGAGTTTGCGAGTGCTAATTTCGAGCCCTGCCTCACACAACTGGTGGTAAGATTCTACAGTTTTTTACAGAGATATAAAGGCTTTTACGGCTTTGATCCCTGCCGGTCAAATCTAGGATCCGAGAATTCTAATGGAAGGGCATGGGAGCAAAGGGTGTGTACATGAAGACAGAAGTGACACGAACCTCTCTAAGTGTATGCAAAGCACTAAGGCTCCAAGTATTTATGTGACTAACCTGCTTTCTGGCTTCGGGTAGATCCACCTCGACAGTGCCTATCGTTTTAGTTTTGAGAATAGACTGCGGATCATTCTTTTCCTTCTTTTCTGCTGCATTTGTAACAGAAGTCGTAGAGGCACTGCTTCGGAACGATATTGAGAACGCACGCGAGATGGGACATCTAACTTTACACCGGCGACAAACAGCGGAATACGTAACAAAGCAGGAGGCTAATCGATTCATATTCACAACATTCTCTACTGATCGAAGAAGATTCATTCCCAGACATTAAGAGGCATCACCGTCAACGATCATGCCTCACTTTACCACGAGTTCGTCCGCCATGTTTGGCTTGGTTGCTAATGTAATGTCGCCCCAGACCTCTCTCGTAGTGAAAAATGGTACATCGGGCTGGACGATTGAGGATGTTTATGAGACCAACTTTAACCCTTTAACACCTTAGAGTGACTAGCATCTAATTTCTCCTCACAATATCCCCCCTGAATCACACATTAAGGTCACAAAATAAAGGCAGTGATCACCAAATGAAGAAGCTCTTGATTGTCAAAAACATTTTCCTTTTTAGCACCCTAAAAAATGTACAAGGAACAGTAAGGAAGATATGTATACTGATGTTAGGGTGTAAAGGGTTAATACGAATAAAGAAAATGATAAAGCAACTTATCATGTTAAACTTTACCATAGCAGTTATTCTCATCGGTTTATGCAGGTTTTGCCCTACTGCAAATTCGCCTCTGCAAAGACAACTTCGCCCCGTTGAATTTAAGAACTTTGCCGCTAACCCTTTCTCGTATTTTCAACTTTCTTTACGCCGACTCTTTGCCTTGGGGATTTTCGATCAAGAAAAGAAATTCTCGCTGTAACTCACTTGCTTTGTTTTAAGTTGCCTTTGTAATACTTATCTTTGTCTTTTTTTTTTTTTTCTTTTTTTTCTTATCCCGGATCTGAACAGAAAATGTTCCTCGCTTGTTGCCTGCTAGTTTGGTACCAACACCAACACCAACACCAACAGCAAGCATTGGCTTCAGGCTCATTGTAATATAAAGAAATATCAGCAAAATAAATTTTTAAAAAAACCTATTTTTAATGCAAAAATTTTCTTACTTTTCAAAATTAAAAAAAAATATATTATCATTATTATTCTTATGACACAAGAAAGTGTTTTATCTATAAATTTCGAAAAAAAAAATGATATAAATTTAGTCCGGACAAACCCTATGATTTGTCTCAGTTGATTTCACTAAGTGAACTATATATAAGGATGCACCAATAATTATTCATCGTATGTAAGTACTACAATTTCCAAACATTTTTCCGTATTATCTAAACCCTGTACATCTAAACTTCCTGATAGAAACGTCTAATTGCTTTATACTACTTTTCGCCTACAGCTTTAAATTCAATTGTTATGAAATCCTTGAGAAAGGAAAAATTACGAGAATGAACCTCCCTGTCCATATTCCATGACTGCTGTTCCTGCGAACGCCGTTGCTGGGATTTCCGACGTACTGAATAATTTTGACTAGTTCCCTGTCTTTCTATCTCTAAATATCAAAAACGGAAGACTGGAAACGAGTCGGCAAAATTGCCTTCAACTTTAAGAAAACTGCAGTTTGATAACTGAGAATAACCTCATACTGATAAAAATTAACCAAGAAGATAAAAAGATGGCTAAAGATACTGATGATTAAAAGGTATTTCACACGTGCACCTTCTACAAAATGCTAAGGGAATATCAACCCTAAAAACTTTCGTTTTACACTTCGCGAGCAGAAGAATTGATAACGTTATTTTTCTTGAAGCTAAAGAAAAATGAAGTCAACCTCTCTTCTGATCACAAAGTAATCTGAATCCAAGTTACAATATCTTGATGTTGCGACGGCGCGATTCCAGCAAAATTCTCTTTGGACTGACGACAGCTCAAGCTGTACCGTTTTCCACGCGAGGGTCAAAATGACCTGAGCACTTCTTAATGTCGTATTTTCAACCCAAAATTAAGACTTAAAATTAAGTAACCTCAGTTAGTGCAATGAGATAGTGTTATCGTCGTTGTTTCTAAAAATATCGTAGTGACAACTTTTTACTTCTCACGGAAACGATAAACCTCGACAAAATGCATCAACTTTGTTTTCACAACTTTGCTTTCGTATCAAGTGAATAAATAAATAAAAGCGCGCGTTGTCAGGAAGGGTGTAGGAAGGGTGCAGGGCGGGGCACGTCTTTTTGCTCAAGTACACTGCTGCGGGTAACTCGACGACGTCAACCATTTCCCAGAGCGCCTACTACTCTGTAAAGATATCTCCTAATAAATTCTCTTCAAACCGTAATAAAATATTTTTCTTCCGTGTGGTACTAAATTGAAATAAAATAATAGAATAATAAAGCAATCAAAATTTTCTAAAATGTAAGAATTTTAAAATTTTTGTTATCAATATCTATCTCTTTTCATTTAAGAATCGTTTACTCGTCTTCTGCTCTCTGACCTCGCGCAAAGTTCAAAAATACTTGCTCCAATGTGGTCTGACTAACAGAGTAGTCCTCAATATTGTAGTTCATCTTGACCCGCTCAATTGTTCCAAACAGCTGAGCCCACGATACGCTGGTGTCACGGATGTGATAGTGGACCATGCCTTGGTGCTCGTCCTTCAACACGCTGCCAGGGAATGTACCTTCAATAAATTGTTTCAGCGGTCCGGTATCCGGTGTATCGCTGCCCACTCTTGCCAACACAGTGTATCCCTCACCAAACTTGGTTTTGAGGTGCTGCGGACTTCCGAGGCATTTGAAACGTCCATTAACCATAATGGCGAGTCGGGTACAAAGAGCTTCGCATTCTTCCATACTGAAAGCAAGAAAAAATTGTTATAAATGGTAAAGAAAATAGATAAAGATGTTTTTCGTCTTGTCACGCGCGTTGGACAAAGAAAAAGAGTGCCCATGAAGAACCGAGCCTCGACCTTCGGATTCCGTGCTCCGATGCTCTGTAACTGAGCCACAGAGACTGTAAGGTGAGCAAGGCCGAATATGAAGTTCATATATGACACGCGTCCTGCATACTTCTAGGATCAGCAATGTCGATAGCGTCATGTTTTTTTAGTAGAATGAGAGAAATGGTAAGTTTTGAGCTCGGAGAAGGACGTTTGAAAGCTGTGAGAAAGTTATGTTACATTCGTGACGTTCCCTCCCAGAGAAGGAGCGGGTTCGAAATCTCATTCTCAGGGTCCAGGGGACGGAAAGAAGGGAGACCCTGGGGACGAGGCTCAGGTGGGCGTAGGGAGAAAAGGATCTATAACACTTTAAAAAAAAAAAGAATCGGAGTGGTATCCAACTGATTTGGTTGTTCTTCCCCAATACTGGGAAGAGCAAAATCATCGTACAAGCAAGAGTAATAATTTGTTGAATAAAAGCTTCATTCATCACCACTCAAAACTGAGGCATACTAGAGCAGTAAAACTTACAAACGGGTAGACGAGAGTTTAATATCACGATGGTATTAGGAACTCATAGAGAGACCTACCTGTGTGACGTGATCACGATACATCGTCCATCCGCCCGTACACGTGACAGTGCATCCCATAATAGTCTCCTAGCCACTGGGTCCATTCCAGTCGTGGGCTCATCCAGAAATACCACTGGAGGGTCCCCTACCAGTGATATGGCTGTACTCAGCTTGCGTTTGTTTCCACCACTAGAAAGAGAAAGTTATGACACATTAATCAACCGATGGAAAATTCACTGTACCCATCATATCCCGGCATTAGGGTGTGAAGTTTGTTTTCATGTTTGCAGTATAACAGTTTTATCAACTCTCCTCCTTGTAGGGTATTCTGAGTTAACCCTTTCACTCCCTAGATCTAATTAGTAATTCTCCTTACTATCTGCCATACAATTCTTATGATGTTAGTTCAGAGAATTTGGTATTGAATCAACTAATAATTCCATGATTGATATTCTTCTCTATTCTCATCACCTGTCTGCTTGATATTGTATTGATATTGTAAGGAGAAATTCTGTCTTGGTCACTTGTGGGAGTTAAAGGGTTAATTTACAACACTTTGTGGGGGATTTCGGCCAGACTGCATTGAGCAGTTTACGATATTTAAAGGAAACTTTCGTAGGTGCCCCTTATTTCGGAATCAAGGCCAGATCACAACACCGGAAGCTAAGTTCCCTCTCTTTGCGAAAAGTACATGTGGTTTCTTAACATCCCCTGCTAACCAGTACAGACAAGAGACAAGAGACGGGGCCTTCGGTTTATCGTCCTTATCCGAGTGGAATGGAACGTCTAACCATTTGCAGATGCCATGACAAAGGCAACACATTCTCCTCAGTAATTTTTGTTGCTCGCATCATCACTTCCCGGTATTGGGGGATGCTGCTTGCACCAATCAAATCACGGTAAATTAAAGGCTATGTTGGTCGTGCAACACCTTTGCTTGAGTACAAAACGATTGCTGCCGACGTTTGTAGGCAGCCTTCACCTTTAAGAATATGGCTTTACATCATACATCCTTTGTTGATGTCACCCAGGAGAAACGACTAACCTGTAAGAACCGGCTACTTTATCAGCATGATCCTGAAGCAGTAACGATTGAATGAGAGTATCCACAACATCTGGTATTATGACTTCCGGTACGCCACGAAGCCGCGCGTACATATATAAAATTTCTCTTCCGGTCATCTGATCGATTAAGGCGTCAAACTGGGGACAATAGCCAATGCGCTGCCGAACCTGAAAACGCAGAGGGCAAGTGGTCATTGACCAAAGTATCAAGAGTTAAATGTGAACGCTAGCGGCTCAATCAGCCGAAGTTTATCCCGGTTTCTACCGATTGAAGTGGCTAGAAGTATTACTACTCTCCTCATGGGTGAGATGTTACTTCATCGCAGGTTAGGCACGGTGAGGGTAAAGTATTTTACGCAAGAACACAACACAATGGACCAATAAAACCTCGAAAAAGACCTAAGATCCCAAATCTAGGGCTCTAACCACTCTGGGTCGCTACATCTTCCGCCAAATGACAATTCTGTACAAATCGTAATGACTAGAAAAAGGTTTATATGGTGTTTTAAAAAAACACAAATGCAAACTGCATGTAGCCAAAACATTTTTCGCGATGGAATTCTGTTACATAAGATGAAATGAATTGGCCATCATCCCTCCTCAAAGGGCTGCCACCCTCAAGCTCCAACTTCGGTTCGTTGACTCCCAAAAGAGATATCAACAGCATTCCATTGAAGACATCTTACCTTGTTCATGTTGGTCCTGATGTCAAACCCTTCGACCAGAGCTGTCCCGGATGTCATTGTCTCGTCACCAGTCAACATGCGGAAGGTTGTGGTCTTCCCTGCTCCGTTAATTCCCAAGAGACCAAAACACTCATTCATAGGGACACCAAGACTTAAACTATCCACAGCAACCAACGGAGAACGACCTAGAACATAAAGAGTATGATTGCCGATTGAGCGTCTCTAGAAATTTGCACTTGGACTGAGAGCAATTCTTAACTGAGTGTCGAAACTTATTCAGGTTTGCACTGGTTTTGCTTACCACGTCATGTGATTGTTACAGAGAACTCTTCCAACCAATCAGACGTAAAACTAAACTCAACCACAAGCCTACGTGTCTCATTATTCACAGGTTAGACATGTCTTGTCTCCTAAGTCAATAACCTAGCTTAGAATCCTAACAATATCATAAATGAAGTCTTCCGCTAGTATCTGGTACTTGGTAAATTTCAACCTTACGGTTCAAAAACGCTTAACAAGTCTTTCAAAAAAAAGGTGATGTCACTTGAGGAGTTCCCTAAAAACTCGATAGCTTCGTTAAATTCTGAGGGGCAATGAAATAAAAGCGATATTACGTTTTACAAAATATTATTTTTCTTGCAAAAAAAAGGTTGAAATAGAACTTACGGCCGTTTCCATAGAAAACCTTGCTCAGCTCCCTGATTACGAGCACATCGTCTTTGTCCGTAGACCTCATTACTCTTTCCTTCTCCTCTAGAACGTCGTCATCATCGGCCGAGTGCGAGTCCTGAGATACAATCACGTTTGCGGAGAAGGCGCGCAAGCGCTTAAAAAAACGCGCGCAAGCGCTAAATGCACCATACTCGATCAACAGCACGAGAGAGTAGAAAACAATTCCTTCCAAAGCCAAGAATACCAGGTATCGGCCTATACCAGGATTATCCCAGGCCAAATAATTCGTTTGAAACTTCAACTTTGGGCCTAGAAATTCTTTGACCATTTTTTCACAGTCTGCCAAGGGCAAAAAATTTGCTTTGGAATGACATTCCTGGTCCACAAGACGCAATGTATTGTAGTTATTGAAAATGTCTGAAATTCCTTGGCCGAGGCAGTAGTTCGGCAAGACGAGGAAAGCCCATTTGAGACCATCAGCCACGTCCTCAAGGTCAAGTTCTGGAAAACATAATTTGTTATTAACTTCTTTCTGATAAAGCGAAGAGGTAATGGGTCTAATCTTGAGCAAATTATCTTGGCACAATCTGAGCACAATCATACTACTAGCACTTTTCCTGAGGAGATACATCTGCATCTTCCTCTGAATGTTCCCCAGAAGTCCTCAGAAAATAACAGAGCTCGTCTGTCTCTTTTAACGAAAAAAAGCCGCGTACTACAACATAAAAAGAAAAGCAACAAAAACTGGCGTAGTGGAATTTACCTGGTATACTTAAAACAAAGACGGTCAACAGTGTAGCCAGTCCGGTTATGATGTTGAAGACAGTCAGAACGACAAAGGCAGTTGATGCAGTTCGATACAAGAACGAGAAGAGATACATGAGAGGTATAATCGCCCAGCCATACAACATCAGCAAAATGAAAAGATAGCCAAGACGAGCACCTTCGAATGCGACAAATTAAAAGGGTTTTAGTAATTAAAATCTCTCTCATTACATGGCCGTGATTGCTGCTTTTTTTGATGAACCGAGAAGCTCAGGCAAGTTTTCTGGCCCAAGGCAAAAGCTGGCTCAAGTTTTTCCAGCCCCAAACACTGGTGACATCTCAAATTTCGCGCGTTGCAAATTGGCAATATCAGTTCTCGTATTAAGCAGTGTAGGCATCTTTTCTTGCGCTAATATGAGCACTGGCGTCATCATTTTCGGATCCGTAAAGTACTGTACAACACAGCAACCAAACGTCGTGCATGCGTGTGGGAATCAATGCCGGAAGGTCTCCCGAACGGCCGCGCGTCAATTTCCCGCTCTAAATTTCATAGTAAGAGAACTAGAAACTTTGAAATACAAATCTTATTCAAACATAGTATCCTGTTGATTTAACATTCTGTTTTTAGCTTTACTGAAAGAGTTTTATGTTTTTGAAACACTGAGACGTATTAGCTTGTATGGTTGTTTGTAACTCGTGCGTGACAACTTGGTTGTGACAGCCTGTCAGCCTGACTGATTTAGAGCGGGAAACTGAAGTGAGTAAAATTTGATTTGTCCACTTCAAGCATTAGTAAACCCATCTAAAAACTTACGTCAAATCACTAAAGCTCACAACAAACCTGTATAAGCCGGCACGTCAAAAGCAGCCACGAGGATCAGAAGAGACAACGTTGGGAGGAGGAAGTTAATCAAGTCCCAGGTATACGCAGAATCCCAGTAGCTAAATGGGTCCACACCGCTGACAAACTGAACGTGTTTCGCTTTATTGGAACGTTCTTGGACAAGAAAGACGACGAAACTTGAAGCCAGGAAAGCCATACCAAATAAAATGTTGAACGCGACATTGAACCCGACGCCATTGCTAAAATAAAGACGTTGATGTAAACCGATTGGAATCAAAAGCTTTCACCACAACCAAAATAAATAAGACGAGTTGGAGGTTTCAGTTTACACCAATTTACAACCTCGATTGGAGAGAGAGGGAGGTCTCATAGCGTAATATAACATACAAAAAAAATTCTGTATTCTCTAATTCGATTATGGCAATGATGTTTCTTCTCCCAGGAGTTGCTTCGAGAAACCGATCCCGGTAAAATTGTGACAAAGTAACCAAAATACATATATATACTTCGAACCTACTGACAAAACTATCTGGAAAGTACCACATGTTACCAAAACCTAGAAATTTGAGATAGCAAAAGTTTCAGGTAACAGGACTATTAATCTATGACGTAACTTTTGGCAATTTTACCAAACGTTTGACCATCCTTCACAAAATGCCTCAATCCTTACCGCTGTAAATCATTTGCAGATTCTTTAGCAGTTCTTGGCAGCGGGTGGTTAACGGTCGTTAGTGTGTAGTTACTGCCCAGAGCAGCCCGTAAGATGGCGTTGTCGGCAGCTGCTAGAGACACCGCGATGGAATGGTATGCTTGGTTATTGAACCACGCTGTGACATTTACTGAAGGAAGAGAGGCAATCAAGTAAGCTTCATAGAGATATTAGAGAGTTTTAGATCCACGTTTGGCGTGTTCATCGCTAACGTTAAACCGCGATCAGCAGTTTGTGGTTAGAAGTTATAAATTTCGAGACTTTCAGCTTTTTAGATCGACGTCGGCTTTCCCTTGAAAAAAATCAACATGGGCGCCGCCATCTTGATTTAAACAAAGGATGGAGGTCCTTCATCTCAAACACTAAACGTGGCTAAAAGATTGGTTTCCTAGCGTCCAAAACGGATTGGTTATAAAGAAAAGACTTCACCTCACTTACATTTATAGGACATATTTTCGAACAAAAAGAAAAACAGCGTCGATGGAGTTGAAATACCTGACACTGCCCTGCCCGAAGTTCAAACGTGGACGGCAAACGGCGAACGTGACCGCTGGAGTCTGGTCACGGACTCCTAGACGTTTGCGGTCACACGTATTCAGACACAAACGTAAATCTAAAACTCCTTATTATATAAACACGAACCCCTTGACCGACCGATGTGCAGTGCAATATTGAGGAATCAACTTATCACAAGAATTTTGACTTGAGTTTAGCAGAAAGTAAATTGTTGTCGTGTGCCTTTTTCCGTAACTGCCATGTTCAAACTTCTGTTAAAAAAAATAACCTTTATTGTTCTGTTTCTGGAAGGTGGCTGCAATCAGGTCTCTTTTGTTGAAGGGGCCAACTCCTATTTCGCTCGGTTTTTCCAACAGGTACTTTCCCATATTGACTTCGACTTTCACAAGATGTGTCTTGCTCTCATCAGACCACTGAGTTTTGTACTTATCCGCCAAGCTGTAGGTGCTAAATAAAATGTCCAGTAGATCAAACCAATTAGCAACTTGATATGCCTTCACATTTTTGATAGATCGCGAAAAAGCAAGAGCTTATGATCGCCCCACCCTCTCACACAGTAAGATACAAAACCAAAACCAGTCGTGACTTTGTCACTGGAAAGCACTAGGGAACATTGCTTTAAACCATGTGAGCCCCCGATATTCCTAACACTAACCTTAACCGCTAGAGCATCGGGGGCTCACTTGGTTTGAAGCAATGTTACGTAGTACGTGCTTTCCTTGGTCCCTTGCGTTTTCTCGCGCCTCAAGCAGTTTTCTTGTTTATTTAATTTAAGATTATTTTGACTCATTGTAATGTTTTCCCAAGTTCTTGTTTGAATGGCCGTTGTGATAACTTTGGTTATGGCTCTACGAAACTCAAGAGAACTACTTGCTCTAGAACTTATTGTTGATTTCATGGCGGAAAATCCCGCTTGTCGTGGTTGTTTTAGCCAATAGCAGTTAAAGGATTCCGTAACTAAGCAATTCATGTTATAACGTCCCAAAGTCAACGCTCAAAATGGTCCAATTAATTAAAAGAGGTTCCAAAAAAGAATTTACCTGTTATCACACTCGTAGGGAACATAGTTGTCCAAGAAGTTCTGCGTGGACAGAGTGAGCGGAGGAGAATCAGTAGGCTGAGGAATGGTCTTAGCACTGATCAGAGCAAACAGCGTAAATACCAGAGGAAGTAGAAGCTGAGATATGAGAGCCAGCTTGTGCCGCTTGGAGTGCAAGATACGTTTCACAAACATTGCATACCACCGCTGACGAAACAGCCGGAAACCGGAAGTGTGATTGTAGTTGTTGTAGTCCCCAAATGTGCCATAGCTGGCCGAGGACGCTCCCAACGTACCCATACGTGCCATAACGGAGGATTTCTCGCTTGGAACAGGTATATTTACCCTATCCGACATACCGTTGGCTGACGGTGTTCCTAGAAAGGAAAGCAACCTTGTAACAGATACAAAAACATGATGACGGATAATGATTCTGAGGACTTTATTACAAAAGACACTTGTTCACGAAGTGTAATCATTTATAACCGTTTATAAGGTGACGCCTAACCAGTCGACCGTGTCGCCAGAAGACGACTCCCAGTATGCAGTCGGTAGGTCAGGATTGGATTCATTCATCGTGAGGAAAACAATTCTACTTCATGTACTTCATGTACTCACCACGATGACTAATCACAACCTTTCCTACGATATCAGAGGAGACTTACAAAGAGCCAAGGCAAAGAAGAAGAATGCAATTAAATCCCTGTAAAACAGTCCTCATACCAAGACTGGTTGCATTTCAAATTTCATTGAATTACTTGAGCAACTAGCCAATCCTAAGTTAAGGTTATGAGAGAACGTTTTACAAAGAAAATGTGAGCTCCTTCGCAACCGTTATTAGAGATATCACGTGACTTCCTGAAGAACAGTTGCGAGGGAGACTAGAAAGAGTGAGAAATAAATACGTGACAGAAGTTTAGCCAAGATAAGTATGTGACACTGGCCAAACGCGGGAAAATGAACCCCAGGCAGCTTGTTAGGCACTCGTGATTGGTTGGTAATGCGCTATGTTCTCGTGACTATTCAGGCTCTAATTCCTTACAGTGAACGAGGTTTTTCAAAAGTTCCAAGAAAGAAACCAAACAGACAAGTAAAAGACATCATAATTTTGTAAGGTCATTGTAAAAGTGAATAGGAACTGGAACGAAAAATTAGTCAAACACTTTTAATGTTTTGTTATGAAGTAATGATAATCCTCGAAAGATTTCCAACCTTTGCTATTCTGCTGAAGTTTATCGCTTAGACTACTGTCCATTTCCTCTCCAACTTTGAGAAAAACTTCCTCCATGGTTGTAACGGAGGCGCCATAACTGGCGATTCCAAGTTCTTTGCGGCGAGTCTCTAACTCCAGAAAGAGATTCTCAAAGTTGCCTGTGGCTTCACTTGGCAAAATAAAAGAAAGTTCGGCTCCTGAAGAGAAAAGAAGATCATGAGTTTAAAAAGGCGTTCAAAACTAAAAAAAAAACATTGATGAATGAGAAGATATTTGAGGATGAAGCCAGAAGTGTGTGAGCATTCAAGTGAAATTTTATCGAAATTTTTCGCTCTTGGATGAGATCTTGAAGTACGACCAATCAAATGAAAACTAACCAGCAGTATCTTAACCTTTAAACTCCCAAGATCTGCTTGTTAACTCTCCCTTCTCGCTACGACACCTTTCCTTGTAACTTAGTTACGATGACTTGTTGTTTGATCAAGATAACAATTTCTACCAGATAAGTTTGATTATTCCCATTACCCATTTGCTGGATAATGTATGGTTAGTTTAGGGAGAAGTTACATGTTAATCACTTCTGGGAGTCAATGCATAAAAGTTTACAAACTCACCAATATTACTCTCCACAGTGGCTGTAGGCACGTGACTAGTGACCATAGCAGTAACCTTAGAGACGTCGCAAGAGGGCTCCTTTACAATGACCATGTGATAGCCCACTCCATATCTGTTCTTAAGAAACAGAGAAGAGCCACAACATTTGACATTGCCCTCAGCCATTATGGCAATCCTATCACCGAGAATGTCTGCTTCGTCCATAAAGTGAGTGGTGAGAAGAATAGTCCTGCCTTCCTTATGCTGCTGCAGTAAATCCCATGTGAACCTACGTGCTGATGGGTCCATACCAGATGTTGGTTCATCTAACATCACAACCTAAAAAAAAGTAAAAATTTCCAAATTTCCAGACTGCATAATGAAGAAAAATAACACCGAACCTGTATTCTTAAGTCAGCCAGTCTTTAACCCTTTAACTTCCATGAGTGACCAAGACAGAATTTCTCCTTCCAATATCAATACCATGTCAACCAGATAAGTGATGAGAATAAAGAAAAGTATCAATTTGAGGATAATTTGTTGATTCAATACTAAATTCTCTGAACTAACTTTATAAGAATTGTATGGTTGACAGTAAGGAGAATCACAAATTTGATCTGGGAGTTAAAGGGTTGAGGGTGACTGTAACTATTACCTTTGAGCCACCAATCAGTGCTATTCCTACTGAGAGTTTCCTTTTCATGCCACCAGACAGTGCACGAGCCTGTGTTTGTCTCTTGTCTGACAGACCAATGCACTCTATCATTCTGTCAACCTCCTTTTTCACCTGCCAGGATGAGCGGGTCTTTAGCTTGGCAAAGAACCATAGATGCTCTTCAACAGTTAGACGGTCAAACAACACATCATGCTGAGGACAAAGACCTGAGGAGAAGTTAAGTTACAGGGTTCTTTTAACCAAGATTAGCATCACTCTTGCTTTAACTATGCATTGGTTAAGAAATCTAATGCCAACTTTCCAACCAGTCACAAAAACTAACACATTCTATGACTAGTTTACCCATGTTTCCCTGTGCCAGGTGTATATTTACTATAAGTTCTAAAGAAACCCTTCTGATAAGTTATAAAAGATCCTAGACCATGAACTTCATACCACTTTGGTGGCAGTGGCTTGATTAAACAGAGAAGGAGCAACATCTTTCAAACATATACAGTTTTCAAACAGCTCCTACTTGTCCTCAAACTTTTCTAGATGGAAATCATATTCTTGTTGAACAAATGGCTTCATATTTTTTCTTTAGGTACACTTCAGAATCAAAATGAAAGAACCAATAAGTTTTACAGTACAATATCTCACCTAGACTGCTGCGTACACCACTAATATTATCACTGATTGAACAGCCATTTACAAGTGCAGAGCCAGAAGTGGCAGGAAATAGTCCAGTCAGCATGGACATCAGTGTTGTTTTACCAGCCCCATTGTGCCCCAAAAGTACAGTAATCTGCCCTTCATACAAGTTCAGAGACACTCCATTGACTGCTGTTTTCTTTCCTACAGATTTGAAAGAAAAAATGCAATAATTGGTGAAGTTTTGTAACAAAAGAATGTATGTATGAAGCCCTAACCTGGGAAGCAATTCCTGATATACGACTAAATTCTCCATGCATTTCACGAGGGAATTCAAGACAATTCAAGGAGAATCTAGCAGTTAATCAGTAGTTACTTAGAATATTTTTCCATGCATTCTTCAGTTAAAAGGATAAAGCTATTTGTAACAGGTTTGTGTAAATTATTACAACTCTCAGTCAACTGTTCCTTACATGAGCACCTCAAGAACCCATAAAATTGTACTGTAACAAACATCAATAACTGAATAGAGGTTACCAAAATGGTAGGGTTAACTAATCAGAACAACTACACATGGACACACACAATTAATCAACCAAGTATGAATCACACTAAAAATGCAAGGGTCAGAGCATATAATTCTATTGTAAGACCCTGATATACCCTATTTTTCAAAGCAATTAAAAAGTGTAGAAAACCATCAAGCAAGGAGGTTTCTTATTTATTGAAGTGCTCAGCTTAAAAGTACATTTGAATGTAGCTTTTACACACCTTTCTCTGTGGAGAAAACTTTCTTCAGGTTTCGTATTTCAACACCTCGCTCCAAACCAACAGGATCTTTTTCTAGAAACTCAGAAGCAGTCGCTGCAGGTGTGGTGCCATTTTGCATACTGTGAAAATTGCCTACTTCCACCTGTAACAGAGTTAGAAGCAAAACTTATAGTAACATATGTCAAATGATAATAATAGAACAGACTTGCATTGGTGGGGAATGAGGGAGATTACCTAGCAGTGCTTGTTTTTCAAGTAGAGTCAAAATGTCACAAATGGTCATATGTGGTCTTCTTGAATAGTTGATAGCCATTGGTGGTTAGATATTTACAGAGAACTTGCAGAGAGTTGAAAAGGTGCAAAATGCTTTACAGCCAATGGCAAATTGGAAGAAACAAACTAAGGGAATATAATAACTGCAGGAAACATAATAATATTTCGAGGTGGTGGTTTCTTAAAATGACTGTGTAGTTGCACAGTAGGACTTCATGGTTTTTTTATAAACGGCTCAACAAATAAAGAAAAAAATTATCAAACAAAGCTTTCTTACATTCACTACCATGACTTTTATGACAATGTCTCAAGTAAATGTTTACTTAAAAGTACTGTAGGTATGGAGGCATGGTGGCCTAATGGTTAGTGCACTCAACTCCGGATCGGGTGGTCCGGGTTTGAGCCCTGGCCAGGGTCATTGTGTTGTGTTCTTAGGCAAGACACTTTACTCTCACAGTGCTTCTCTTCACCCAGGTGTACAAATGGGTAACAACAAATGTGCTGGGGGTAATCCTGCAATGGACTAGCATCCCATCCAGGGGGGAGTAGCAATACTCCTAGCCGCTTCATGCTAAGAAAACCGGAGTTAAGCACCGGCCCCATGGGCCACTTGAGCCCGTATAAAGGCTTTACTTTTTTTACTTTACTGTAGGTATAACTGCCAAACTCAAAGTTGACTTCATAATCTTGAGAATACATGAATGGGATAGTCCTAACCTCTTTGCTTTTTCCACACCAGTAACTGGGCAAAACAGGGAAGTACCAAGGTTGTGGAACCCCATAGTCACCAGGAAATACTGCCTCAACATACCAAGCTATCAAACCATAAACAACTGAGTCCACAGCAAACATCCAAAAGACATAACCAAGTGTAAGATCATCATCAATGGAAGGCCCACGATTGAGATTTGACCACTGAACTCCAGTTCCCTCCCCTTCAAATTTCCCAATCAACTGAGCACCCAATGACATGGCAACATTAGAAAGGAGGCAGCTTGCCAGCTTACTTCCCAGACCCATAGTATCATAAGATTGTTGGATAAAGAAATATGGAATGTAGTTCATGAACCAGAGGATCCCTCCTGCAGCCGCAGCAATATTTGCCTTGGAGAAGAAGACACTGATGCAGAAACAGAACATGATGGATGATATTGAATACAGAAGAAAGAATACAAATATGACAGAGGGTGAGCTTTGATTCAGGACGCGGCCCCTTTCACTGAACTTCACAGTGAAGAAAACAGCTGCTAAGGCCATGGTGATGACAAGGAATATGAAGTACTTTGTAAACCATGCCAACCAATGGAGCCAACCATTTAGACCCATCATCTTCATTGATTCCTGTTGACAAAATGAATTACAAATGAGTTCACCCTTTAACTCCCATTAGAGAGTAAGACCAAACTTCTTCTTATCATATCAATACCATATCAAGCAAACAAATAGTCAATATTAATTTGGGGATTATTAGTTGATTCAATGCCAAATTCCCCAAACTCACATCTAAGAATTGTATAGAAGAGGAGAATTGCATATGAAATCTTGAGAGTTAAAATACTGGCTGTAAGAGCATTTAAGACAAAGGAACACATTGTGCAATTGTATATCATATTCACCCATAAACACGTGCCATACCGAGCCTGCAGAGTTGAGTATTGTAAAAGCTATTCATAATTGTAAGAAAAAAAATTAATTAAATGTTAACCTTTTTACTGCCAAGGTCTGATTTCTAATTCTACCCCCTAGCTGCTACCATTTCTCTATAAACTAGTAACAAGAATTTAGTGTTAAATCAAGATAACAACCATCTGATAAGTTAGAGTATTCTCATTACCTGTTTGCTGGATAATGAATTGACATTGGCAGGAGAAGTTACATGTTAATCACTTCTGAGTAAAGGGTTATAAAAGCTGTATATGTATTGGTCACCTCACCTTCAGTTTCTTTTCCTTTTCATAAACAATATCCTGTACAATGTTTAGGGCAGTGAAGATAAGAGACAACATCAGGAGTAAGGGTAGAGAGTTTTGAATAACCAACACAAATTCATCATGAATATAATGAGGATAGGGAAATCGTTTCATCGACACTGTTGTGTTCAGGGCTGAAATGTTTCCTATGTACTTAACAATTGCAGAATCCACAGCATGTTGAAGAGACAGAAATCCTTCACTATAATAAGGTGGAGGGCCACCATAACCATTATCTACAGTTCGAGGTCCTGGCTTCTGGAACACTGGAAATGTTAATTGAGTGAGCCAGGATGTTGAAGGAGATGCTCCAAATGATGGTTCCCCACTTCCCCTTGCTTTAGAACTAAGGCGAATCTTATAAATAATATTTCTGGAGTAGAGAGTCCTATTGAAGACAATTCCACCAAGGGATACATTTTTTCTTTTCTTTTTTTCTTTGCCATTATTCTGCTCTTCCTCATTTACTAAAAATGTTTGCATTTCTCTCTCATTTTGGAATCCAACAACAGATAAACGCACAAGTTGCTTTGCAACCAAATCCATAATCTGCCTCACATCACTTGTGTTGGGAGTAAATGCCAGTTTTGTTTGAGTGACAGTGGGTGGTAATTCAACAATGTCAAATGCAGAATAGTTACGGCTTGGCTTAGGTTCCACTTTAACAACAGAGGCTCTCAGAACGACAAGAATTATTATAAAAAAAAGTGGCATTGAAATTTGAAAGAAAGCTCGCACTGGAGATCTCTTGAGAAGGACAACATTCTTCCACAATAACAGCAAAAATTGCTTTCCTTTTCCCATCTTTCAGCTGATAGTCCAATTATCTAGTAAAATATCCCTGTTGATGAACAGATAATAAATCAAAGCAATCGTTAACAATTCTCATAAAGGTGTTTGTATATTTGATTTTCCCAGTTTTACTTAACCCTTTACACCCAATCATCAGTATGCATATTCTCCACACTATTCTCTATAAGTCATCGCATTAGTGGCTTTCTTATATATCAACACAAATGTAGCCATTAAGTCATTGCGTTACAGTTTTAGAGTTTCCCTATGTCCCAATGCAAATGTAGCCATTAGTCATTGCGTTGCTGGCTATCTTAGAATTTTCCTATGTACCACCACAAATGTAGCCATTAAGTTATTGCGTTACTGGCTATTTTAGAGTTTCCCTATGTACCAACACAAATGTAGCCATTAGTCATTGAGTTGGTGGCTATCTTAGAATTTTCCTATGTACCACCACAAATATAGCCATTAAGTCATTGCATTACTGGCTATCTTAGAATTTCCTTATATACCAATGGAAATGTAGCTATTAAGTCATTGAGTTAGAGGCCATCTTACGATTTCTCACTATACAGATGCAAAGGAGTAGCTGTTAAGTCATCGCATTGCTGGCTATCTTATAATTTCTCATTACATGGACGCAAAGTAGTAGCCGTTAAGTCATTGAGTTAGTGGCTATCTTATAATTTCTCATTAAAAATCTTCTCTCATGAGAAATCTAGCCATTTGACTCTGATGATGACTTCTGCTCAGGTTGTCGAAACGTCAGTCACCACTACTGACAACAGTCCTTCTCAGGACTACACTCACCAGGACACTCAAACTACACTAATTCTTATAATTTCTCACCATGCGGACACAAAGGAGTAGCTGTTAAGTCATTGCGTTACTGGCTCTCTTATAATTTCTCATTATACCGACGCAAAGGAGTAGCTGTTAAGTCATTGAGTTACTGGCTATCCTAAATTTCCCTCTATTCCAACGCCAGTGTAGCCGTCTAGTCATCGGGTTACTTGCTACCTCAACGCCGGTAATATAGAAGTTAAAAGTCTTCCGACTAAGTTCGAGGCTATCAAAATTTTACATATCTAGATCTACAAAACAACGAGATTTGTGATTATCATAATTCTACGAATATCGATGAGATTTTAAAGAGGTAAGGCGAATGTCATTTACCAAGCTACGACTTTAGCTACAAAACTACAATCTGATGAGTCAGCGTAAACTAAGCAGAAATGAATTGGGCATTTACGTAACCATGTTCTTCCAACTTACACGAATTGGATAACGGAATGCAATCGCGTGAGGATTCGCGACCTGGCCGTAATTTGCTTGAAGATCAGACACTTACCATAAAATCAATCTTATCCCGTCAACTGAGCTGCATTCGCGTCGAAAGCTGTGCTAGATACGTGCGTAGAATGATAGAACTCCTGCTTCTTTCGTTTCTTTTATACAGCTTACACACAACTCACATGACAGAAAAGTGACCGGCATTTTGGCTTACACTACGTAGGGCTCTAAAAATAAACACTTGCTGAGTGACCTCTCCTTTCGAGCTTAAAACCTAGCCTGTTCTTCTGTAAAGATGGCGGCTCAAACGTGCCTTAGACGAATTCATTTCACAATCCAAAAACTTCCCTTTAATGAGGTTTACTTGCGGTCTAGAACATTAGCTTCGAGCTTTGAAACCAGTTCTTTGATTCTAAGACCACCATCTGCTTATTCTTTGCGTATAACAAGAACAATGTGCTCCAAAAGAGGTAAAGGCTTTTCTGGCGATGAAGATGGAAATGGAGACCGTGATGAAGTCCACACGAAGGTAAAACCTGTTTTAGTATCCCTCAATCAGGGACCTTTTGGTTGGATTGCAAATAATTTGAAGCTGTTCTTGCTAAAGAGCATAGTGGATACAGAATTCGATGAAAAGGAATTTCTCCGGGGCGCCAAGCAAGCTCTGTGTGTAGTCTCTCAGCTATTGAACAAAGAACAATACAGCCAGTTGCAGGAGACAGTATCTAATCAACTACTAGAGTCATTGATGAGTATGAAAGATGATAAACCAATTAAGGAAGTGGTTTCGTTGAAAGAGATTTTATCGGCGAATATACAGAAAGTAAAATTCAGATTCGAAGCAGATGAAACTACTTTAAGTTCTGGCGAGGGACATTTTGAGGTGAACATAACAGTTGCCTTTGTGTGCACAAGGGGCAATGGAAAGGGAGCGTTTCAAAGGCAGCTTGGAAATGTCAAGATAATTGACTTAGATATTCCTAAGATAGTGTATTTAACTTTTAGAAAACGTCATACGCTTAGTAACGCTACTGGTTGGCAGGTGATAAGTATTTACTATATCTGACCCTTAATGTGGATTAGAGATTTGACTATATTGTTACTTCACAGAACACACTAATGTAAAGCAATACTCGTGAATAATGAATATGAAAGCAATTTTTTCCATGATTAACACCACTTCTAGTGATAATGAGTAGTGTTTATTACTGCAATGATCACTTTCATATTCATTTCTTAACCCCCAGTTCACGTATATAATTTTTTTATATATTTATAGTCATTTACTCATGAATAGTGATGTAAATTGGTTAATACTTTTATTGTTAAAACATTTGTGCATTTGAAGCATTAAAAGTAGCAAAACATGAGAATTTAGAGCACTCTCCCCTTGTTTTTTACCCACGAGACAATCACTACCATCTTTGAGAGATAAAATTCCATATAAAGCCCTTTAAAATCTTATTAGAACAAACTGTACCAGTAGGTTACTTCCTAAAAGTCTCAGTTCTTATTAAAGTGGACATAGTGACTCTTCTGTTAGTTGCATAGCCCTTGAAAATAAAGATAATTTCCATGCAACATGGTTTGACAATTTTGCCATCCCACCTATGTTAATACTTGCAGTGTAGCCAATAGCTCAGCAGCCAAAGATGATATAATCTCTTGCTGAGCAGGTAAAAAGTGCTTTTCTCTAGAATATTACCTGTATTAAGACTGTCCTTGTTGCAGGTTGGGGTCAGTCTCCCCCTATCTCCCTCCCTCCCTCTGTCTCTCTCTTTTTTGCTCAGTAAAGGGGTTAAAGAACACTTTGAATCAGCTGTGAAGGAAAAGAAAGAAACCAAAGGACAAAACATCTCAATCAACTGACTCACCCTCCCGTGACTTAATTTTCTCTTCAAGAGGTTTTTAGCCTTTCAACTTGTCTTGGTCACTCTCACGAGTGAGAGTATCAACACAATATCAAGCAGACAAGTGATGATAATATAGAAAAATATCAGTTAGGGGATTATAACTTGATCCAATACCAAATTCTCTAAACTAACATCAAAAGAACTGTAGGGCAGACAGTAAGGAGAATTACTAATGAGATTTTGGGAGTTAAAAAGTTAATCTCCTGGACAGGCTTATTCAGGTTACTTGTCTGCAATTGCTTGAATTGTAGCTTACCTTCTTCACATAACTTTTATCTGGAGTTCAACAAATGAATAAAATCATATTGTGATCAGATTTCTCTAGTTGGATGAAGGACCCATTTAAATTTCCCACACGCCCCCAATGTGTGGATTTATGGCTCAGTTCAAGGGTAGTAGCACCTATCTAGCATTTGAGAGGCCTGGGTTCAACTCCTGTCCAAGCTTGAAGTTTTTTTCAGACTTCTTCTCTGCAATTCCTTAAATTTCAAATTAAGTGGTGAGAATCACTTCTTTGCTTGGATTTCAGTCGCTGGTCAAAGTATGATGTATGATTTATTTCAAAATCAATTAAAAACACACAACAAAGGAAAAGAAGCTCAAAAATAGTCCTTGGTTTTTTTTTAAAGTCAAAATTATTTAGCCAAAGAGTCTGACTGGCAACTTTCCTTAATTGCTGCTGAACCAATGGGTGTCCTCACTCATGCAGGTGTTACAAGTGTTTTTTTTATTGTTTGATTTGTTTTGCTTGTACAATGAACATTCTTTCTAAAAAAGGTCTAATTTTACAGAACTTAAAGCCATATACCCGAACGTGAGCCCGAGACCTGTTCTCATTAATTTTTGGATAATCGATTAAAAAAACACACTCACACACTCATAAACAGTGCATTTCATAAAAACTTGATCCGTGCTCCGCGACTCGGTAAACATCTACCACTATTCACTTCTACTTCGCTAGATAATTAGCAATTAATCTTCTTTTACAATAGAAGAATAAACTTAAATATTAGATTTCCCATGCTAGCCTTGTTTCCAAAGTAATCCCTTTAATTCTAACAATTCTTCGACCACTCTGTTCTCACCTCAGACATTTCGGAACGATCTTGAAATATAAACCTAATCCTGTGTGATAAAATTCGGTGGAGTTCCCATAATGGTGTTTAATAAACATTAAACTCACTATCTCTTTTCTGATTGGCCGAAAGCTTTCAGTGAATTTTCCAAATCAGCGCACAAGACGTCATCTAACTGTAGACTATAAAATGATCGTGTCAAGGACACTCAAGGTCACGGTTAGTCATGTTATGTATAACAGCAGTGTATGATTTCTAAGGGCTATCATGTCAAGTTCGAGCGCTTTGTTTCGCTCGCTGATTTGTATTGTCGCGACCATTTTTTTTTTTCGTTCAATGTATAATAAAAAATTATTAGATTCGGTTTTTTGAGACATCCGGAATAATCAAGGTCTTGGTAAGGGTTATCAGCGCTGCAAGTGCTGCTTTACCATGAAGGTATTCCAATTTTATGTTCACTCCAACAATGAATTTGGGACTATGGTCACTTTAGGGTCCCAGTTGGTTCAATATAGTTTTCAGGTCCTCTTGCAGCTCAAAACAACTTACCGGGTACAACAGAAAGGTTTGGAAAGTTTGAAGAGTTACAGTTTTGCAGAACTATATTCTTGTAGTTGAAGCTCGATTTTGTGTAGAAAACTTTTCGGCACGTGTATTTATCTTCTACGACCGTATCAGAAAGTTGACTCACTTAGTCAAGAGTAGCATTTTCTTTGTAGTTTCAAGTCGGTAATAATAACAATTATTATAATTTAAGTGACAAAACTGTATCTGGTCTCTATAATTTCAGAAGAACACTCGTCATATTTCAGAAGGCTAGTTGCTTTGTAATTGTCCTGTATGGCTAACAAACAGTTTGCACATGCAAAACAACTGACCTTAGTCGGAATTTTTCGTTTTATTTCATTTTCGTGATGAGTAGGGCTAGGAGAATAGCCCCTTTTTTAGAACACAAATCAAATTATATTTGATCTTGACATTGGTTGTTAGAACAGCAGTTGATTTGCTAAATCATAGAGAGTGCAAAGGCAGTGATGAGCTAAGATTCCTAGTCATTTGAGCTAGTATCAGGGACGCATGGGTTACGGGTTTGAATCACGTCCAGGCCTGAAGCTTTTTCAGGCTTCGTTTCTGCGATTGCTCAAAATTACAGCATACTTTCGAGAATCATTTTATTACTTTTATTTCAAAAGTTCCCGGATCTTTCTTTGAAGCCTGAGGCGATTGAGTAACTTATCACATTAATCTCGTACCCAGATCCTACCTTACTGTAACTGAAAATTATTTACAATCGCTTGGCCGGGGAAAGTCTGGGTACGAGACTATTATCCTATCATTTCCCTTGGGCAGGAAAAAGATGAGTGACGTGTTTTTCCTTTTCTTTTTTTTCCGTACTTTTCTCACACATTTAACTAGGCTAGAAGAAAAGGAAAACTTTTCCAGACACAATCACATGCTCAAAAACGGGTTCCGGACCGACTGAGGTTTTCAGTATTGTCAGAAGCTCCTGTTATTGTAAGAAGTCTTGTAAGTAAGAGAAACAAACACTTGATTTCTTCAGTTTCGTTTTCGGCGCACAGAATAAAAAAAACCAACGTGTTTTCTAATAAAGCTTGATAGCATACCAAAGAATGCGAACGTACGCAATGGAATCTTCACACTGTCGAGCTGAAAGCATAGCATTTGAACCGCGCCCTATTTTTGGCCGCGCCCCAGATGAACTGATATGAACTTACACGACATTAGATAATTTTCTGCCAAAGTACCGGCTCGAATGCGTGTTTATCATATCAAAAACATCCCTTTGTTGTAGGATAGTTGCGATTTTTAAAAATTTAATACTTTAAATCCCAGATCATCATATGATTGTTCTTAACGTGTGCATCATATGAAATGAACGCCTCGGCAGGATTTATGCCTGTTTTGGTAGCAATGGCTTCAAACATTTGGCAGCGCATCTGGGAACGAATCGGAAATCTATAATGACGTTAAACACGTTTCAATTCAGTTTAAATCTAAGATATTTCTGTAGTTGCCAGAGGTAACGATCAGAGGTCCTTTCTTATGCAAATTATTTAGTCACGAGGCATCATGTGATTCATTCGGCTTCAAGAAGCTTTCGAATCAACCGCCTGTTTTTCTCACACGTTAAGGTTTGTTCTAAAACTTGAAATCAAACCGTGGGTCCACTTATCACAAGAGTACCTCGAGTTATTTACAAGACAAGGTTTCTTCCTTGAATGCAGTAAGTTTGCAAATGTTGTCTTATTATACTTTAGAAGGGGCAATTGTCGAAACACGCATTTGGTGATGCCGGTTTAATTCGATCTATGCTAAGACCTTGAATGACTGATATTTTTATGCCAGTAAAATTACAAATAGGTTGCCTTGTGTGTTGAAAATAGTTAACCAATGTTAAAAGCGTAGACACATTATAAGTGAACTTTGCTGCGCGAATTCGATCCAACAAGATCCACTCGAACTCCTTGTTTCTCTTGATGCGCATTTTTTCGGTCATTTCCCCTAACTCGAAATCCCCTTCGTCTTTAAGCGTTTTTTGTTTTCCTTGTTGGTTCAATTATACATGAAAATCCTCAATAAATGCGTACATTCCTAGAAGAAAAGAACTTTGAGGTAAAAATTTCCCCGCAACTTTTCAGTTTCGTTTTTACAACGGAAGTCTCGGTACGCTAAACGGCAGGTGTTATTTCCATTTCATTTTATGAAAAATGTGAAACAGTTGGCGTCTATTTAGTCATAGCTTGCCTCCTGTTGTTAGCGTGATGAAGCAAATATTTCCAAGAAACGTTAGCGCTCTGCCTGCCAATTTATATGTAAATTGCTCAGATCGCGAAGCAAGAGCAAAAGTTACGGCTGATATTGTTTTTATAAATGGTGAGTGTATCTGAATGTAAGTCGTCTCAATCATCTCAAAAGGTGTTAAACTAACAATGCTACCTTTGGTGTCTTCTAACGCTTCGGTCGAAAACCAGGGAGAAATTTTTACTTCGTCTCGACTAAAAATCTCGTTTCGATTTAGAACGCATATTTGTAGACATTCAGTTGGACTTGTTTATATGGTGCGCTCTAGGGAGCTTAACTCGCCGATACGCACCTCCTCTGGTTTTCCATGTCTTTTACATTGGGAACTGAAATGGTTCTCTTAGTGGCTAGATCATTTGAAATGAAATCAGGAAAGGCGCACTTCTCCATTAGACAAGAAAAGGCACGTCTGAGAATTCCCCGATTTCAGTTTCGTTTTCCCTGTTTGGGGCGGAAATGGCCGGTAGACTGGATTATTATCTTCATTTCTATGTCGAATCTTACAAGAAATGTGAAGCAGTCCGCGCTGATTTTCCACAATGTTAGCCTCCACTTGTCTGGTTCCAAAATAATAATAAAGTTTATAAATTTGCAAGTTCTCTCCAAGAAAGTTTCAGACTTGAAATTTAAACTCCTAAGAAACCGAGAATGATTCGTAAATTGTATGCACATTTAGAACTAGAAAAGATAATTTTCTCATATGCCCGTTCATAGTTGTCTCTTTCGGTCTATACCTGACAGGAATCTTTGTTTTACTCATATGCAGTCTATTGGTTTTCGATGAATGATTACCGGGTACTTGTCTGTCGACAAAACCTTGCATGTAAAGGAAGATAATAGTGTCCCGAATTCCTGGAAAACCTGTCGAGTTGTAAATTTCCCAGATGCATGGCAAATCGCTGGGATTACGAGTTACTTTTCAAAGTTTGTACTCCAGTTCTAAGTGTTTTTAAATACAAGTCGCCTTAAATATCGAGAACAGTGCATCTTTAAAGCACAGGAATTTATCGTGCAGCCTAGAAGTGGAAGGTAAAAACTTCCGTTTTCACTTATAATCTTATTTTACCTCCCATCCATCTCGACGGTTGAATACCAGACAAAAATTCTTACTACATTTCGACTGAACATCTCATACAAGTCTTTTGAGATTATTCAATAAATCTTTAAACCGGTCTTGTCATAGTCTTAATTAATTATTCTAGGATTTTTATTGTCCTGTACATGCTGGTGATCGAAAATAGTTAGAAGAATAAGAATGACCAGCGTTAGTTACTTCAAGTAAGATCCTCACAGCTGAACTGCAATCATTGATGGAGACTTAAAACACAGAAGACTCAACAAATCAGTCTTCAATAGTAAAATATTTCAAAACTCTTTATACTGAAGGTAATAATGTCTGTGAGTTCTCTGAAGTTATAGCGCTTTACCTGTCGTGCTATTAATTTCACAGAATGTAAGACACTTATATTCAGAGTTACTTTTCATAGTTTCTGTCTGTTGAGCGTTTTTTTAATGCAAAATCGCCTCCTATATCTAAAACACAACAGAGGAATTACATGTAGGGATCATCCTTAGACACGAGTCGTGCGTTTTCGAAATGAAAGCCGCGGCAGGATTTATGCCTGTTTTGGTAGAACTGGCTTCAAAACTGAATGTTGAGTTTATATTCTCTTGGATGACTGGGGCCTCCTTGATGTGCACTTGTTCCGTCATTTGCCATCAGCTAACTCGAACTCCCTTGTGTCTTGAACCGGGTTATCTTTTCCTTGTTGGGTCAATTATCATCATATACTTGGCGAAGCTGTACTTTCTTAATAGACAAGACGGGCCCAAATTTCGCATCGTGCATTCTTTCTAAAACAGGGTCTAATTTTGTAGATCTTAAAGCCATATACCCGAACAAAAACCTCAAACCTGTCCTCCCATTAATTTTTGAATAATTGATTAAAAAACACGCCATGACTGTGCTTTTCACATAAACTTGACGCTTCGCGACAAGCTAAACATCCACCACTATTCACCTCTATTTCAGTGGATAGTTTTAAATTAATCTTCTTAGTTAATAACAGAGGAATAAACTCAGATACCAGATTTTCCATAGTAGCCTTGTTTCCAAAGAAATCAATCAAGAGCTATTTTTTAATCACTATTCTCACCTCAGAGATTTCTGAATGATTTGAAATGATCTTGATCTTGACCTTGAAATGACTCATCCTGTGTCACACAATTCGGCCACATCCCCGTTTGGTGTGAATTAGTCACTCACCGAACCTGCAGGTAGACAATGCAACACGAGTAATACAGGTGGTAAAATTATTCGTTAGAGATAGAATACCTTGAGCCAAGAAAGTCACGGTGATAAGTTGAGAGGAGTAACCCTGACAATCCTTTGTCTTAATTCTAGAAGGGGGTTTCATACTCTCATACATGTCTTCTCATACTCTAAAGAAACTGTGGTGGCTTTTCTAGCCCATCAAAATTTCAATTGAAGGCAACGGTTTATGCATTAGTGTTTACTACAAACCTACAGATTCACATAGTTTCTTGTTGCATTCATCTTCGCATCGATAACACGTCAAGAATTCCATACCTTTTTCACAGTTCTCAGACTTCGTCGTTAAGTAGTGACGACTCTGATTTTCCGGGAAAATCAGAGGCAATGTCCCAGTTTTTCGATAAACACGGCTATCCTATTTCTGTCGTTCAAGCGGGCCACCACCACGCCTAACAAATTTAACGACAGTCAGCACTAGAAACGACTTAGTAGGAAAATACTGATCGCATTCCATTCAGTCTCACATTTCACCCTCACAACCACGTAGTTGAATCTATCATGCCTAAAAACTTTACATTACTACAAAACGATTCAGAGACTGGTACTATCTTTTCGCAACCTCCACTAATTCAGTTCGAACGCGACAAAAACATAGGCAACTTTTTGGTCAGAAGTTCATTTCAAACCAATGACCAACCTGGAACTTTTAAATGCGCTCACTCACGATGCAAACCAAAAGACCAAAGAGATCCATTGGGACTAATGATCACTTCACGAGCATCTCTGCCAGTGTCATCTACTGCATAACTTGCATTTATTGTAAAAAGTCATACATTGGTGAAACAGTAAGACGACTAGGTGACCGATTCCGAGAACACCATCAGGATAAAAAAAAAAAACGACAAAGACGCATCCAAACCAGTCGCCAGACTCTTAAATCTCCCTAACCATTCTAAACAGCATATGGCAGTTTGCGGCTTTTGCCTACATCTAGGCAGTTCGGGAAGTCGCAAAACTCTAGTACAAAAATTTATATTTCAAATCGGCACTCTTAATCCCCACAGTATCAACGAGCGCTTTTCATTCAACTAATTTATTCCTGTTTTCTCGTCACTATCTTCCCACCAATAGGGTAGCTCCATTTTCTGCATATAAACACACACACACACAACCCACAATTCCTCCAGGGCTAACGCTCGAAACGTCAGTTTTTAAACTCTTAACGGTGGCCAATCTACGTTATCAACTAAGTCGATAATACAAAATTATCTTACGTTAGGTACGAATTTTTGCGCACAATTAATCCTCGTCTCCTTTTTCATAAAACTTAGGTCCTGGAATATGGATGACGATGTCCATGTGTATAACAGCTATGGCAAAAAATACGAAGTACCCAGAAGACGCTTGAGGTCATTTGCCGAGCTTCTGATCGGAGATCATATCGCATTCCATCGACATTGCGGTTCCTACTGGCATCATGCAATAATCGAAGAGATCCACTCGGAGACAGGCACACTCGACATCATCGAGTATTCCAATACAGTTGAAGGGTTTTGGAACGACAACTTCGGCTCAGAAGACTCATCAAACTCCTTTTCACTACGTATCGCAAAGGTGATGAGGAGAAGTTGGAGACCAAATTTCCAAGAAGACCATGTTTACTTGGTGGTACACACAGATTGTTTAGATCCTGCCATTGTGATTTATAGAGCAAGGAGTAAGCTCGAGAATGCGAACTACAGCCCCATCAAAAATAATTGTGAACACTTTGCCATGTGGTGCAAAACGGGTAAAGAATCTTCCGACCAGATTAAAAAAGCTTGGCTAATGATGAAAGATGAATTATTTGGTGGAGCAGTGAAAAACGGAGTCAAAGAGGCAACAGAGGAAGTGGCAACCGAGGCTATGGTCAAAGCGGCAGCCGAGGCTATGGTCAAAATGACAAATGAGGCAGCGAAAACCGGAGGCAAGAGAGTGGCGAGCCGAAGTCTTGCACAGACTGGAGAATATTCCCTTAAAACTGGAGTTGAAGAAGCTGTAAAGAAAACTACTTCAAAGGCAGGAAAAGGAGTCTTGAAAACTAATTCTGCAGCCTTAGGACTAGCGTGTGGAGCCGTGTGTGAGGGAATCAACTTCTTATACGACATCGGGAACATGTACTGGAGGATCTACCATAGGAATGGCCCTTGGACAAGCTATCATACCCGTTCCGTTTGTTGGTGGTTTGGTGGGAAAGTTTAAAGAACATTACAGTTTTTCAGAACCATTCTATTTTAACTTCATAAACCGTCACTTGGGACGATGTTCGATTTTGGGCAGAAAACAATTCACCATTACTGGCAAAAGTATCTTCTACGACTTTAAAGGAATTCAGTTTGACTCTTAGTAAAGTTTGATTTTGTAGCAAACTTCTTTGCATGTATTTTAAGTCGGAAATTGACCCACCGTTATGATTTAAGTGACAGACTATATGCAGTTGCAAAAGACTCGTCAATTGTCAGAACTCCAGTTGGTCTCTACTGTCCTGTATGGCTAACAAACAGTTTGCACATGCAAAACAACGGACCTTAGCCGAAGGTTTCTGTTTTATTTTACCATTTTTATTTTCTTGATAGGTAGGGAAAAGAGAACAGCCACTTTTGTAGGACACGAGTAAAATCATATTTGGTCTGAAATTTGGTGTTGGAGTTTCCAAAGCATCTTCAGTGCTTTAGGATAGCGTTTGATTTGTTGAAATAGCAGTGTATCCAGAAAATCATAGAGTTCAAAGCAGCAATAAACCAAGATTGTTTAGCACTTTTGTATCTCCTTGGTAGACAGATTAAAAGGATATGTTATGTAAAACTTTGTGGCTTTACAACGCTGGAATATCCAAAGAAATAATGCGAACAGTAGTGATTTTAACAGCACAATGGAACCTTTCTCACAGAACAGCCCTATTTGACGGGATACAAAATTCATTTCCCCCCCCCCCTTCGACTACATATCTTTGGCTCTTTATTGGGGGGAGACCTGTATCAAAGGGAGCACTTTCCCCAATCCCGAGGGTTCCAGTGCAGTTCCAATGCATACCGTAAAGTTTTGGAGTATGGCACTGGTTACTTAGCAAATAACAAAAAGCTTAATTTGAAAATGGTGAGAAGAGCGAAAAATATTCTATAAATATTCTTGCATCTGGTACTCTTTACTGAATCGGCGGTAAAAAAAACCAAAAAAAAAAAAAAAATACACCCTTCGCGTGCATGCACATACTTTGAACAGAGCACGACCCTTTACGAAAGGCTACGTCGATGGCACACAAATTTAAAACCTCTCAATACATTTACAAAAGTCCTTGCATTTCTTTCATAAAAAGCGCATACGCATCGTCTTTAGTGCCGGTTTCGGCAACCTTTGGTTGTGAAACTTGTTGCGGTATACTCTCAACAGTCTCTGGAACGGCTCCAGGTGGCCGAAGTTTTGCTTTACTCTTCGGTTGTTCTCGTTTGACTCGTAGAGCAGTAGGTACAAGTTTTGTTAGTTCCGCCTGAGTGTTCCTCAGTTGCGGTTTAGCACTGATCGTTGCTGTTGCTTCTTTGCTGATCGTTGCACCTGTTTTTTAAAAAAGCGGGACTGTAAGATAGAGTTTTAATTCTTCCATGACTAAAAATGAACATTAGCAGTCACTCGTTTTTGCCGGGCAAAACAAACAATACTAAATTTAAATATCGGTTCTTGAAGAATCATGAACAGTCGTTTTTCATCCAAAACAAACAACACTAAATTTACATAACGTTGTAAATTACAATGGCCAGAGTATCGTCCATTTCTGAACATGTTATAAATTAAAATGACTTCACCGCAACGTGAAATTAGACATTTAAGCTTTCACTGGAATGGCGACACACTATCGTCCCATACCATCGACTTCATATTTAAAAACATCAATTAGTCTTAAGACCGAATAGCTTATTCAAAATATCTTCTAGAATCTTGAACGTAACATTCACTTTCTTGTCAGTGTCACCTCTGAAACTGGTCGCATGTTATGCTGTTGAATAAAGGCCGTAAAAACAATGGATTTATTCCAACCTATGTTAAAAATAAAATGTACCTTTTCCAACTTCTCCAGCTGGGTTGGCCATAGGAGGTTTGCTTATAAAAGTTGGGGGTGCAGATAAAACTGCTCCATGCGGGGGAGGGGGCATCATACCAGGAGGAGGGCCAGGGGGTCTTGGCATGCCAGGTCTCACAGGTGGCATTGGCATTGGCTGTTGCATCAGAGGCCTGGGCCCTCGTGCCATAGCATGTGCCATTATATTAGGTGGTAACCCTGGGGGTGGACCAGGAGGGACCATGCCAGGCATCCCTGGAGGAGGGCCTGGGGGTCTGCCAGGTGGTGGGCCGGGAGGAAACATTCTTGGGGGTGGAGCTCTGATCTGAAAGTTTGGCTGAATAGGTAGACCTCCAGGCTGCTGACTTCCAGGTAGGGGAAGCTGTCCAGGAGGTGGGCCAGGTGGTGGCCCTGGAGGTTGGGGTTGACCTGTTTGTGTCATAGTTTTTCTGGATTGATCTCCTTCATTGCCTGCTTCCTGTTGTGTAAGGGCATAAAATTAGGTCAAAAGTTTGTGTCTCTTCAAGGTGCAAGATCACAGATAGTTTAACAGGAAACCGCTCACTACAAAAATGAGCCTTGAAGACAGAAAATTCCTTTAATTAACTTTTAGCTGCAGAGTTTTTGCCTTTTTGTGTTTGTGTTTAACATAATGGTTTCCAAACAAGAACCAACAGTTGCAATGCTAAAAAGTATAAATCAAATCAAGAATGGAAACAGCACATGGGAGACAATATGATCTGAAAAAGATAAAAGCCTACAAGCAGTCAGAAACAGAACATTTCATAAGGAGTGTTCCTGGTAATGGCAGAGTACTTAAATTAAAACTACTCACTGGTTTATCAGGGAGGGGTTGGCCTGCCATTTTAAGAAGAAAGTCCTGTATTGAAGTGGTACCAGCGCTTTTTGAGGACTGGCTCTCACCCCCACTATTTTCAACTTCATCTGCAAACCTCACAGTTCTTTGGCGCTCTCCCATTTCTGCAAACAGCAAAACCATAAAACTCCTCTTTTGCTTAAAATATATTTAACGATTTTTAGCAGAGCCAATGTAGAACTTATAACTCCAACAAAACATGGTGAACCTAGCTGGCTGCAAAAAAAAGCATTTTCATAGGAAAACCTTACATGATGGCTGCACCTGTGCATACTTAAATCTTTGCAAACATTTTATGGTCTCTTTTTTCAAACTGTTAATTTTAATTAAACAAAAACCAGTAAAAATCAATTGCAGTAGTTAGAGCTCTGAGTTTAGCCTTTGCTTAATCGAAATATTGTCAAAAACCTTTATCTCCTTCACTGTCATCCATGCCATCATCTCTGCTGTTTCTACTGTCTCCAAGTGGTTGGCCATCTCCAGCATCTCCCTCCAATCTTCCAAGTGGAACTGCAGGATCATACTCCTCTTCCTCACCTCCTGATTCACTGGTGCTCCCTTCACTGTCATCATCATCATCATACTGACCACTTTCCATGTCCTCAGGTGCTATTCCAGGTGGGAGGGGTGGGGGAGCACTCACTGGTGGTATACCTGGTGGGGGTCCTGGTGGGGGACCAGGTGGGATCATTCCTGAGGGGCGTTTTGGTGGAGGCCCAGGAGGAGGACCTGGGGGGATCAAACCTGGAGGAAGGGGCCTAAAGTATGTAAGAGAACAAGGATGTTTTATTAGCAGAGAATCTAAAAAACTCACAAAAATCTTTTAGCATGTAATTCACAGCTGCAAAGATTTGTTTGCCAGTAATTGTACTGTGGGTACTGGGTAATTGTAACTTCTGGGGAGTTAGCCAAAGATTAGCTTACTCTTGTTATGAGTATTAAATAGAGTTTGCAAAGATCTCTTTCTCTGAGTTTTAGTTATAAAACCCTGTTTGACAACTGTACTACAAGAAAACTTCTTCTTGACAGATCACAAAATCAATTTTCAATAGATACATGTACACCACATAAAATTCCACAATGGTCAGCTACTCACAGTTGTCCAGGTAATGGTCCAGGAAGAGGGATATCACTTGGCATTAACATTCCTAACAGTTTTGAAAAAGTTGAGTTATTCAGTGCTACAGAGATGACTTAGAAAATAAATCAGTGTGCCCCTACAAATATATTGCACGGTATCATTAATCAGATGAACAGTACCTCTCCCACCTGTCAAGGAACAATAAAGACGGAATGATATGGATACACACTACACAACTGTGTGGACATAACATGAGTGACAAAAAAATTTCTCTTTTATCTTAACTACAAACACATTTAAAAAACTCAGAATCCTCCTTTACAGAGAGTATGATGGGGGCTACCTGCATGGGGAAGAGGGATGTTTGGTGGCAGAGGGATGTCAGGAGGCATTCTTGCTTCCTGGAAGATAACAGAGTACATGTGCATGTGTCACATCAAGGAAAATGTGAAGAAAAATCTTGGAGCTTTTCAATACACTTTTGTCCCAGGTACACAAACCTGAGTTTAAGACATGCCATACAATTATAGTGTCTTTCTCTACATGTTTCTTCTACAAAAAATCCTCTGTGGTTTTTAGCTCAAGTTTATATCCTTCATTATCCTTTTCCCTAATTTTTTTTTAATCACTCTCCTCTAGTGTTTTGCCATGAGTGAATTCAGAAAATTAAGGAAGACCTGATGAAAATGTAGTCTTCTCCCAACCCACAGGACAAAAATACACACTTGGGAGAAAGTTGGTTGATGAGCACTCTTCCAAGTCGAGGTTGAACTGACCTCCTTTTGTTCCTCTTAAATCTGACAATTTTCTTTCAGTTTAAATTCTCTATTTAATTGTACATTGTAACCACACCTACCTCTGCTAGAGCTTTTTGTCGTATTTCTGAAAAAGATAATAAATTATGTTTTTTCTGGCAAACACATGTATGTGATGTTCTTAATAAAGATCTTAAGGCAGAGATAAACCATCACAGGGAATCAGTTAGGAGCCATTTTGCTAAAATGATGGATGTGTTTGCAGTACAAGTGTCATGTCTATCTTACAATTACCACTGGTTTTCTTTAAATGTGCTTGAGCATTTCAAGATTTCTTTTCTTAATTTCTTGTGTGAAATGCTGAAATGAGGTCTGAAGCAAGATCACAGGTGAGATTTGTGTTTGGTAGGAAGATCAAAATTGTAAAGTTTGTCAAACAAGGGGCTGAATCAGCATGTGCAACAATAGCAGTTTGCTGTTTGTCAAAAAGATTAGGAGTATGGGGACCGTGATACAAAATAGGCAGCACAATGTAATACTTCCAAACTGAAAGTTTGAGCTACAAGCATTCAGAATAGCTGGCACATTTATCAGTCAGAGTAGATGGTGAAGTGCCCCAGTTGCCAGCTCATTATGAAAATCCTGCATTTGTGCTTATTTTTTTATTCTCTGAAAAAGAATTTTAAAAACCAAAGGCTATCACATAGATACTGATAAGCCTGTTTGCAGCTAAAACAAGATCAAGAAACTTGACAGCCTGAACTAACATACAAGTATCAGTATATACATGTCAAGGTAGCAGAAAAAATTTATAAAATGTGATCTACTCTGGCAGACAAAGAAGCCCTCTTAAAGTTTCCTGGTATCAAGTATAAATTACAGTCTATAAATCAGGATGAAAAAGTTATCCACATTACCATAAGCAGACATTTGAGCCTGTAAACGTTTTCTCTCACTATCAGCAATCAATCTGCAAGACAAGTTTGAGTTTCATAAATTCCACAAGATCTTAGATGCAGTTTCATGAGATTTTCTTTCCCACATCATAGAGGGCAGCATATAATTGGAAAAAATCTCAGGACATCTTAAAGAGTCATTAGAGGTGGCTGAACAACTTCTGATGCATTAAGTGGCCTAACCTGAGTAACACTAACATTTTCGCTTCCCTAGTTGACTGGTGGGAACATTCAATGATTGTATCACTGAATCACTGAATTGAAGCAAAGTGGCCCACTCTCATTAAAGAAAGTGAGTTCAAGTTGTCTGTCAACTGCCTGATGCACATTTTACATTTTTCATCATTCACCCTTACAGTAATATAACTGAACAGACTTAGGGCAACAAGGAACCTATTCTTTTCCCACAGATAAAACAACAATTGCCAAAGTCACAGATTGACTGACCATTTTTTGTTTGTTTTTACTTACTGCCTCATTTGTCCAGAGTGAGATGGATCATCTTTCTCCTACAAAAAGTTTCATTAATAACAAATAAGATGTTTCAGGAAACAGATACAATAACATCATAGGAATGTAAAAAATTATGGTCAACAACAATCAGAAAAACAAATTTCAGAAAGACTCACATATAGTTTCAACATTCTGTCAAGTGTTTCCTTCAGCTTTCTTTTCTTCTCTTTAAGTGCCTTGTCATTGGGAAGTGGGACTGGCCCAGCATCAATTTCTAATAATATAGAAAATGTTAAAAATTAATACTGACTTTCTATGTGAAGAAAGAAAGATAAAGATGAAGATGAGCAAATGAACTGAAACACAAATACTGATGTCTAATTTCACAGTGACTATATACATTTTATTTAGGTCATAAAAATAATTTAAAGAAATTATTATACACAAACTGTTAAAAAAGAAGAATGCTCACAAGATTTTTTGTACTGGTGTATATGTATTGTGTTAGTTTTAATGAAAACAAAAAGGTGTCATTTCCAAGAATCAGGACACCAAATATAAGGAAGCTAAAATTTTCAACAACCCTCACATCCCCATTCAAGTACCACAAACCCTAGAAAACAATGTGGTTTTTAACTTGATCAAAAACAAAACCCTCTCTGGTCCAAGAGCTGTTTTAGAATTGAAATGTGTGGTACGGACCATGTGAACTCTTTCAGGGGCTTTTTGAAAACATTTTCACTGATTGGTAATTACCTGTCTAATAAAGTATTAGACACTGGAACTATTGACATACAGTGTACACTTTTAACCCTTTAATCCCCAAAAAAGATTACCATGTAACTTCTCCCCATAATATCTGAACACTAATCAGCAAACAGGTGATGAGAATACTCAAACCTATCAGACAGAAGTTGTTACATTGATGTAACACCAAATTCTCATAACATATGTACAAGGAAATGTGTAGCAACTAGAGTGGAGAATTTACAATTAGATCTTGGGAGTTAAAGGGTTAAAAGTGATGTTTGATAATTTGTAAATTCATAGGGCTTTTCAAGACCATTATCTCTTGATGTGCACTGTAAAATTCTATCAATTTATTACTTTAAATTAGTTCTGCAAAGAACCAGGTGCAAAAGTATTACATTACCCATGGTTTCAATTTTCTCAATTTCCTCTAATATCCTTTGAGGGTCCTTGGATTTTAACACAGCTTCCCGTACCATCTTCCTCTGCTTCTTATTCTAGTGTATGAAAATAAACAAATACATGAATTACTTCCTGTTTTAAGTTTTAGAATTTGGAGGCTTGGTATCCAGTGTTTAATGGCTGCTATAGTACTAAAAGAAATTTAAAATCTATTTGAACTTCAGGGTGCTGCAGAGAGGACATAAAAACATAAGTACCAAGCTTGAACAAAGCAAAAGTACTTAAGCATGGATTTTCAAAATTTTGTTGAGAACATTTAAAACACTTAGCATATCTGGTAAAATTTCCACACAGACCCATACTAGTGTAATTCAAATCTGTTTTCCCAATGGAAATGTATTGTTTTTGGCATTGTTTTCTCTAGTCAAGAACCGAATGCATAATGAAGTATGGGGCTGTGCAGAAATTTTATTGCATATCTTTGGCATAGAAGTGAAACATGCACCTGTGTATGTGCTGCATAGGTCTTTAACAATCCACACATGTGTATTGTTAATTTATGAAATATAGGTAGAAGCATACATGTAGATCAGCTTACAAAAAGTACTGATTTTTTTATCCATCTATATTGAAATAATTATGGAAACAAAAGTCAAACAATCAAGATTTTCTAAGAAGAAAATGGTTATTCGAAAAAAGAAAAAAAACAGCTCATTTTTCACATTTGTTCAAACACCTACAACTGTTTTGAGAGGAAGATACAACAAACTCAGGTAAGTTTAATCCTTATGGAATCTAATGACTTGAAAATGAGTAGTCTAATTCGTAACTTTCATAGCTGCAGCAGGCTAAACCTCTCGAAATCTGTCATCTAATAAATATTCAAATATTCTCAATCACCAGCATCACAGGCTATGATATCCATCACACATACCTTCTTCAACTCTCTTTTTCTTGCTTCTTTCCCTTTAAAAAATAACAAAATCCATTAGTACAATGAAAGCTGGAAAACTCAAGGTGACAGAAACTGAGTGGAGATGGAAGAATATTTTCAGCCATCTTACTCGCTTGATCAGTGGGGTTCATAAACTTCCCACTCTTTGTCGTTGAAATAGACCGCCTCCCCATCTTGCACTAGTGAAAATACAACAAGTAATGTGTTAAATGAAAGGATGGTCAAGTGCTGTTAGTGCAGTCAAATAACATGGCGTCCCCTTAAGCTTTGCGACCACGTCTGAGTGAAAGAGCAGCCATGGCCTTCATGATTATTTACTTTTTAAGTAGGGTAGGGTAGGAGGTAGTTTCCGAAAAAATAGTTTGGGAGTTTAGAAACTCTTGCCCTTTCTTGTAGGTGTTTTTTGCATTATAGAAGTTAAAGGATGAGAAAAAATTCAATTTAATCCAAACTTTGAATTAAAATACGCAGGATTCACGATCTACTCAATTCTAATACCTTGACGTTACCCTACCCTGGTAGGAAAATGCTATGTCGCTTCTTATTGTCTGGGTATTTGCGCGCTTTGGTGTAGTGTCTTTGTCTTTTAATTCTTCCAATTTCCTTAGGGACTTATCAAGTGTCTCTTTAATTGATCCTTCCTGTTTATAAATGATTTAAGCTTAGTCAGACACTTGTCTTTTTGGCGGGCAAAACGACGAAGCTGCTCACTTGTCATAGGTCTGCAAAGTTTAAATAACAATCTGGCCGACATGAAAGCAATGGAAAGCTTTCAAAACGCCTTTGGGGAAATTTAGGCTCCAAAAGTAACTTTTATTGTCTGTGGAGAAGATTTGAACGATGTCGTACAATGCGATGTAATCTCGCGCCTGCACAATGAATTATTTAGAGGGAAGAGCCACAAGGAGCTTGGAGCGGCAGAGAAGCAGAACTACGTTCTCCCAAGAATCAACTGCAGTTGTGAAGAGTGGATATTTGTGGAAGATTTCTCATCACCCTGGGAGAACTTCATCTCGAAGCAGATACTTTGTCCTAACCAAGAGCTCCCTGGATCATTTCAGAAACCATAACAGGGTAAAAGAACAACACATGATATAATGTATTCTATAAGCTTAACTTCACAAATGTTCTCGTGCATTTTCATGGATTTTTCGGAAAGATTCACGCATAAGCCCATTCTGTTCAAGAACAAAGCTTTAGTCGCAAAGACATTCTGCTTTTTTTTTTTACTCTTGTTTTCTTTTATTAAGAAATTGTATGTGTAATGATGTATGGCGCTCTATGGAAATCTTGCAAAATTTCCACTTGCGTTGCACAATAACTTGAGTAAAACGTAAACAACACGAAGCTCCCCAGATATAATCAACTCAAATAAGTGCTTGATCTTGTTCGGAAATGATCTTGATAAAGATCAGATCATTTTATAGTTAAAAATAATAATTATAATAGGGAGGAAACGAAATTCAGGGAGTTGGGAGAGATAGATTAAAGCCAATTCTGCAAAATTATATTAACTTTGGAAGAGGATGAATTTGACATACTAACATAAGTATGCATATTCTCCATACTATTCTTAATACATTTCCCAAGTTGCTGAAAAAGATAATTTGTGTGACAATCAAGAACTTGTCTTGGTGATCATTTCCATTATCCTTGTGACTGTAAAGTGTGATTTTTTGGTTGATCTTGTAGGGAGAAATTAGATGCCAATCACTCTTAGGGGTCAAAGGGTTGAAAAGAGGGAGAAATCTTTCTTTTTCATCTTACTTTACTTTAAATTCAGGAAAAAAGTGTCAGGTTTACCTTGGCTTTTTGACAATGCTCTAAACAACTCCTGAATATTGATAATCAAATGATGATCCTTTCTTATTAGGAAAAACTCAAGGGAAGTCTTCCATTGGCTGCCATAGATGCTGTGGAGAAGCTGCGAGAAATTAACAACTCCTTAAAGATCACTGGCCCCTTTAAACATCCACTGATTTTACAAGCATCTGGAAGAGAGGAATGTCAGGAATGGATAAAGGCCATTGAGAATGGTAAAACAACACTTAAAAATATAGCAGATTTCATTTGGCCTTGCTAGTGAAATGTTGCATTTCCCATCATGTGACCCACCCAGTTTTTTTGGAAGAAAAAATGTCAGGTTCTATTTTGTTGATCAACATTTTGATTTTGACGATAATTTGCATCCTAGATTTTAGGGGAAAAAATGAAATTAAGACTTGATGTTGTATGGATATTGTTTATATCTGATTTTCTAGTTTGCTTATTATATTGGATAAGTCTGAGTTGGAAAGACAGTAGTCCATTTTACAGTTGCGTTCTTGGTTGCTAAGCCTTTGAATGGGAGTGAGGCTAGAGTTAACCTTATTATGATACAAATGTTGCTGCTTTTATAATGTAATCCACTTTGTTATCATACCAACTACATACTGGTCTCTATCAAAACAAGGTCACCTTCAGCCTTACTCCAAATAAAAGGCTTGGCAACTAAGTACACAACTGTGAAGTGGCCTATCAGGGAGTTGAGATGTATTTGTAACCAAGCCATCTTACCTTTTACTAACCCAGGCTTCCTTTGTCAATTTTGTCATTTTCTCTTTTGTTCATTTCTTTCCCTGATGAACCAAAGGAGCTAGAAGGCAATCATGTCATCGTAAAAATGTTATGTATTAAATTACAAATCATAGAGTTATACTTATGAAAATGACACATAACTTTTCATTTTAATATTATGGCAATTTGATATTATTTGTATTTAGGAATTCAGCAGTGGTGTTTAGATTCTGATGCAAACTCATCTTTGCATAAGGAAGATGAAATAGATAGCTTACAATGTTCTTTGAATGCTGCACCAAAGATGAAGGTATCCTGGATGTCTGTCTGTACTGATTAGTGCTGAAGTGAAGTTTATTAAAGTACACTCCATATAAAAACCATTATTTCTGATAGTTGTATTGCAACCTAAATACATTGTCATCTGAATAACTGTAAAAATATGTGAATGAGTGGTTTGTCTGCAATGTTTCATAAGCCAGCAAGCCAATTGCATTAAATGAATTTATATTTCCATACCAAGTGAAGCACCTTTGATTTAGGGCTAAACAGCAATGTGTAATTCTCAGGAAAACTATATTACTTCATGCCCAGGGTTCAGTTGTTCCAAGGGCAGATAACACATAAATCACTGTCCAGTGGATAAGTGTTCATGAAAGGTATTGCATTATCCATGGGATGGAGGTTTATCCAGTTGATAGTGTTATCCACCCTTTGAACTACTGGGCACAGGATGCTTTGTATCCAATATAAGAAACATTAACTGATAAGAAACCTTAACTGATCACACAATCCAACTCTATTTTAGCTCAAAAATGTACCTTTGGTTACCAGTTACTCCATCTGCATGCTACATTCTAGGGTTAATATCAAGCAGCTAAAAATCTGCATGCTTTTACATTCTATAAGGAGATCATATAATCTCCAAAATTTTTGTGGTGATACTGATAGAAAGTCATCAAAAAGTCATTTGAATCAATATTTATAATTGCTGATACATATTTCTTGATTTTGTTTTTGTAGATGCTCTATCCTTCTTTGTTTTGCCCTGTTGGTGATGGAGTTTTGATTTCAGGTGAATAATTTTGTTTTGTGTTTGCTGATGATAACATAGACCAGCATACAGTGACTTATATCGTTAGACCTCATAATAACATAATGTTTGTTTTTGCAGTACGTACTAACACAAGTATTCACCTCAATGTTGGTGAAAGTTGTGGATATTTATTAAACCATGAAACATCAGTGAAAGTAAATATCCACCATTCTTCACCTCCTTTGGTGATTAATTGATAAATACTGTACATTATAAGTAAATTTATCATAAAGACAAGATATCATGTTTATTGACTTTATAGATCCATCCACTGACATCATATATGGTTACTCAATCCTAACATGCATTTTTTAAATTATTGTCCAGCTGCCAGTGAGCTTCATCAGGAGTTTCCAATGATAAAGTATGCACGTATTGGGAGGTCAATTCCACATGAAAGAGTATTTAAGCTTGACAAAGACAACTTGGTAAGAGGGAAGATATTTTGAGCTTAGGAGATAAAATTATATTTATTAACTGAGTATATGAGCAAAAATTGTTTTACTTGTAGGTCGTAGAATTATTTTTATCTGTCATATTCTATTTTACAGCATATCATGTGGAAGAAAAGGGGAAAAGGTCATAGCTTTTCTTTTACCAACACTTGTGAGTTTGCATCTTAATTGTATTTCTATGTATTTTCCTAGCTGTTTGATTGAGGTTAATCAACCCTCTCATACCCCTTCATTAGTATTCACATTCTCCTTACTGATCTTTCTATATTTCATATAGTACAGACAAGGAGAATTTGTTTGACCATCAGAGCTGTTTTAATTGGTGATAATTTCTGTTATTCTTATACAGGGCGTGAAATTGCGCCTAATACAGGCACCAATGCGACTAAATTTTTCACTTTGGCGACCAAATCCTGAAAGTTAGTCGCCAAATTGGCGACTAGAACGTTTCATCATAACCTTACCAAGAGATATAGTGAATTAAAAAGATTTGCAAAGATAAATCCGCGGCAAACTTCCTCGTTAAGTTTGTTTCCAAAACGTAGCACATGCATCTCGATTGATAACTAGACGCCATCTTGGATTTAGATGAGCCTGAAAGTTGTATATCATCCATCCTAGTGTCCACTTTGTAGCACGTTAAGGATCTTTTCCCTAACTTAATTTTGGAGGGTCTCTCTAGAATGCTGACAGCGTAAAGAAAGATTTTGTTTGTCTTTGAAAATGGCAACCAACTTTTTTTGAATTGGCTACCACTTTGAAGAATTTAGGAGCCAAGTGGCTATCAGAAAAAATAATTAATTTCACGCCCTGTTATAACCTTTACATTTGATTCAAGGGACTGGTGTGAGAAGAAATAAGAAGTCAGTCACTTATAGGGTTTAAGGGGTCAACAAAACGTTTTCTGTGCTTAATGCTTTATGTGGATGATGTATTTTGTTTTGTTTCATCAGTGTGTTTAGACAGGGTTATTGAGGTACGCTGTGGCCAACAAACCAAAAACTTTGTCAAGTTTCCTTACAATGAAGTTGAGGAGCAGTCTTTCTCACTCATGTTTGAGAAACAACAAGGTATTAATTTTTTTATCTGTAGAGAATATTGTAGGTGAAAAAAACTCATTTTAAAAATGGGGATGAACTTAGATTTGGAGAGAACTTCAAAATACATACTAGACCTTGATTCAACCATATGATGGGACTTAACATTGATACAAAAAAGACTTGACACTGTTTAGATCAGAAGTATACTCTGAAGGTCACACTTGATTAAAATGAAAATTAAGGTACACAACAGAAAACCACAGCTATTAATGGACACTGGTGCTGTGGTGGAAGATAATTGTGGGCTAAGATAATCAGTAACTATATATACATGATTTTGCCCTGCAGTTGTTTGTATTGGCATTTTCACAAATTTATTCTTGGTCAGTTCAGCAGCATGTTTTCTTTTTATAGGGGAATGGAGTCAGTTATGTTCCTTGGATCTTATTTGTGACTCAGAAAAAGCTTATGAGAAGTGGACAAGTGCAGTGAGTACTTTATTATTAAATGTGTGATCCTTAACCCTCTGAGTTACCAGGAGTGACCAAGAAACAATTTCACCGTCCAACATCAATACACTATCAAGCAGAATGGTGGTGAGAAAAAAGAAATGTATCACCTACTGTGCAGTGGGGAATAGTATTTGAATCAATGCCTAGATCTTGGAACTAACATTATATGAAATGTATAACAAACAGAAGGGAGAATTTGTGAAAGGAGCTTAGTTGGGTTGCTGTCAGTACATCTACTTTATGATCTTGTAGTTTTTGCTTTCAAATTGTGGCAGATTTTGATTGCTGTTTGTTGCTTTTGAAAAATGATCTGGTTACCCTCAACCTCCTATAAGAAACTACCTTTCTGTTATAAAACTTGCAGCTTCTTGTGAGAGTTTCTATATGACATGTTATCTGTATTGTTATCTTTTTTCGATAGTTCAAACAGTTTTTTATTCAGAGAGGGAGAATGTTCCTGATAATAATTTGTGCTATTCTCTTTCTACCATTTAATATTTCTTTTTAAATACCTTAAGTTTAGCTTTGATGCAAAGTTGTGGCCTTTTATAATATGCTGAATTTAAACTCCTTTCAGATGAGAGAGGTTATTTACAGCAGAGATCAAAGAGTAAACAGGCACAAATTTGATGGTGTAGATCCAATTGTGCTGTATCCTTTTATAATAGGCTTCTATCTTTTAGGCTCAAATCTACATTTGTACTGAGTTGGAGGGAAGAAGCCAAAAATGTTTGGCTTGAGGTTGTATGTTGTGATTGATAGCCAAATATTTTTTCCATGTACCCCACCTTAACTTAGGTAATAAACATTTTGTGATATTATCGCTACTTTTTCCCTTTCCTTTTTTTCTTTTTTCTTATGGGTCAGTTCATTGGGCTTTGTGGTCCTTTTTTTTAAATTTTTTTTTTATTTTATTGTTTTTCATTTAAAGTGATTACCGTAGTTATTCGGTTATAAGGCGCACTCGGCTATAGGACGCACCCCCAATTTGGCAACTTCATTATTGCATGTTTTCAAACTGAAAATATCGCTGTTGGTTAAATTGTTTGGGGAGAAAGATCGGTCATTTTTGCCACCATTTTATAAAAGTCAATTCCATTTGTCTAACTGTGATAAAAAAAATTGTTTCGGGAAAATATTCGCCTATAAGACGCACCCAAACTTTGGCGGTAATTTTTTGTAGAAATTAGGAATTTCTTGAAAAAAACGGTGCGCCCTATAACCGAATAACTACAGTATATAAAAGACACTGTGAAATTAGTGAATTTTGTTTTCCTTCCATGTCTTGAAATGATTCTCCAAAAATATCAGCTTCTTATTTTTATCAATGAATTTTAAAAATACTTACACACAAATTTTACATAGGGTAGGCTCTTTCCATTCTTTGGTTAACTAGTATTTGTCTTTCTATTGTAAGTTTTTTCTTTGATTCAGTATATGAAGCTGGTTGAAAAGGCACTGGTCAGTGATGTCATCACGACACAGCAAGGGGATTTCCGTGGACCAAGCTTTGTCTTTTGCTCAACAATGCAGTGGAGCTAAGCGGAGACTGATGAGAAATTATGTTAAGGTAGGAAAACAAGTTCTGCAAGACTCCAGTTTCTGAAACATCTGGATATCCTTTGATTTTTTTGTTTTTGTCTTGTTGGGTTTTTAGGATGTACTTGAGGCTCAGTGTGGAATGGCTCAGCATAATGAGAATCTGCTGTGGAACTCCTTTGTAATGCTGTTCAACTCTCTAAATAAACAACCAAAGGTTAGTATTGTTACAAGGCTAGTTACTGTATGTTCAGAGATGTTTCTTTAAAGTTTATTTAATCATTGCTAAAACACTATGAGAGCAGTTATTGCTATTATTCAAGGCCAAGGAGTGATGATTAAGCTCATCTTGTAGGTTTTTGCCGAATGATTTCATTTTTTTTTTGTACACTCTCTCCCAAAATTCATCTACATTTTAGTACATAATACCGGTAGCTAAGGGCAGTCATGAACTATTGACTCCAGGGAATGGTGATTTGAAGTTAAATTAAGAATCCCATGCTACAAAGCTTGTAATTCTCACACTGACTGTTAAATAGAACAGTCCAAGACTTACTGTGGTCTTACGATCCTTGTTTGATTACTTATAGGCTCTCATGACCACTCTTGGTGAAAAATTATACATCTTCAATATTATCTATCTCTAGGGTAGAAATAGTACAAATTGCTTTAATTTACTATATTTTGGAAACTCATAACATGTGCATTATGGAAGAGATATTGATTGCAATTAAAGTTATGGATAATTTAATATCATTATGTCAATGTCAATCTGTAATAACTTTTTTAACCTTTTTTTTTTTACCAGTTGTATGAGATGTTTTGTAAGTATGCAAAGGAATACCCTGACCTTGGTATGACACCAGCTGAGTTTGCAGAATTTCTTAGCAGAGAGCAAGAGGTAAGTAATGGAGAATTATTACACTTGACATCTGTGTTGACACCTGTGTTAAGTTTTTGGTAAATACACAAATTATAAGTTATCAAGAATGTTGATGATATTATTTGATATTTTATACATGTTGTTGATGGTGAAGTTGTTAGTAACAGTGACAGTCGTGATGTAGGAGATCCATTAAATATGATTTTTTTTATAAACAGGAAACACTAAGTCTAGCTGCTTGTGCGAGGCTGATGTCAGCTCATGACAAATTTCACATGATATTCAAGCAGAGATGTGCAGGAGACAATCCAGATTTCTTCAGATTGAGTAAATCTCTTCTGTCATATCATGGATTTTTAAGGTAAATAAAGTTCTATCAAGAAATCACTGTTCAGGTACTTGTACAAACTATTTTTTAACTATTATTGGAGGACAGTATAATCATTAAGATCTATAATCTTCTACTTTAAAAAAAAAAGTATCTGTGAACTTGGCCATACTAGTACACTTTTTGCTGTATATGTTTTTTGTAATGGGATACTTCTCTGTGCTAAAATAAACTAGGATGATAGTTTTAATTTCCCAAGGGTTTAACCACTTTTTAAAGTTATTCAAAATATAAACTGTCACTAATGACACAAATTGACAAACGACTGAGGAGGTAAGATTAGGTTTCAATTATGTCTGTGTAATTTGAGCTAAATCTTTGAGCTAAGGGTGATATATCTTTGAACCTCACATTTATAGATAAAATTAAATGGGCTTTACAACTCTGGAAGGAAGAGAATTTTAAATACAACTGCAGCCTTATCATATTAACAAATTAAACTTAGTAGCAAATATTAAGAGAGTTGTGTTATTTTATTTCAGTTATCTCAGAAGTGAAGACAACTCTGCTGTCAATCCAGAAGAGAAAACTGTCCACCAGGTGAGGGGTGATTTGATTTATCCAATAGGAATTGAATCAGGCTGAACTGTCAGAATGGATTTAGACATGCAGGTGTGTTTGAATTTCAGTTGTGCGTGAATCACCCTCGAAAATGTTGTTTGGTTAAACTTAAGCATGGGGCTCCTTCTGTGCTAAGAATTACATTCTTGTTTGTGGGGAAGATTTAAATATATATGTAAAATTGGCTATTTATTGACCTTCCTCTCTTTTCAATATTGCTGAGGAAGGTTTGCACAAATAAAAACAATGTAGCATCATAAATTAAGTTGATGGGGCCTCACAAAATCCAAACTTAAAGTTAACATTTGAACTTGAACTGTTGTTTTGTGATGAATGGAATAATCTTGGTTGTTACACAGTCATCGAGATTTGTTTCCTTTTTTTTTTTAATTACAGGACATGGATCAGCCTTTGTCTGATTATTTTATCAACTCATCTCACAACACCTATCTCACTGGACGACAACTGAAAGGCAAATCCAGTCTTGAGGCTTATGTAAGAGCTCTATTACAGGGCTGTCGTTGTCTTGAACTTGACTGTTGGGATGGCCCAGGTAGGTGAAATGTCATTTACTTGTTGACATAATGAGAGGGCTAAATAAGAAATATCTGAAGGTATCAGTATATATTTGTTTAGATGCTAAACACAACAAGACAACCATGTGATATCTGTTTCAAAAGGCAGATAGGTATTTCCTATCTGATTTCTGTGAGATGTTAGTCATCCCAATTCAAATCAAATTTCAAACTCAGCTATGAGATAATTAATATTTAAACTGTCAGTGGTTGCAACTTATGGTTTCAAATACTTGATGTTCCACAATTTAGCTGCACCATAACCTATTAGCAGTACTTGTGAATGGGCAAGGGATGATGATTTGCTTGCATGCCCCTACATCATACAAGGTTACAAGACAGTATTGTTTTGGAATAAAAATTCAAAATTGAGGATTATACAATATTATGAAATGGACATGTTATTAGCCTAAGGTTACATGTCACTGTTTTCTTCACTATCTAATACATACTTAATTTTTTAAAATCAATATTACTCTGCTGTAAAATGAGAAAAGAAACTGTCTTTGGATTTCAGACGAGCCTGTGATAACACATGGACTTACACTCACATCTAAAGTCAGGTTCAGAGATGTGGTGCAAGTTATTAAGGTAGGAATGATGCCTTTTTTTTATATTTCAGTAGAGGGATTTGATAAATGCATGATATAACTTAACCACTTAATTCTAATACACACTGGTTACTGTTGGAGAAATAAGTTTAGGATCCTTTGCTGAGGAAGGGACAAAGATTGCATTCAAGAGAGTGTGGTTTAAAGAAAAATTTAACTATGTTTTGAAAGTCTGTTGTCAGAAAAAGGCCTGATAAAGCTCTGCATCATTCTGGTTTGAAGATGTCTTGCTTCTGTTTGATGCATTGATGGAATACTGTTAGTGGGTGAACTGGATCAACTTGCAGTGTTTTCCGCAGGGGCATATTTACAATTGTGCAATTCTTGTTGAGAATATGTTCATTGAATATTTGTGTCATATATATACTTGGTGTGTAATTATAACACTGTAAAGTGATTGTGTTTGAAAATCATACTTTTTGAAACTTTACTAAAAACATACAACACAAAACAAATCATTTTTAATTTTTAACTGAGCTTGTTTAATAGTGGTGTAAAATGCGTCTTTGCACAATGCCAGCAGAGTAAGCAACAAGAAGTACATGCTCTGATTATCAGCAAAATGGAACTAATGCATATTATTTTATAAATGTTAGGGAAAACATGCATACTGCAAACCTTACTTTCACTCCTAAACCCGTAAGAGTGACTAGCATCTAATTTCTCCTTACAATATCATCCCTGAATTTAACATCCAGGTCATGAGAGGAAAAGAAATGATCTCCAAAATAACAAATTCTTGCTTGAAAAATGAACTCTCCCTAAAAGTAACTGTTACATTGAAAATGTTTTAAGAATAATAAAGAGAATATGCATCATGATGTTATGGTGTGAAGTTTAACTTCATTTTATTGTGTCTTTTTACAGGAGTATGCCTTTGAGACAACAGATTTTCCTTTGATTTTGTCCTTAGAGAATCACTGCTGTGAGCAACAACAAGTAGGTTCAAGGAATGACATTTCAATGCTATGATCAATGCTCCTCTAGAATTTAAAAATACATTTGGTCTCATTTTTTTATCAATCTGTAGGTGATCATGGCTGACATTTTTGTCTCTGAGCTTGGTGATATGCTGGCAACAAATAACCTCTGCGATGAGATGAGTATCAATACTCTTCCTTCACCAAATCAGCTCAAGAGAAAAATTTTGCTGAAAGGCAAGATTAAAGTCAAGAAAAAGGTGAAATCATGATTCAAATAAGTACTTTATTTGATGTAGTCAAGGTTTTCTTTGTTCCTGTGTGAGTTTTGAATGGGCTATGATATTAAATATTCCTTTCATTTTTGTTTTTCATCCTTCAGCACAAGATATCAACTGCCATTACTCCTATAATCTCTGTAAGTATTTGGACTCCAAGGTTATGTAAAGGTAGTGCAGTTACAGGTAGTGCGAAAAGGTGTTAACTGTAGTCTTCACACAGCACATGTTTAATACTGGCTGAATGTCAAATTCTCTGAGATGACACTGGAATGACTGCAGTGGGTTTGACTTACTTTATGCAAGTAAGACCTTCATAAGATTCCTGATACTGATTTACATAGTATTACATAGTATTACTTAGTCATGGCTACTTAGTGACTACAGCATTACGTTCCACACAGACTCTCCTATGTTCAAGATTGACTGTGTATATTGTTTAGTCTGTACTTTATGTAAATTCATATAGGACTAGGTTTACACATTATTCATATATATTTTGTACACTTTTTCATGTCAGTTGCACAGAAAGTGAATATCACTAGTAATCAATCATGGCCATTTCTCTGGAAAAAGTACTATTTGTATTCTGTTCTTTGAGTTAGATGTTAATGGTTGACTTAATCTCAAATAGGGTCTTACTCCAAGGGTAAAGAAGACCAGCAAAGTGCTAGTTTCAAGTCAGGTACCAAACATCACTAGATTTATTTTTATTTGATAATTACAGTGTATCTGTATAATAGGTTGCCCCTGGCAAACCTTGTTACCTCTTTATTTACTCAGAATAGGGTTTTGTTATGCTGGCTTGTCAGGTCTTTCATGCACTAACCAGAGTTATGATAAAATGCAAATTTGATTTTTGAAGCAAAGTTAACTTTTTATTTTAGTACCCCTTCTAGTACAGGACACTTTTGAACCTAGGCCAATATTTCACTGCTAAAGAATGTTTTCAGTTCATTGCTCTGAATTCTGTCAACAGTCTGAAGCAATGTTGGCAAGAACACCTTCATCACAGTCACTCGGTACTAGATTGAGATCTTCAACAACAACCACATTGACAGATGACAAGGTAATGGGGTTTACTAATTTTTGGTTTCAAAATGAACATAGCAAGGGAAAAATTCAATCAAAGTCAGGAGTGGAACCAATTAAGTTTAAAAATCATCTTGATTTAGATATTCTTGGCAATACATAGCTGGCTTGATAGCTCAGCTGGATGGCCATGGGTTTAAATCCGATAAAAGCCTGACAAATTTTTAACTGGCTTTCCTTTCACAACTATTTGCATTCTGCATACGACATGTCCACTGGGTTGACTTGTCAACATTCCAGCTGAGGACGTGCTGTGGTCTTATTTTAAAAAAAGCTTTCTTCTCCCAGCTTTGAGTAAATAGGACCATCAGTTGGTCAAGTGGAATAACAACAGAATCTGGCACCGAAAAATTACATAATTGAGCCAGAGGGCATCTAATGGCATGTAAAAGAATTAAAGAACTTATGTTAAATCAAAGTTAAATTGGTTCCATGACCAGCATTTTACATTTACCATGTTCCATATTTCATTTCAGAGCTCAACAAGTGAAGAGCAGTATCATATAGTAAGTCCTCTAAAAATTCTTATTCCATTATGATAATCAGGGAGAGGAACATACAGAGATCATAATGATATTTCAATGTATTGCAAGCAAACTTGACAGTTTCTAGAAAAAATGTTGTGCTTTATGTTGCCGTGGGAAGGGGGGGATGGGCATTCAATTTACTTGTGTTTGTGAGACCATACTGATCTCTTATTTCACCATCACTGTGGTTTTCTAGGTCCCATTAGAAGATGCCATGGGAAAACTGATTGTGTATATGCGTGCAGTTCCTTACAAGAGGAGTGAAGTCTCTGGTGACTGCTGTGAGATGTACTCATTTAATGATGGAACAGCACAAGATGCCATTACAGGGCATCCAAGAGGTGTGATCTTAATTTTAATTCTCCCATCTTGTTGCCATACATCTCCCTGTAAATTAGTCAAGAGAATTTGGTGTTACATCTGGAAAACATCACCCAGCTGATATCTTTAAGTTTGTTTTTTTTTCTTGTTGTCAGTTTGTTACCGGTAATTAATGGATCAATGTGGTCATGAGAAGTTACATGTTGATCCTTTTTGGAATTTTTTCATATTCTTTAAAATACATAAGACATGTCTCTTCTGTAATTTTCCTGTCTCACTTAGCCCTCTAACTAGTCTCAAAATTAACAGGAGACATAGCTTTTTTTTCCTAGAAATTCTGAATGGAGAAATTGGATTTTTTATGACGATGGTGGTTTGAAAGCTGAAATTCTTTGAGGAAAGATGGAGGGTCACATAAAAAAATAGAGACTGAAATAAATTCTGAGTTCTTTTCATAGAAGTGGAACCCTAGAACTTATTGCATCCCATAAATTCAAGATCTCTTACAAAATAATATGACATATATATATATTGCATACACATTTTGTATACACATTTGCACACTCTCACATGACTGTTCCATGTAATTTCAGACAGATGCTGAGTACTGCAATGTGTAGTTTCATGAAGATCTAATGCTTATTTTGTGTTCTTTAGATATTTTGTATTTGGCTAACAAGCACATTGTCAGGACATATCCCAAAGGTTCAAGAGTGGATTCATCAAACTATAATCCCCAGACCATGTGGAATGCTGGTATTCAAATGGTGGCAATTAATTTTCAAAAACCAGGTTTGTTATAAAGAACAAATTGCCAAAGAAACTCTACAGTCTTATTATATTTAACCACAGATATCTCAAACTTAAAATTATCATAACCTCAAATCACACATCTCTGCCAGCCTTATACCTTTTTTTGTCTCTCAGAAGCCCTGATCAGTTTTTGATCATTTTAATTGTTGTCATAAAGTTTGAGATACTATACAAGATCATTTAGTAAATATGCTGTGAAAAATCTTTTCATTTTCAAGAACACCTCCTATAAAATAGTTATTCTGATCATTATCCTATAATCTATCTCAGCCAGTAAATTTTCATTAACAGTTAATTCACAAAAGACAAAAAAGAAGGAGTTTTTAAAGGGATTTAATTCGGTTTCAATCTTTGATCTGATGATCTTCATTCTTTGTCTTGATTATTTCATGTTCCTTCAGGTGTCAGAGAGGAAATTAGGGTTTTTTTTTTAAAGTATTGATTCCCTATTGATCATTGGTGTTATTTTGCAGATTTTAGCATGCATCTAAACCAAGGAAAGTTCAGGAAGAATGGAGGATGTGGTTATATTTTAAAACCTGATTCTTTGAGAAACAGAGGTAAGGAATTTGTACTGGTGAACACTGTTGTCTTTATTATCTCATGGTGGCAACAATAACTGTGGAAAACTTGTTCCTGTTTTATCTAGAATTAACCTTTAACACCCACATGCCCCTGCCCTTGTGAAACTGATTTCAATTGACTGTTAATTTTTTGCAGAGAAGTCAAATTATCACCCAATGATTAAGGAAAGTCCCAAGAATGGAAAATCATGTTACTTCACCATTGAGGTTTGCCATTCTGTTGATTGAATTAATTTAAAGGGAAGGGGAATAAAATTATTCAAAAAAAGTTTGCAGGCCATGGGGCCATCCCTTGCTGTGTTGGTTTGTCTTATTCCCCCTCTCACTTTCCAGCCTTTCTGGGTTTTTCTCCCCTTAAATTTCTGTGTTGGGTGCCTGGTCCTATTCCGTGGGACCTCTTGGTTATAGGGTTTGCCTGTCTTGGGTGTGGCACTCAGTCAAGGTGCTGATTGGACTTACACAATGGTCAAATGTCTGCGCATGTGGAAACGTTGTGTTGGCCAAGGGTCTTGCTCTCAGGTTGGCAGAATTAAGTTCTCTCACAGGAGTTACAAAGAAAAAACCTTAGGGTCTACATGATGGTGTTTTAAAAGCATAAAACATTTTTTATAACGCTTAAACCAAAATGGCAAATCAATTGGATACTCGTACTTGAATAAGCTTTACTTAATATTCACTTTTGTTGGTTAGGCATTTGATATTGTGCTTTCCTTAACTGTAAACATTATATCCATAAGAAATTTTGAAATTAAACGGCTTTTTTTTTTAGGTGTTATCAGGGCAATATTTGCACTTGGATCAGGACTCTTATCTTCCAATTCGTGTTGATATTGAGATAGTTGGTGTCCCACAAGATTGTGCATCGCTCAGCACAGAGGTTAGCTTTGAAATTTACCACACAAAAAATTGTAAAAGAAGTGATTAGCGGATTGCATGTCAACAGTCCAAATAGCGACACTATAAGGCCAATTTAATGTAGTTTTTGGTTGTCCATATATAGTGGTGGCACTGTTCTCATGTGTTGTACAATGTTTGGTGTTCCTGCTGTCATTAATGGGCGTAGTCCTCTTTTCTTAACTGGTGACGACGCTTTTCTTTATTTCTTCATTAGCCAACTATGGACAAGCTGAATCCCCAGTTTGAAAATGCCAAGCGTCTCTTTAAAATAATCATGCCGGAATTGGTAAGTGTTGAGAAATGAATTGATCATTGATACCAACTAAAACTGTGAAAAAAAATCACTGCTGTGTCTTTAACAAACTTAAATTTTGTCTGTGCCTTTCAGTGTCTGGTTTACTTCAAAGTCCATCTGCTGAACAGAAACAAAAGCAGAATTATTTTTCAAAATGTACTTTCTTTGGACAGTCTTAGACCAGGCAAGTTGAAGTTCTGAGGGAATGATCACAATGAGGTTTCATTCCAACCATTACTGTATCACTTTTAAGGACAAGTCAAACTAATTTACCATCTTATGCAGTTTATAGAGTTCTTTCACACAATCTTGAACTCCATGCTATGGCGTTCGATAGGCTATCTGAAAATCTCCTGTTGAACCAAATTACCAATTCCAACTAGTCTTGTACTTGTAATCGTCACAAACTATTCAAAGGGTCATGAAGTTCTGATCCTACAACTGACCTGTAGAGAGACGTCTTTTAACTTGCATCAAATGTCCTTTTAAGGAAGAAGACGCTCTGTGTGCTGGTTATATAGTACAGTTGTAGGTAGCTCAAAGGTCTAGTTCGTTAAAACTTCTCTCCATTTTTGTAGAAAAACTGCCGCATCCTACTCACCTCCCCCAAAAATCATAGCAATTTACGGACAAACCAAATAGCTTGTGATTAATTTATTTGCTACATATTTTTCTTTAGGACTTCACTACATCCGACTGCGAAGTCCAACAGGTGTTGAGATTCCCCACAGTGGTCTGTTTGTCCGTATAAAGCTTCAAGAATTTGAGCCGTCCTCTTGTATTGTAAAGGGAACCTCACGAGAGAGACTCCTTACATTTTAGATTTAACTCAGATTTGTTAATTCTTTCACTCCCCAGATCTCTTAGATGATTCTCCTTACTGTCTGCCAAACAATTCTTATGATGTTAGTGCGGAGAATTTGGTATTGTATCAATTATTGATCTCCTTACTGATGTTATTCTCTATTCTCGTTATTTGTTTGCTTGACATTGTATTGATATTGTAAGGAGAAATTCTATCTTGGTCACCGATGGGAGTTAAAGGATTAACGTATAGTGCTATGTCAAATTTTGTTAATTAGTTTCGTTTGTAATGTAATCTATATTAGATACCGTTCTGATCTGGACTGATAATTCAAGAAGAAAGATATTTATTTATTTTTAATTTTTCAATTTCTCATGGGGAATCGTTTGGAAAATGAACTAAATGAAAGGATAATGTCAGATCAAACTTAGGTTCTTTTTTTGAGTTTGTGTATCGGAGGAAGTTTTGTTTTTGCTTTTTTCTTTTATTATGTTGTGTTTGTTGGCATGTTTGTTTTGTTAGAGTTTTTTGTACTCTGTAAAGCACTCGACCACTCAGTATTCCTTATTCGTGCCACTTGATAGTTCTTGTCGTAGAGCGCGCGATGTTCTCAGAAGATTGACCTCATTTATTATCGAAAGTTAAGATTAAATGTTTAACTAAACGAGATCTCTTTGCTAAAGAGAATTTTTTCTTTGGTACTCGTCAGCCGACAGTGAGCAATGTAACAACTACACGAGAAGGTCTTTTAAGACTGTAAAATCTTAGAACATAGTGATTTTGAAGTGAGTGTCGTAAACCACTACCAAAGTTATCACAACAACCAATCAGAACAAAGAAATAAGCAAAAGGAGCCAATCAAAATTCAAAGTTTAACTAGCAAACTGCTAGAAGCGCGGGAAAACGCGGGTAACCAAAACCTGGGCAATCAAAGATGCGAATCTCAGGTTCGCCGTATAATTGAAAATTACTTTTAATTACTTGTAGTCAAGTAACAGCAAAAATTTAGATTTAGCCTAATTCTAGCCTGTTCACAAAATGGGAGAAACCATCCTCAATGTACTGAAATTAAAATTGGAACTGTATCATGGTAGAGAAATAGTATGAACACTATTGATGATTGTTGAACATGACACAATAGCTAGATCATGCTTTTACAGGGAGGGAAATAAGATATTTAATTGTCTAAATTAACTTGATCGAGAACACAGTAATTACCTGTACATATTATTTTATTTGGTTTTCACGTATTTATTGGCGTTTTCATTCATCTACGATTTTAATGTACTATTGAATCATACTTCTCAACGTCTTGAGAAAATAATATTTTGGAACGCGAATCTTATTTTATATGATAGGATATGAAGATTGTACAAATGACTCTGTTTTAAACCATCAGGATTACACTTATATTTTGTAATATATTATGTTGAAGAAATAAAACGTCTTTCACCTTTGATTTTTCGGTTCGTGAAGCTGTCATTTGTAAAGAATGAAGCTTAGTCTTAGTGTTAAAAACAGAGGTCATATTTCAATATTTCCTCCCCTTAAACGTCTTTCTTCTCTCCTGATGTGTATTTTTAGACTGCTGATGATGAAGTTTTATCTCGGACTTAGATCCTACCGCGTATGTGTGACAACCGCTTGGCCTTGAAAGGTCTGGGTACGAGACTAGGTGTAATTCATCAGAAGGCAGCCTGTTCCAGGTGTTCAGTTAGTAAAATACAGCGAAATAGTTAACGGCGTGATAACTCGCGCTTCGTTTTATTACCTGCACGTGTGGAACAGGCTACTGTAGGTTTGTCGCCGATAGACCCTCGAGGCCAAGTTATACAACTGGCGAATGACGGTATCCTGCGGCTAGGTAACAAGTCGTACTGCGCTATCCACCGGAAGGGGACTTTTTTAGCGGATGCTGCTATCCATTCTTCAAACCAGCAAAACTTGGTCCTCAGGTGAGGCGAGATGAACCCTAGCGAAAGTCGCAAGTGGTTCAGACCAATACACAGGGAACAATAACGAGAAGATCCCTTATTCTATTGGATAGGACTTGATGAAAGTCTAGGTGGCAAAGTTAAATGAAATGACACTACTTTTAACGGTTACGGACACCGTTAAGGCATTGTGCTAAAATAAAAAAAAAATAGTAGAAAAGGGCGAACTTGAAACAGCTGAGGACAATTGTCTCGAATTTGTGCCCTGTTCGTTCTCCTCACTGCTGGAGAAAATAAAGGGGGCTACTTTATAATAGGTAAAAAAAATTTTGCAAAACGTTCGACCGTTTTTGAAACAAAAGTAATAGAAAGAGAGACCTTCAATTATGCGTGGGACATATGGTAGGTAGTTGATTGAGCAAAATTCGCAAAGTTTGGTCGTTTCGTCTCACTATCCATTTTTTGCACTCGTTCAAACATACCATCATGTACTTGCCGGACAAAACGCACGACATTTTTTCTCTTGGTGCTTCTTAAACTGAACGTTAAGGAGCGAGAGAGACCTTTTAATGTTTGCGATGTATACCACGAATCTACGGCCGTGGATGTCCCGCATGAAGCACAGCAAACATGCATAAATACGTTTATCTTAATACGATCATTTAAACACGCGGACTTCCACCAGAATACACCGCAGAGCTGAAAAGAGCTACAACTTCTTTAACACTTGGTAAAAACTTTTTCTTGTAGGCAAATAGGATGTGAACACCAGCGAATAAATATAGCGAAATGCATTGCATCAACTCAAGTTAGATCTGAATTGTCATGGAATTCCACGTAGTGAGGATGTACTGCGGTATTGTGTTCCCTTCCAACAGCTAGCTGACTTGTTCACACATTTTGAAAGAAAAGATTTATATTCTTTTTATAAAAGGACATTACTGATCGAATATCAACTTAACTGAGTCAAAAAGCTGCACAAAGCGAAAGCATTTGGGGTTTTTAAAACACCGCTATTATAACCCGTCGATTTTATTCCAATCAAAACTGCGGTAAGATTAGAGTGGAGCTGAGGCATTGCATCAGATGGGATTTAATGATTTCTTGGAGAAAATAGGAACCACTGAAATTTTAATCTTTCACAAAAGGAACCATTCCAAACAAACAAACTTTCCGGAGCACAAAAAAAAAAGGAAAAAACGGAAAAAAAAATAGTCGATTATGTTCATACTTCTCCAAAACACTGACCACTTGTCCTAATTCTTTAAGGCTTTAAAAAGACGCCAAAACCTGGGTGACAATTTGACGTGTATGTTGTGGCTTGAAATGAAACTTGGTCAAATATTTTTAACCAGTTCAATATGTATTCACCTTTGTTCCAGAAGAATTTCCATCATTATTAAACAAAGAAAGATAAACATCAACCTTGTTTAGAATAACTTCAACTTGAGGTTCTTTTCAACCCCCACAAGTACAAGATCTATTCCTTTTAACCCTTTACTCCCTAACACCAGTAAACATATTCTCCATACTGTTCTCTGAACATTTCCCAAGGTGCTGACAAGGAGAATTTGTCTAACAATCAAGAGCTTCTTTAGTTGGTGATCATTTCCTTTTTTCTTGTGACCTTCATGTTTGATTCAAGGGTGATATGGTAAGGAGAAATTAGATACCAATCACGCTTAGGGGTTAAAGGGTTAATTGTTATCTTGGTGTTTGGTTAAGGTTAAAGATGACACTGATGTTTGCTAACTGAGGATTTTCACTTTGAAGATTAGTTATCCATGATCTCAGCAGATCTTCACTGGCATTAGCATGACTCATGCAGACTGCAACAATTTGACCTAAAAGAAAAAAAAAAAACAATTCAGTCAACCCTTTTCATTACTATAACAAAATCCATACATTACTCAGCAAACAGGTAAGGATAATACTCAAACATATCAGATTAAAGTTGTTATCTTGATCTAACACTGAATTCTCCTAAATAATTTACAAGGAAATGTTGAACAACTGGAGACGAGAATTTTAAAACAATAGGATCTTGGGGGTCAGAGGATCAAGTACGACAAGTAGATTGGTAAGACATTCCCATGCTATGATTATTTTAGTCTATTACTCATCAGAGTATAATGTCCCAATTTTGGTGACAACCTCTTCCAAGCAGGAAAGCAAACAATTCCCCAAAATACCAAATTTTGCTTCAAAGCCAGCAGCAATCTCTTGTCGCATTCTTTTTTTAAAACTTGTTTCCTCCAGTGAGTGACAAACCAACACTATCCTTCAATTGAAGCTGAGCTTTACAAGGAAAATACATATTGACAAAAAGAAAACAAATTGCTGATTCAGTACTCCTGACCCACCTTCCCCATTCTCCTCATCAAACTCAGCATCAGTTCTCAGTGTGAAGAAGTATCTTTGAAGGCGACGAACCCAAATGAAGAAAGGTCCTTCTACATACATTGGTTTGTGTGAGTTGTAACCTTCTAAAATGTTCTTCTGCTGCTCAGTCTGAGCACCAACCAGGAACTCTTGGCCTTCACCATCAGCATTATTCTGGAAATAATCAGGGACAGTAACTAACACACAAATAATATTTTTACTTGCTAATGCATAACTTCTCTTGGTTCTCATTGTCTATTGTTTTTCTCCTTTATGTACAATAAAAGCACCATCCCAATAGAAATATAAACTAATCTTTCTTTACATGCCTGTTTTTCCCCTGTCTCTTATAAATGGGACAATGTGAGATAATTAATGGATTTTATTCTGACTGTATGAAACAAGAGATTATGGTTATTGTGAAGAAGAGCTCCAAGAGAAACCTTGTTGGCTGACTGTTGGTCAACAGATAACCAACAAGTCATAGGTTATTGTGGATTCTTGTGTGCTGAGGTTGCATCATCTATTGAAACAACAAATTGCTGATCCTGTGTCAGACCCTACTGTCACGATTTTATTATTTTATGACCTCAATTAATTTGAGGCAAGAACACTTTGAAGATAACATTGCTATCCATGAGAGGGATCATGACAGCAAAGTCTAAAGGAATTGAGGCAAGCTAGGTTATAAGTTACAATTCATGCCTGTGTCATCAATAGGAATATCTTGCCAGTTGGACACCTAGCACTCTCATAGAGGATACCATTAAATTCATTCCTATATGTTGCCTTTGACCAATCCTATAAGGAAACTGAACAATATTTTCCTGATGTTTTCTGCAGGAATTGTATATCAAATTAATTAATTAATGGTGGGGGTGGGGGAAAACAGGGCACTGTCTTGGAGTCAGGGGAATTTTTTCAAAGTTACTATGCAAATACCATATATTGACTGATTTTGCCAAATGCTGTGGGTTTATATTGAATCTTAATTTTAAAATCTCTTGATTTGGTTACCTTGTAGATGGTGATAATCTGCTCATCTTTAGTCATTCTGACCAGAGCAAGCTTGCTCAACTCTGCATCACTTTCAGGTAGAACTTTTGGGTAAGGATTAGGAAACATTTCCTCCATTTTACGATACCAATACACAAGCCGCTTACACTTTTGCAAAGGTTGACTTGCATGGCCAAAAATTTCATGTACAATATCGTAAGTGGTTTCATCAGGTGAGATCCAGTTGTCTTCCATAAGCGTCAAGATGTCTAATGCCAGCTCAGCTTGAGGATGCTTCTTTGCCCAGATAGCATCAAATAGAGTTCTGTTGTCAAATCTACCCCTGGGAAACACGTCTAGCATTCTGTTGTATACTTCAACGTCCTTCCCTAGATCAAATTCCTCCACGTAATTCATAGCTGTCTTGAGAAATTCCATATGCCCCCTCCTGGTCCGGTTTCTGGCGAGAAAATTATCAATCACTCCCACAAAGTTCTCTTTAGTTTTCCCTAAGGAGGCCGCTTTCTCAAATGAAACGACGTGTTTAGACATAGATAATGGAGAAACTTTGACCTTGCTAGGTGTTAAATTCACATGTACAAGTTTACTGCTCTCTGCATCTTCTGCTCTAATTTTGGCCAGCCTCTCATCGTAATCCTTTTCCTCACATAGCTCCTTGTCTGAATTGCTGCTTAAAATTCTAGAGCAGCTAATTTGTCTTCTTGGCAAGCACTTCATAGACTGCGGCGTTGATAGCTTGCGCATGGAATTCGAAGCAACGAAAACGTATTCTGGATAGTTGCTTAGTCTCCTCGCGATCGTTGCCAACATACAAAAGCGGTGCATCTTTCTTGGAAGGTGAATCTCTCTGTGGCAGTGATTATTCTATAACTTTAGGAAAATCAGACAGAACTATACCTCAAAGAAGCTTTCCCTCGTCCGCCATATTGAATCTTTGTGATAAAAAATATTTTGTCAGGGAGAGGGTAGGTAAAATGAATAGATGAGCTTAACCATCTAGCTATCCCTCCCTCAATTTTCTACAGGCCCTTCTCCGGTGCACAGTCCACCCCGAACATTGCTCTACTAGTACCACGTGGTTTCCCACCATCGCTCTCTTTTCTTTCTGCCCTCGTTGGCTTTTGCAAGAGTAAGGAATGTTCCTTCGTTTTCTACCCATATTTCTGTATACTAGAGCCCTCTTGTACTGTTATTTTCACATAGTCATATTCTAACGAGTTATGTCCTTGTTCATTTTAATATCATTTGCATGAAAGCTGTAAGGTGTGAAAGAAATGTCCTATCAAAATTCTTATTTGGAGACAAAGTATTACTGCTATGATCAATCTTTTGCTTTCAAAGACTTCGTACTTACTTTATGGCATTTAAATAAATAGACAAGGTATCATCACACATACACAGTGGTTATGATTTAGATCGGGGGGTGACTAGATAGAGCCGCAAGAATATTGTGTTGGAAAAATAAAACACTTTCCATTCGTTAGAACTAAATAGTAGTACGGTAAAAAGTTCGAGTGTGGTTTCTCTAAATTAAACCACTCAACCGTTAGTGATCTTGCTCTGTAAAGTTGATAAAGCTATCTTACAATTGTAACTTTGGCTTCAAGCCAGCAAGAGAGTTGGCCTTGAGGAACAGTAGTGGTCTCTGTTCAACTGATTATAGGAGAGTGGTATTAATAATAGTATGTGTACTAAACAATGCTATGGCAGGGAAATTAGGAGAGGATGAGAGATCATAGACTGACAGAAGCAAATAAAGCTGTTCTGACCCCTTATCTTTATCTGACCATGACAAATGAGTTTACTTAGAAGTTACAACTTCATGCAATCTTAACCTGCATATAGTATAATACTATGATTTTGGCCGATACCTTATCAAAAACAGTGCACCTCTCAATTGAATTTGGATGTTGGTGAGAATTAAACATGACAGGCAGTTGACAAGTGGTAGCTATTTACAATTGGTGAAGTTTGTTGGTGAGTTTTTAAGACCAACAATTTTCCTTGTATTCAATAGGTTGTTCCGTCGTCACTTTTTTTTGGCACAGCAAAGCATAATGTCTGGGGGCATTGAAGCTCTACAATTAAAGGAAGAAGATGTTGTGAAGCTACTTGCTGCTGGTGTTCATCTTGGTGCTAGCAATGTAGACTTTCAAATGGAAAGCTATGTTTACAAACGAAAACCTGATGGTGAGAAATCTGCTAGATGATTATTTTGCAAGGAAGGTTTAAACTTTCCTATGGTTGTTGTCCTTCTCTACTTTTATGTTGAAGTGAAAAATGGTTTAGGAATAGCACAGCCAGGAGAGTATCAACAATTCAAGCCAAGATGAAATAAATTTTTGGGGAAGCGTCCTTTACCTCTACCCACGTGGGTTGTTTTTCCTGTGTTCAATTTGGTTAAAAGCTTTTGTCAGAAAAATAAGTTTAGTTTAAGAAAGTGTTTGCATTATGTTATTCATTATTAAGTACTGGGTTACTGATTACACAGAGACATAATTGCAAGCAGCACTCAGTATTATAAACTGCAAGTATATTTTAAGCCACATTAAAGTTGCTCCATATTTCCAAAATAATTATTTTCTCTATTTGTCTTTTCACCAGGTGTTCACATCATCAACATTAAAAAGACATGGGAGAAGCTGCTTCTTGCTGCCCGTATCATTGTTGGCATTGAACATCCTTCTGATGTCTGTGTGATCTCAGCCAGACCTTATGGACAGGTAGGTGTAATTACCAGTTATCACTGGGAATGTCCAACTCACTCCAATTGACCAGTGTTTAATACAAAGGGGTCTCTGGCATAAAGACTGACATGTTGAGCTGCCTAATATCAGATGACTTACTTGTCACCTTGCTCAATTTGAGTTTTCATTTCCCATGATATATTTGGAAGGTTTAAAGAGCTCACAATAGGAGTGGATTAGCTGACAATGTTCAGTTGACTACTTGTAAAGAAGAATTCAATTCTGACCAAAGTTTAGGTTTTAAATATGGCTGTATCACTTTTCCTGCATTGAACTTAAGCCTGGCAAGTGTACTTGTTTATTTGTGCAGCTGAAAATGGGTTGTGTCCAAGCAAAAATGGGTTTGACAAGTCAATTTGACAGGCACCAGCTGGGAAATTTTTTTAAGCCTTGGGCTTAATGTAGTTGTGGTGAAGTGAACCTTAAGACCACAATCTGAGACCCACTTCTGATGAGACGTTGCAGTATTATGATTGCTACATAAAGCTGTGAAAACTTAACGAGTGATGTTATCTTATAGCGTGCCATCCTGAAGTTTGCCAGTCACACTGGGGCCACAGCTTTCGCTGGCCGCTTCACTCCTGGTACATTCACCAATCAAATTCAAGCAGCCTTCAGAGAGCCACGTTTGCTTGTCGTATGTGATCCACGCACTGATAGCCAGGTAATATTTTGACTATATCTGAAAAATTCCCCAAGGAATTACTTTGCTTTTCCTTCTCAACCACGTATAAACTTTATTTTTGTGCCAACTCTGGCTGTAATCCTCACATTGCAGAATACTGTTTTTTTCCTCAGGGAATGATAACTATTTAATTGGATGAACTATTCAAAACTATAAAAGTTGGGGAAAACATTTATTGTCCTGTAAAGCTTCATTTCAACTGTTTGAAGTGGAACTTAAAACCATAAAGACTACTCCTCAAACTGAACATGAACTTCTTTCATAGCCCGTGACAGAGTCATCCTACGTAAACATTCCTGTTATTGCATTCTGCAACACTGACTCTCCATTGCACCATGTGGATGTGGCAATCCCCTGCAACAACAAAGGTGCGCATGCTGTGGGTCTTATGTGGTGGTTGTTGGCAAGGGAAGTGCTCCGTATGCGGGGTAGCATCAGCAGGCAAATCAATTGGGAAATCATGCCTGATCTTTACTTTTACAGGGATCCAGAAGAGGTAAAACATTTTTTTTCCATTAAGAGTGAAAATTAACCCCTAAACTCAAAAAAATCTGATCACATTACCTCATAAATTAGTTACAAGAATTTGGTGGTAGAGCAAGATAGCAACTTCTGCCTGATAAGTTTGAGTATTTTAGGAAGAAGTTATATGTTTATCACTTCTGGGAGTTAATTGTTTTCTCTTATATTTCTGAAGAATCAATTTTAATGATGGTATCTATTTGCCTTACCTAACAGAATACTTTTAATTTTTGTATTATTTTGAAATTAAAGTGGTTTTCTCAAAAATCTCACTGGGATTAGCAGATTAAATCTGATAGGAAACACTAAGTTAATTCTGGTAGTTGTTGTCAATTTATGTCATGAGGCAAATGTCCCATTGAGGTCTCAAATCTGATCCTGAACTTGTGAAATTCTTTCCAAATTATGGTCTGTATATAGGGAATAATGATGATTATTAGGCCTTCTTGCTATTGTTGTGATACCTTAATACTGGGTGTACAAGTGAAGATACTGTGCTCAATGAAGACCAAAATGTAGCCCCTTGCTTTGAGGGGTTAGAGGATCAAGGTTTGTTTTGCGAAATAACACATCTGGAGTACCACATAGACTTGTGAAATAAGTTGTTTGTATTCATTCTAGGCTGAAAAGGAAGAACAAGCTGCCATGCAACATGCAGAAGAGCAGCCTGCTGCTGCTGCTGCTCCTCAGTTTCCAAGTGAATGGGGTGGAACTGCTGATCAGCAAACTGGAGAGGTGAGTGCTTCCACTGTCCCCAACCAGAGAGGCCATTGTAATATGTAGGAAAGTTTACTTTAGACTTGATATTCTATATCATTTCTTATCATGGCAGTTATTGTGCAAAGGTTTTGTATCCTTCCAAATTACTATTTGTCAGTGTAAAGTTTTTTGTGGAGATAAAGAAGGTTTGAATGCTTCTTTGTTTTGCTTCTTTCAAGATTTCTCTCTTTTTGGGAATATTGCCAGAACCTGGTATTTGGCTAGCTTAAAAGGGAATAGAAACTCTTCCTGATTCCCTTTTCTTGCCATTTTGGCCCTTTCTTGAGGGTGAAAATAAATGTAATTGCAAGAAATCTTAACTAAAAAAAAATTTTATTAATTTTTGTTTTTCCAGTGGGGAGCTGAACAAATGGGCACTTCTGCTTTACCTGCCTCCATTGGAGCTACTGAGGACTGGGGTACCAGCCGTGAATGGACTGACACTACCCCTGCTCCATCCAAGGACTGGGCCGAAGCTAAAGATTGGTCGGCTGAACCAGCACCAAAAGAATGGGGAGCAGATGATCTGCAGCCAAGCAGTGATTGGGGTACCTCTGTCACCATGCAGGATGCAAAGAGTGGTGGAGCAGAGTGGGCTTAAACTGAAGCTGGATGAACACCTACTTACTTGTTGGAAACTCTGTCTGAAAGAAACTTAATAAAATCTCCTGAAATGTCCTAATTGCCTTCTATTGATTTTAATCATATTTGATTAACTTTTATTTTACTGTTTGAAAAAAAATGCTGATCAAAACACAAAGGGACAAGATAAAGTTTTTTCAAATATGTCCATCAATCCTGGTTTGAAAGGTTGTTGATTTCATGAACACAAAGTGCACATTTTTATTCTAATAACTTAATGGAAAGTTTTGGTGACTACATTTCAAATTTCAGATATTTTTTTAGTTTTTGTGCACAGAAAGAAAAAACTCTAGGCTTTGAAATCAACCATATATTTACATTTAAGGTAAAAAATCCATCGGAACTCAGCTTTTTTGTTGAGAACATGTTCAAGTACAAACAAAATGTGTGCCATCTGCCCCAGGAATTTTAAATCAGAGTGAGATAGTTTCAAATTGACTTCCTTTCGTTAAATTCATTAAGGTTACTATCTTTTGAGTAAAACCATGAGCTAGGCCAGGGTCTAAAGACTAGCAAGCTCTTGTGTACCACTTAGGTGGTTGATTCATTGCAACTTTTGCACAAGGAGTACATCAGCTTCACCCACTGGCCTTATTCCAGTGAGGATTGCTCTGATTGCGCTTCCACTTAAACGCGCCCTCCGTGAATGAACAGCCGATGGACATTTGAGTACGAGGCTTACCTATTTTTGCTCGTAGTTTGTAGGCATTTTGCTGGAAGAGGTAGGAGGTGTCGTAGTGGCACAATTTAGCCTATTCGTTTTATGGTTTTTGTAAAATCGTCGGGTTTGATATTGACAGAACCGTGCACCTGTATGAGGACATTTCGCTCTGTGTACGTGATTATAGCGCGCGAAAGTGTACCAGTTTTAAAAAAATTTTTGGTTACTGCTGCTGATGCGTTTGCGCCCATGAGTCAGTTGAGCTTTAACAAGGAGGGATTGCACATCCGGTTCATGATGGATGGTAAGTAACTGGGATGTGAAATGAAAAAAGCACGGCTACTTGGTCATAATAATTCCTGAAATACATACATCCCTCACAAGTCTCCAGGCTGTTCTCGAAGTAAACAGAGCTACCCTACAGAGACTGAGGCCAAGGAGAGTCCTTAATGCAACACAGTGGAGCAAGCTGTACCCTACCTTAGCCACATCAGTGTCATTAGCCAACTTTGATATCACCCTTATCTTTGTTCTTATTTGTGGTTTGAATCCTCCTGCAACCACAGGATCTTAGGACACACCTCCTCCAACAACAGATCTGATTAGCAAGGCAGACATGATCTGCCTGGAATGTATCAGAAATTATATTTATGCTCATGCAGAGAGGGATTCTTTGTCTGATTTTCAGTTTTCCTCTCACTGGCAGGAGATACATGCAACTCTGGTAAGATCAGGAGGAAAGAGTTATGAAGTTGCAATCAATAACCTTGAAACTGAGTCTATAGATCCTGAGTTGGAGGCACATTACGAAAAGGTTCTTGAAGAATGGAAGAAAGATGAAGACTACAGAAAAGGCATGCTGGATAAAATTATAACGGAAGTAGGAAATGTTGGCAAGAAAGTTGATGACTTAGCAGTTGTCCCAAACAAGGGTTGATGATTTCTTGTTTGATCAAGGATTATTAAAATACAAACCTTTTTACTATGCAAGTTAAAATTAAAGCCTCTTGGTTTTGCTGACTTCATGTCAGCCTACTGTGCTAGCAAATTTGTGAGAGGTGTGATGACTATGTGGTTATGAATTGGCAAAGCTAGTGAGGGATAGGGAGAGACCAGTAACCTCTAATTTGCTTCTTTATTACAGCTCTTTTTCATATTTATGTAACTTTCTTTTTATTATTTCGATAATTTTCTCAGGAAATGTAACCATAAAAATCCTGATTGAAGTAAAAAGAGTTACCCTTAAAGATACAAAACAGTGGGACCCTGCAGAACAGGAGGAAGTAGAGCAAATATTGGTGTCTGAGATGTCCAAAACATTTTTTAAGACAAGAGCAGATGTGATTGCTACCAAGGATATACCCAGTCACCTACAAAATTATCTTGAAGGCATACTTGACTTGCCAGTTGTGACAGTGACATAGGGAAGTTTGATAATTATGGTCAAGTGTCACACATTAGAAATTCTTCAATTTTTGTGGAAAGAATATTGTTCTGGGCCCAGTTGTTCGAAGGCAGATTAGCGCTAACCCAGGGTTAAATTTTGATCTGGGTTTCTTTATTCCTTTACTCAAAAGCCTTTTTGGGATAATTTTCAGTGTTCTATTTAAAGTGTCAAATAGTCATACTCTAGACTAAAAGAATTCGACTGAATTTCCTTTTACAGCTTTTAGACCTGAAATTAGATTTCACACTAACCCTGGGTTGTCTTAACCCAGCTTTGAACAACCCGGCCCCTGGTCATCTGAATGCAGTGTCAGAAAAGTATTTTTGTAGATTGTCTCTAATGGATTTAGCAGGCGATTTGAGTCAAGACACACATATTCATAAAGCTGTTGACAGTTTATAACATGACAAAGCTTGATTAAGGTACTATGAAATCTTCTGGAAATGGTGTTGTCTTGGAATGCAGTCATTGTACCTCTTCTCATACCACTAATGACTGCATGTATATTGGTATGTTATATTTCCTCTAATCAGATTTTGAATTGGAAACTGCACCCAGATTTATGTTATTGTTTTGAGAAGTGACTGTGAAATAGAAGTTTCTAGAAATTTCTAGAATACTTAGTCATGGTGACATGGACACTAAATTTTGCTGATGTCATACCATGGAACTTTCTGGAACATCCTCTTAACTTTTGTACTTATGATGTAGTTCTCCCAGAATATTTGTTCCGTAGGCTTCCGGAATGTATTTGAATACGTTGTATTAAATGTATATAAGGACTCGGGAATCAAGGAGTTGTAGTCATGGTGCATAGACCAACTGTCTTGAAACCTATATGAACAGAGAGCTATTGTGGATTACTTGGAAAATAATTGCGCATTTTAGGAACATTTGGAAGCATCAGTGGTGAGCTAAGCTAATAGTCTGCAGTGAGCTTATGTAAGTTTTTAGAGGATTTAAATTGTTAGTATTGCTTATGTACGAGTCGCTTCTTTGTAAGACTTCACTGAGACCGTGCTGTTAAACAAAATCCGTAAAAACTCGTGTATAAGCCGCATCTCTTGGCCGAAATTTTGGGCTCAAATCGTGGTTGCAGCTTATATACGAGAACATTGCTTTCAGAGGAAGTAAACTGGCTTGTTTGGACCGGAAATAGCATTCAAAACCGTCCTCCACCGATCACTTCAACACCGATCTCTTCACCACGCTATTACGGAGGACTCGCGAGGCAAATGGCCAACCGTTTTGTAGCCTCTCATTACTTGTACGGCGCGTTTGTCCATGTGGTCGTAAAAATCTCGTTTCGCAAAAGGGTTTTTCTCCAATCGATGGCTTCCATACAACTAAAGGTCTTTTTACATACTGGGATGTCCAACACAATCTTTAACGCGACCTCTCTTGTTTACTTAAGTGACTCTGCCCAGACTTCACTCGGTATACTTCACTGCGTATTTAGCTCATGCGTAATACACTTTTCGGATTTTTTATCGGACTATGGTAGTTTCGCTTGATGTTGCGGACTTAAACAATGATGAAAATAACCGTTGTTAGTCTCAAGTATTAAGGAAATCGACTTAAGATCAACATTTAAAAGGTACTGTAAGAGTCGATGAACTTATTAAAGTCCCTACTAATACACAGCTTAAGATTTCGGTAGGTTCACACGTAAGACTATGCAAACAACTTTTTTGCCAGAGGTCCTTTCGCGAAAGGTCCTTTTTCTTTTTTTTTTTTTTTATCCCTAAAATCATGCTTGAGTTTTGGGCGTGCGGCTTATCACGAGTGTATCTTAAACACGAGCTTTTATGGTTCTTGGGTTCAAAGGTGTGTGGTACTCTTTGTGCTGAAACATTTTTTTGCGTGTGTTTTGTAGAGGAGGAAATGGCATCACTCGAAGAAGATATGGTTCTGGGGGAAGAGGAAAATGTGGGTTCTGAAGAGTTATTGGATAAAGATATAGCAGATGTTTCTGTTGAGGGACAATCATCAAGTGGTGAAGGAGCGCAAAGTGGGAGGAGTTTGAATATCACAGTGAAGTGCCAAACCTTGGAAGGTCTCGAAAAACTTTGGCAAGACTATAGTTCAGGTCATCTCAATAGTGTAGCGGAGGAACTTCTTGTGACAGATGATATCAAGAAAAAACTAGGTGTGGAATCTATAAAGTTGAAAACAGTGATTACAGAGGAGTCTTACCTGGCATGCAAACGGTACCTCTTAAACAAGTTAGGTGAGTTTTTAGAATAACTCTTTGCATCATACGGAAACTCAGGGCTGGGTTTAACCTGGGGTTAGTGTGAAATCTGACCTCAGGTATGAAAGCTTTAAAAGAATATTCAGTATAATTCTTTTTGTCTACAATGTGATGCTTGGATGCTCCAAAAAGAATAGAGATACTTATCTGATAAAAGGCTTTTGAAGAAAGAAATAAAGAAACCCAGTTTAAATCTTAATCCTAGGTTAGCACTAATAGGCCTTCAAACAACTGGGCCCAGGAGTTTACCAGCTTGTTTTGCCTTATTATGAATTCTCTTTCTTAATGATCAGTATGATTTTTATTCTTTAATCCCCATGTAACTCACCCTTCTTGGCCTCACTTTGGATTGAAAATTCTATTGTTTTTAAACTTGTTGTCGAGACCAGAAGGCTAATTTACAAATAGTTAAAAGCATAGCAAATAAGCCCTTTATTAAAGGGGTATATAATGCGTTCAATGTGACTAGTGTTTGACATGAATGGTGATAATATTGGCAGCATGGCTACAAATTGAGTTGCACTGGAAATTTGTTTTTGGTTATGGGTAGGTGTAGTTAAGGAAGTAAAGGCATATAAAATATAAGTAAATGTGTCGTAGTTCATCAAGTTCAAAATTCTACTGCCTTCAATTTGATGATCTGTGTTAAGAATGAATGTATGTCTTCTGAGTGCACTGAACATCATGCTATTGGCATGTATTGTCAATTCTCCTTAAATTTAAACTTGAAGTTGATGAACAAAGATTAGTTGGTTATTGCTCAAAACAATGTGTAAGCACCCTTCTAACTGATACACTGACATTAATATTTTATAGATGCCAGCTCTGATCATTCCTCGTCATCCACCCCAAGCTTAGAAAACATGCAAGAAGCCAGTTCAGGTCAGCAGCTGATGCAGTTGTTGGGAGAACCCAGTCCACAAAGTTTGCCCAGCCAGGGCAGTGTAAATCAAGATGAAGAAAAAATGAACTGAGAAAAAATCTGGAATGGTCAAAGTGACTGTTACTTGCCAGCAAATGGAAAGGAACTTGTTGCACACTTCAACCAAGATGTGTAAAGTCACATCTTTTGTTTGTTCTTAATTTACTCTTATTGTGTATAAATAACTATGTGGAAAAAATTGTGAATCTAAATTCAAGGCTACTTTAATAAATATAGGCATGGGTAGCATGCAAGAATCATTGGTTTGGCTGGACAGGTTATGATTGGATACTTTATGTACCAAATGTTTTTGTGACAGAAAAAGAGCATAACTTTAAAACAGACGAAAATATTGCATTACTTCACCTTGAGAATAACAAAAAAAGCTTATTCAACTGAACTCACACAGGTATTTTGTGGTCTGTTGTATCTTTTGGCTAAATACTTAGCAAAATAAAATGCATGGGTGCCACGTTTACTGTTGTTCCTCTCGCAGCCATTGTTTGGTCTTATCACACACCACTATATATTCCCTGGAGAGAGAATGCATTGTGTGATGAGACGAAATAATGGTTGTGAAAGAGACTATGCCTGCTGTTGTTCCTCTAACACAGAGAAAATAAAAATTATTCGTCTACAGTTGGTTGCCTCAAAAATATAATTCCACCTCATTTTACTATGAAAAGCAAACTGAAACCCTGTTGTCTCCAATAGACCCTAGCCAAAGATATACTGTCATCTCAAATAAGTGAAGATACATTGAAGAAGAGAAAAGAATTATGTTTCAAAGAGGGCTCCTTGGTTGGTTGCTGACCATCTGGACTTTGCCCTCTGTGTGTGAAACACGTGATAAAATACAGGTTGGTTACAAGGAAGTAACGTGATTGGATTAAGGTCAAGGAAGCTAAAAGCCAATTTTCATCATAGAAAAATTCAAAACACAGGAGAATTGTGTGGAAAATTTACTATCAGCAGCATTTAGTGAATATTTTTCAGTGGGGTTGGACAATGTGGTTAGAAAATGTGATTAAATGTTGGTTGTTTACAAGGAAATCATACATAATGGAGCAAAGTCTAATTAGGGTAACTGGAATTTGATTGGTGGAATACAATTCAAGCATGTGAAAATTGCCTAACATGCATGTGGTGCAATGATTAGGTATGTTCTGATTAGACTTTGGACATTGTTTTCATGGTACATGATGGAATGCAAGTCATTTGGGACACAAGTTGTGAGTAAAGGAGTGGAAAAACATGTGTTAACTTAAAAATGATGTGAACCTTTCATATCCTGATCAATCTCGACCTTGATTGATGAGGCTCTTGCAAAGGCCACAAAACATTACACATCAAATGAGCCCAAAATTCATGATTTATGTCATTCTTTGTGCACAGCCCCCTGATTCCATGACATCATTTGCAAGAAAGCTGTGATGATTGGTGCAAGATACAAACCCTAAACATTCTGATTAGTACTAGATATCCAAATGCTGTGATATGATTGGTGCAAGACATTCTCCAATGCCACAGTCTGACTGGTGCAAGATGCATACTCTAAATGCTGTGATTGGTGTAAGATATCCAAATGCTGCAATATGATTGGTGCTTGATGCAAACCATTATGCAGCAATCTGATTGGTGCAAGATACATACCCAAATGCCATGATCTGATTGGTATTAGATACATACCACTCTACATGCAAACATAGTTGTATTTTTCATTAAGAAAAATAACTCAAAAATTTATCAAAGGAACTAGTATGATACTATAACATTGAAGAACAGAATGAGTATGGAGTGATTTTAATTCTCTACCTTTCCTATGGGAACTTAGCAACATTTGTCCATTGAAAAATAAAAAAGTGAGTTGTTAACTCAGAATCCCATTTTAAAAAAAATTTAACACCTGTCATTAGAATTGACTTAAAATTCTCATTAATTAACATTTCGATTGTTGCTTGCAGTTGGCCAATGGGATTTGCTATTTGCTTGTTCTTTCCTGATAACTTTTTCATAGGATGGCATTGAGAATGTTCCTTAGATATTGCACTATTTCACTGATCTCCTTTGCAGCTGTCAGTGTCTTTTTAAAACATACTTCCTTGAAAGAAAAGTGTCTCTGGGAGGAGATGGCAGATAAGTGTCTCTGGCAACTGGAAAGTGTGAGACTGATTGAACAGGAAGGAACACAAAATACTAAATTGGCCGGTTACAAAAAAAAATACATATACGAAGCTATAAAACTTATAATTTAAAAATGGTAGATCCTCATTGTACTAATCATTAATAATGTTTATGTACTAAATCTAGATAACCATAACTTTTAAAAACCCAAACAATTCAATAATACGACACAATGCTAGTACAAGGTCTTAAATGTCCTCAAATTGGAAACTACACAAGATAAACTGTAAATTACCCTAAAAACACAATAACATGTATCAGGATTCTGTCAAAAAGGAACTTATTTTCCTCGGATCCATGCTTCTTTGAGGACAGCAGCACTCTTTGGTGCTTTATACCTTCGCTGATAAGATGGTTTGGTTGCTGCAGGCAATGCTGGAAAATCTCTTTCAGATATACCACCCCTGTTTGTCTCCACATTCCAAGCAGTGGCACCAGTTTGCCAAACCCCAGGCAAGGGTGGCTTTTTGCTGACCTTCCCATTCTTATTTTTATCATCTTGATGCTTTGCTATAACTTTAGCATCTTGATGGATAGCTAACAGTTCTTTTCGTTTATCAGGATCAGGCAATAAATCTACCAGTTCTGCAAAAACTTGAGAAAAGTTAGACTCGAATAATTCATAACACTGAGCATAATATTCTTCAGCAGAACAAATGCTCTTGCGAAACTTTCCAGATAATTCCTTGAACTCTTCAAATTTGGACTTTTCATATCCTAATAAGACTCTTATTTTTTCAACTAAAGCTTGATTTCTCTCTTGAACACTACTGTTTGTCTTAACCTCTGTTTTAGTAACAGGTGCTTCTTGTAATGGTGCCACATTTTCTTTAATCTTCTCCTTAGAAGTTGCCTCAAAGGGTGTCTGAAAACCAGGAGGGGGCTTAGCGCGAGAAGTCTGCTGTGTTATAGCTAAAGGTGGATGCTGACGAGCTGCTGAAGCAAATCCTGGAGGTACAGGTGGTGATTGTTCAGATCTTTGACCAGAAGCAGACAGAGAGGGAAAGTCATTGACTGAATATGGTGGATGAGAAGCAGATGCATACAAAGGAGGTTTCGTGGGTTTATTACTCTTCTTAGACTCTTTATCTGCACTTGTAACCTCTAAAGAATTTAGCAAAACTGGGAACTGAGCTAATTCCTCTGTTTCTTTAGCAGGTAGCCCCCCAACTGTTCCATCTTCTTCTGGCTTGTGCTTCTTAGGTTCTTGCAGCTTAGATGAAGGTGAGGGAAGCTGTGAAGGGTCCCCTGAGGATTCACTCAAAGAAAGAGCCAGGGCAGTCTGTAGCTCTAAGGCCTCTTTCCTAAAATAAGGAGACAGAGGTGAAAAATTCACAAAAATATAGCAAAACTCCCTAAAAGAAAAAACAGGTAGAATATTATTTTTACTTACATCAAAACAAAAGAGTTATAACACATATAATTATGACCCTTGAAATTCTACCTAAATAACAGATAAGAGCCAGGAAACCAGCAAATGTTGTTGCAACACTCTTCTTGTTTCTCAAGAAAGACTTCTTTCCCCAAATTTTGGTATTGCTACACACTAATAGTCCACATATGAGATTGACTGGCATAACTGCTGTAAATTTTTCAGGTTCATACAGCATGAAGCAGAGTGCTGCTACTGCCCCTAGATGAGATGTCAATATGTTGACAGTTATGCCCCTACATTTTGCCAAGTTCACTTAACAATCTGCTGGTAGCAATTTGTAGCCCTGATAGGAAAGTACACTGGCTGTAAAGCACCTTGCTAACAACATAATGCAATAAACCTTGCCCACATTTTTACCACAAATTTTTGAAGCAGAGTCCATGGCATTTACTATAAGGGCCTTGTGGAACAAAGGTTGAAACTCTGTTTAAGGTACCGGTTTATGAAGGTAATCAAGTACAGTATGTCCTTTGCAATTGCAGCCAATGAACACCTTTATAAAGTCATTGCAATAAGGCAGTTACCTAATAAGGCTATCAGAATGTGATCATTTACAATTGTGTATACAAGAATGAAAAAGGAAATAAACAAGGCAAAAGAAATAACCCTCCATAGAGTTTCACTCGTGACTCTTCTGCTGCTAGAAGATTTACTGGTACATCTCTACCACTACAAACCTGTTTGGCCCTGAAAAGTCTCCTCTTCTTCCTCCTTTTTCTCTTTTTCCCTTTCTTTGTTCTGAAGTTCTCACTTCCACAAAATCTCCAGCAGTAACTGAACCATGATTTGTCTGAGGCCTTGGCCGTGGAGCAAAGGTTATATCAACATCTAACTGACGAGCCTGACGAGCCTGTGCTTTACTCAACTTTCCAGAGTGCTTTGCAGCCCGATGTGCTTGAAAATCAACCTTTGTTCGAAAGACAGAAGTAAACTGTTCATGAATACAATCGTCTTCTTCACAAAGAAAGTGAAAATCACGAAAGTGCTCTCGTAAATGTTTATAATCAGGATAGTAGTCCTGACTTCCATCCCGTTCACAGAAGTGACACCAAAAATGATCCTTACGCAGGTGCTTGTGAAGCTCGTCATTGTCAAGATAACGCTGATCACAAAATTCACAACGAGGGTGTCCCTTGTGGGATTTGTCATCAGAGTCACCAACTCTGCGGTGTCGTGCCAGATCAGAACGAGAGTAGGCTTTCAGTTCAAAGCTGAACTTTTGCAAATTTTCTACACAGAGATCACAATAGAACTTTTCATGTTCCCGCTTCATGTGATCACGGAGACGGCCAAATGATCTCTCTGGCTGGCGGCTTGGGCAGAACTGACAGCGATGTTCCAAGAGTTCCTTAACTTTGTCTTGGATGCCCTTATGTTGGTAATGAATGTTGTGTCGTTTATCGTTCACAAAGGAACCTCCTCTACCAGCCAGTTTTGCATAACTGGTCATATGTTTAGTTATGAATACCTGAAGGAAAATGGCATACAAAAGATTAACCCTTTAATTCCTAGAAGTGATTTACGTGTAACAGCCAGATGGGAGAATTAACAGTTAGATCTTGGGAGTTCAAAGCTTAAATATCTCCAGCACAATAATTGAATACTTAAATTTTAATTGCCAAAGGCACAGTAATAGTATGTATTGTTGATTTATTCTCCAGGTAAATATGAGGAAATAAATTGTCAATTTACCCTAGTGGCAAGGCCAATAAATTTTTCACAGCATAATTTCATGGGTGATTAGCAGAGCGACTGGATTCTACTTTGCACAAAATTTAGCACGTTCAGCCATTTTCAAAACAGTGGTTGACTATTATCACCGCCTACGCAGTGATCATAAAAAGAAATGAATCATTCCGAGATCAATCCGAGATCACCCGAGAAGCATTCATTATCAAATATTTATATCAAATATATGGACTACATAAGCTCTCTTGTTTTACTCACGACTTATCAATCTTACAAGACCTCTCTGTGTGATTATTAAACGAAAGTGATGTTGTTTCACAATCACCTCAGATGTTTAGCAGACTCGTGAGCTTGTAATCATAAATGAAGTAGTATATTTAGACATAGTTTAGCTAGAAAGGCTCTCTGCTATAAAGAAGTTGCAATGCGATAGGAAAGCAACCTGGAGTTGTCGAATGCTCGAAGGAGTGATAATTTTCGCACAAGGCTATGAAAAATGCTTTTACAAGCACTTTCATTCATAGTTCGATCGTCTTACTAGTGAGCCGGTATTACTTTTAACTCATCTAATTTAAAAATTCAATTTCCCTGTTTAAACAGCATTGTAATGTAAACATCATAGGTTACTTCCATTTCAATGATACCAACCTGCTTCAGTTCTGTTCGGCACACTGGGCAGTAAATTTCCTTCCCGAGTACACGCATTCGAACACAACACTTGTAGCAAACACAATGGTCACACACTCCAATGGCGAAAAACTCAATATCTTCGCAACAAACAACACAAACATTTAAGGAATCTCTTCGAACGACTTTAGAACTCATCTTCCGTTCGTTTTCAGCTGAGACACAAAGATGAAAATTACAGAATTCAAGCTCTTTTGATGACGGTCCAAACGTGGTAAAAATGGCCGCTTGATCAAAGTGCATAATGTCCAAATATAGAATAACTCTTTATGTACACCAGTAGACCGGAAATGCGTCATTGTGCTGAAAAAGCGATTTTTGATAACCAGCGGATTACCACTGAAACTATTATGGTCTATTCCTTACCCGGTCTCAGTTTTACAAGTAATAGGGACGAAAATGTTGCCGTTATCGCGGAGGTTGCCATCAATTTCGAAAGGAATAAGTTGTGCAACTTCTTCTGTGAGTAACTGCCGTCTTTTTATGTAATTTTGTCGCGTATTAAAAGAGAAAACGAGTATGAGATGTGGCGACATGTTCTGGCATGATATTAAGTTGGTTTACCTTAGTTGACGTGTGTATTCGCCTAACAATGTGAAATTTATGTATTATAGAAAAGATTGTACGCCTATGCAGCTTCTCCGCTTAATGAACCGTTGGCAGATACACAGACAGGAGCTGGAGAGGGTGTTGATCTCACTCCCCAGAGTGTGCAGGTTTGTAATGATAAAACAGGATACTTACGTTATTCAAGTGAGAGGAAGTACTGAACACAGGGTCTCCAAGGTTCAGTTAAAGGGTCTGTTTGGTAAAACATTGAACATTGACATGAAAATTGCCGTCGTGACTCAGTTAAAATATACAAAGAAGTGAACCTGTCTTCCATACCTTCAAAGTTCTACATCCAACATAGTTTGGTGCTCCTGCTATGTGAAGGCAGGCCAAAGGGCAGTCAATATTGGAGAAACTGTAACAAAGATCATAAACTGGTGTCTCATTGTCAGTGATACCTCCATCTTTTGTACATAGTTAAACAATATAAGTCATGTTTTTCCTTGATACTTGACACACAAATCTTGATTCTTGCAAGGGTCCAATATATAACCACAAAAGACAAGCCTGCTGGTTGTAATAGCAGAAAAAGCTTGTTGTCACTTTTACCTACAAATATACTGTACCAAACCAAGGAGGTGTTTTCTTTTTGTGCTTAACATGCTTTCAAATCAACATCAATTGTATATTTCAAATGCAATTTAATATTTATTTGATAACCACTCTTGAACTTTATAAAGAAATGGGCCTAGTTTAGGAAAATAAGCATCATGCTATATATTGCATTGCAAATAAACTCAATGACATGTATTCCATGTTTTAAACTCAAAGTATCATAGAAGGTGTTTGTGAAGAAGAGTAATAGCTGGTGAATTGTGTAACTTTAGTGATAAAACAATAGAGTTTCTGAGCAGTAACTGGAGAATTCTCCATCTCCATTGCCTAGTTCCCTAACTTCAAGATTGCAAGCCACATGTTTTATTAGTAGTTCATGTTGACACTTGGAAATAAGTTAACTGTTGCCAGGACTCATCACAGGAAAAGTTCATTTTAAGTGGTGGATTATTTAATAGTAGATGACTATTTGAGCCTGGGAACTTAAGCTGTATCTGCATGGGAGCTCATTGGTGTTATATTGTGAATTTAACACTGCTCACCTTTGCAGGTTACTACTTTGGAAAATGGCCTGAGAGTTGCTTCTCTGGAGACACATTCTCCTAAGAGTCGCATAGGGTTATTTATTAATGCTGCCAGTCGTCATGAAACACCAAGCACACTGGGTATTACCCATGCTCTGCGTAGTGCTGCATTTTTGGTAAGTATTGGATGTAGTTGAGAAATCCAACTTCTAGTTCTTTGGAGAAAAATTTTATTTAATCTCTGTCAGCAGTAACATTTATTCATAGTTCACTTATGTTGTTTCCAGGGTAATGTGGACTATTCAGGATTCAGAATTACAAGAGAGCTAGAACATTATGGAGCAACTCTAGAGTATGTTATCATTGTCTCACAATACATTTAAGTATGTTGTGTCTGCTTGTTTTCTATTTTCACCCATTGCATGTAGATTTCATCTGATTTACACTTTTCATTTTTGACCTTAGAAGATTCTTCTGCCCTGCATTCTATGAATGTGTTTGTAAATTGTGTAGCTATCTATATTTTCCACTATGTCGCCAGAGTCTTTGACAACTGTGATATTATTTCAGGGCTACTTGTAACAGGGAGAACCTCGTTTACTCAGCAGACTGCCTTCGGAGCAATATGTAAGTGCTGATTTGCAAATATAAAATGTGTTTGTAGATAAGACAATATAGCCATTACTTATTTTTAAACTAGTGATTAAATTCATAGAACGGAATGGAATTAGTGTTTATATGGCTACTTGTAAAGGGTAAAAATGCTCAAGAATGTTCTTCATTTGTGTGTGAAAATCACAATGTAAAGAAAGATGTTCTTCCTTTTTTATTTGTCTCCTTCGGTTTGTTTGTCTTTTGTTTTCAAACTGAGGTTGTGTGAAAAATGAAGAATGACATCAGCCTAGCTGATACTTTTGACAGTTTGACTGCCTTTCTATTAAGAACTTTTTCCCATTTTTAAACTAATGCTCATTAATTTTGCTAATAATTTACAGTGGTTTGGTAGTTGACAACCTTGCCAACATTGTGAAGAAGCCAACCTTCTATGGCTGGGAGGTGTGTGTTTTGCAATGAACTTTCTTACACACTAGATTTACATGAAGGTTTTCATGATTATACATGATTGTTTTTGCGAAAATGCAAGTGCCTTTTGGTGGACAGATGCATGTATTCTTTTGATTCCAGAACTTTTGTCTTTTTTAGGCTGCAAAGTATAGAAGAAGATACAGCGTTGATTTGCCTTTCTCTCAGTGTTGCTATATTTGCATGTATGATATCTTCTTTTAGTTTGGAAATTGTTTCAATGTTTTAATTCCTTTTGTTGCAGGTTGACCAGGTGATGGATCGTTTAAAATTAGATCTTGCAATAAAAGATGCTCAGCCACCAATAAGTATGTTCAACATCAATACACTCTTCCGAGTTTTAAGCTATAAAAAAATTAAGATACACTTTCTCTAAAAGCAGTCTGATGCATTTTGGTTCAAAAAAATCAATTTTTATTTTGTGAAAAGGCAAGCTTGGCAACTTGAGCCAATTTTTGAGTATCAATGCTTTGAAAAATTGGCCTTCAAGCAAATTTTGCTCAGCAAAAATTCATCTTGCAATGTTTGGAAGAACTGAGGGTATTTCAGACAGATTCCTGAGCAAAGTTTGAAAGAGATCAATTATTTGAGCCAAAATGCTCAGGACAGCCTTTGGAGAGACTGTCTTAATTCAATAAGTTTTCTTTTATTTTGATAAATTTACTTGTATCTTTGAGGCTATTGCCTCCTATAGGTGGCAAAGTCATCATGTTGTTGAGATGAGTGTGTGAGTGATTAAGTGTGACAATAGAATTGTATTGTCCTTACCAGTTGGTGTGAATTTAAACTGACAGTTTATCTTCTTCTTTCATGTACATGTCTTTTACTTCTGTAACATAATCAAGTAATATGTTTAAAAGTCTGGTTTTCATTGTGTGCTTAGATGTTGTGGAAGAGCTTCACAGAGTTGCATTCAGGTGTGTTCTGTCATTCTTATGCATAGTAACTATGATAATTTGAGTTAGTGTCAAGGGTTTTTATTTTGTAACAAGTGATTAGTGTCATGTACAAATGTAATTGAGGAATTTTCTCCACATCTCAATATAAAATAGCTCAGGTCTATGAAATTTAGGCGGAGAATCTTGGATAGCAGCTGGAGAATTCTCTGAACTGCAATGCAAGGCTCTCAATAAGTTTGAAAGTAGAAGAAAATTAAGAAATGATAGGAGAATTCCTCAAAGTTCAGATAAACTTTCAAGAAAATTCCAACTGTGGAATTGAATCATTTATGTACATCTAGTGCTGTTACTGGTAAATTATTTAATCAACTCCAGTCAAAACTGGGGAATGGTTGCAGAATAAATTTCATCAGCACTTGTGATAAAATGGGGTGAAAGAAGTGAAATGAAGATGGCAGACTAGCCAGTGGTTATGACCAGTTACTGGCTTTTATTGACTGTTTTGCTTAATAGATTCATAATGTGCACACTATGCTAAGCTAAGGGTGGCAGAGTTTGAATTTTTTATTTTTTTCAATTTTTCACTTCAGGAAAACATTGGGAAATTCACTGTACTGCTTGCCACACAGAACTGGAAAATTTTCTTCTGAATTGGTGAGAACATTTTAAAGTATTTATAAATTGCATGAATTAATTTCCTGTGATTTATTAATATAATAAATAGAGACCAGTGTTAAATGTACAACTTGTTCAACTCAGTGTTCATAACTTGCTCTACATAACACTTCACAAGTGATATAGTGATTTACACATAAATTGGTGATAATAATACCAAGGTGCCAATTTTCAATATGGCCACTGTATGCTGTTTCACTGTATGATGTTTTCAATATTTCTGAAGAAGAAAATTATGAAAAATGCAGTTGCTGTGTTATATTCATTTGGGACCCATTTTGGGGTTGTTTGAAGGGCAGGTAAAGTCATCCAATGGATTAATTTGAATCAATTTGATAAGTGTTGAAAAAATGTTCTGTACTATCCACCTGATAAGAGATTTATCCAATGGACAGCAATTTCTATCCTTTGAACATCTGGGGCCAGATTAAATTGTGCTGAGAGAATAACTCTCAGCAGAGGCAAGCACTACTATGAAGTAATCTGGACAATTTTTACCATGCCTATGGTGAATGACTCTGAAATACATTTACTATTTTGGTTGGGGGAGAGGAAGAGTTTGGTTGAATTTTTATAATCTCAAGGTCTTATTAGAAACTTTTATTTATTATCATTCAGCTAAAAGAGTATACTCAGGAGTGTTATGTGGGGCAGCGCGTGACTCTCGTTGGAGTAGGTAAGTTTGAATTAGAGATTGCTAGCTATGATCAAACACTTTATGGAGCACAGTCAGCTTAACATGAACATGTGTAAAAAGAAAAGCTCAACAAGGTACTGTCTATCAGGATGTTGTCTTCTTGTAACTCTGAAATGTCATAAGGTTGCCTTTTGTATTGAGGTGTGGTTAGAGCTATTTGGAAATTTGAATTGTAAGTTGTACTTTAAGAAGGAAAACTATTGAAAAATATGACTCAAGTTTCCTCTTAAACATTCTCCTGGTGTGATGTCCCCATAAAAATTATTTTCTGAAATGTGTGGAAAGTGTTTCATGACAATTTGTAATTTAAACCTCCAAGTGTTTCAAACAATCCTCCAATCAAACATAATCAGAGAGTAAATATCATAAAGTTCATTGGAAAGGTTAATTTGGATGAAATTGTTCACAAGTGACTAATGATGCTTTAGGGTTAATGTAGTTGTATGATGCAGAATAGCTGAACTCTTCTCTAATGCTTTCCCATGTGCTTTCACCCCCTAGTAGACACTAGGCTCTGATTTTTTTTCCACAATGACACAGAATGATTCATTTCATTCCACAGGGGTTGATCACAGTCAGTTGGTAGACTGGGCCAAGTCGACTCTCTCCTTCCTACCCAAAGGTGAACCAGCCACCAAAGAAGCTGCAAAGTATCATGGAGGTAAGTTAGGAATATGTTTTAAAGGATACAAGATGAACCAATTAATGTAATGGTATGCAGTAGTATTCAAACTTTGAATTGTCACCTTGTTGGGAAGTGTGACAATCTTCACAAACTCAATTACCAATGGCTGGCTCTGTGAACAGTGTGGGAAGCTGTTACTGCCAAGCCTCATTTGCCAACCCCTTTTGTGTTCCTGATGAGAGCTTGTTGTGTCTAAAATGTTTGTCATCCACTGTAAATGATGTTGTGTACATGTGGTTTTAAGTGTTGTACAGTGCTGCCAACTCTAACTTGAAACATGTATGCCTTCCCCTTACATCACCCAGCAAAGAGGTGATCAAGATAGACAAACATATTAATTGAGGGGTTGTTTTCTTGACTTAATAATTATTCAGGCTAATTTACACAGGAATGTATTGCAACTGTAAGGGGGGAGTTGCTAATTAGATCCTGGGCATTAAAGTACCATAGTCAGTGAAGTTTCCCGAGAGAGGGTTTCATTGAAGGCGCTATTTAGTAGTATATTTAGAAATGGCAACAGCAGTATAATGAACAAAGATGTACCACTGTTTGATGAATTATACTACATGTGCATGTAAAACAGGTAGATTGCTTGTTCATTCAATACCACTCTGATTGACTCTCTTATCTTTTTAAACAGGAGAAGTTGTTCACTTTAGTTCTGGATCACTTGTCCATGCTGTGCTAGCAACAGAAGGAGCTAGGTTAGTGCATATTCACTCACAATTCACATATTTAAACAGGTTTTTGTTTCACTTTTTTATGGTTTTGACCCTCTCCACCAGGTTACCTCTACATAGACAGTTTTGTTACATTTTTCACCATACTTTATCCTCTTTGTGGAACTCATTCCTTATCTGTAATTTTACTGAATTTTTCAGCTTAGGAAGCAAGGATCTTCTTACATTATCAGTGTATCAGGTGAGGACTGACTCATCTTTAAATTTTTTACTTGTAAATTTACTTTTGATCCCACTGTTGTATTAGATTACTGCTAGTCTTTTCCAGTCATAGCTGTCTGGGTGGCTGGTAAAAGGGCTGTAATTTGGCAATGGGTTTTTTAAAATATAGACAAGCTTTTTATTGAGTAGCTGTTATGTCATGTTTGTTATGTTTACAGAAAATCCTTGGGGCAACACCTTACATTAAGTGGGGAAGCAACTCAATATCAAACAGGTATGGCATCTCTCAATCCATACTTAGTAATATATATTTTTTGTCATTTAACCCTAGAAACTGCAGAAGGCAAGAAGATCATAAATCATGCAATTATTGTAGTATTAAACAAATTGTGAGATTTCAGAGGAACTAGTGTTCTTCCTAGTCAGCTCTTTATTGAATGCCATGATTTTTGAGAAAAATAATTTGAAATTGTATGGACTGGTTGTGATGCTCATGAGAGAGGCATGAAGAATGAAAACCAGAAGTTTGTTTAATCATAACAACAATCTAGTCATCCTACTTGTTCTATTACAAAGTTTGGTAAATCTTCATGGTTTGTATTGTTAATGAAAGCTATGTAACCTAGCCTTAAGTACTTGATACGGTCACCTTCACTCGGTAACAGAAATGGACATTGTTCTCTTCCAGGCTTCTAATGACTGCAATTGAATCCACAAGTGGAGCAGTAGCTGTAAGTTCACATTTCACATTTTAGTTTCTTTTCCCATGCAACAAATGATTCTCATTTGTAAAAATTGGCAGGAGCCTTGCCTTTGATCTTCTTTCTCTTGTGGGCAGAGTGGAGATCATTTCCCTAATATTGACTGGTAATTGAGCCTGCATCGAGACTTTGTCACACAGAATGCAATTTTTAATGGAGTATGTGGTTGTTGTGTCTTTGGGAGATCATTTCTGTAATATTGACTGAACATGAATCTCAGGAAAGGTTTACCAAAAATAGTAGACTCCTTTGGCATGGTCTACCTGTAAGCTTCAAATACAGTGCTACAAACAAGGCTTCAAAATGGTTAGTAACTCAATGTTTTCATTTCAATTAGGCATCAGCTTTCAATGCCAGCTACTCTGACAGTGGACTTTTTGGATTTTATGTGGTTGCAGAGCCTTCAGATGTATCCAAGGTACAAATTGCTTTTGTCTCTTGGTTAATTTAAAAAGTTTGTTTGTTTTGTTTGGTTTTTTTCTTTTCAACTAAATAACTTTGAGTTGATTTAAATTTTTTCTAACCTTGCAGGTTATGAAATCAGTGATTGGCCAGTTTTCCAAAGCCTCTAAAGGAGAGATCTCTGATCAGGAGGTTACCAGAGCAAAGTGAGTCATGTTAAAAACAACAGTGGTACAACTTACTTGACCTATTCTCTCCCCCCCCCCCTAGTGGAGCATTGCTCCAAGGAAAACTGGCTTCCATCTTTCTCTGTGCTGGGCTGTCTTCTCAGCTAGAAGTGCCCCTAGGGGTAGCCTGCCCTGTCCATCTTGTCGTCCCTAGTTTTTCCACAGCTGTTCCTGGAATGACCTTGATTCCTGTGGGTTCCATCCTCCTGTAGGTGCCACCCCAGTGCATGCTTGTAGACACTACAGTTTGGTTTTCTGAGGGTGTGCCCAATCTAACTCCAATTTTGCCTTCTGATCTGGATGTTGATTATTGTCTGTTCAGCTTTTGCCATACATTTCTTCAATCCTTTTGACCTGTTTATGGGGTAAAATGTGTAGAGAGGATTTTCCTCAAGGTGACATGTCTACTCTTTCTTGACTAAGAGGGTGGTCATACCCTTCCTCCCCAGGACCTACCTGTGACTTCTCCTTTCCAGGTCCATTAATAAGTTTTATAAGTTTTATAGTCTGACTTGCTGGTATGAAATTGGTGGGACTTGTTTTATGTAAATGACAAGTCTCTTCACAATCTTTATGTTCATGTTGATATTGCCGCAGGAACCAGATGAAAGCACATATTTTAATGAATGGCGAAAGTCAGGAGACGCTGTTTGAAGATATCGGCTCACAGGTAAGTTTTAGGTAACAGAAATGGTCATTTATGCCATGTGTAGGGAAAAAGCATTTTGCTGGACTCAGATGGGTCCTAATTGTACTCTTAAGACCTTAAAGGAATGTTGTCTCCATCAGTTGTTGGGTGGGACTCGAGATCGTATAGGCGATGCCTGTTTCAACCCAGTCACCTGAGGTGTACTAGTTTATTTCTCGAGGCATTTAATTTTACAGTCCTAGGGGTGAAAAAATCTAGCACCACACCTATATGGAGAAGAAATGGACCAGAGTACGTTGCTTCAAATTCGTGAACCATTGGAATTTTATAGAAGAGTAACGCGGCAACGAGATTGTTGTGCTCATTTAATCCACTGTACACAATTCCACTTACATCCAAGCTTATTTTATTCTGTGTAATTCTGGTTAATCTCTTAGGCTCTCACACTTTGATTCTCACTGGATACTTCTTCTTCAACTGCGGAATTCTGACTGTACTCTAGTGCACACTGTCTACATTATTTTAGTCTTCTCTCTTTTCTCCCTTTTCTCTCTTTTCTCTCTTTTCTCCCTTTTCCCCTCTCTTCTAAGCAAACTCTAAAGAACTTGCTTATATATTTACTATTGACAGATACGGGTGGGCATGCCAACTGGCTGACCTTGAGAGATCAAACATTTGTTGTTAGAACGCTTAACCAAACAATTTTACTAGACTTTCGATCTGAACAACAAAGTACTTTATCATAATAGTTTTGATCAACTGAGTCAACTTCTTCAAAACAAGAACTTTCGTGTGGGTTCAAAGCTTGGTCAGTAACAAACTAAGCGCGTCCACTTGTGGAAGTGAAAAGGCTGTCACAATGTGGAAACTCATCACGACAGTTCAAACCGAAATAACTTCGGAAGTCGAATTCATGCATTCAATACTCTCTAAATGTAAAAGAAAAATTTAGTCATACTGAACTGACTGACTTACTGACTTACCGATTATAATCTAACAGAATGCTTCATAACAGGTTAAAGTAATGAACCGAGTACAAGTGATCTTTCCTCACAATTAGTTCATTCATTTTTAATTTATTAGATATCGACAAAAGGAAGTTACACAGCACCTCAAGAAGTTGCAGCTGCTGTTGACTCCGTTACAAAGGCAGATATTTTAACGGTAGGGAGAAGTTCACCTGCGAGTATTGGTAGGGCTATTTCTGGGGATTCGTTGAGTTTAAGTCAACAGTTTGAACCAGTTTTAATTGGAAATTGAAAAGCAAAGACGTATTGTTAACAGGGTTCGCACGGGCTCTGGAAAACCTGGAAAGTCCTGCAATTGTAATTTGACATTTTTCAAGGCTGGAAAGTCCTGGATAAAGACTGCAGATCCTGGAAAGTCCGGAAATCTGCTTAACTCAAGTAATCGAGTTTTCGGAATTAAAGTTATAAGAAATGTATATGGACCGTAAAAGGAATTGATTTTGAAATCTTAAGAATTGAAGGGTTTAAGGTGAAAATTGGAGCCCTAAAAGAATCAATCTGAGTACTGGAAAAGTCCTTGAAATTTGTTTTTGAAAAAGGGTACGAACCCTGGGTTAAGGAAGCACAGTGTTATGATGGTGAGGTTGGATTTAGTGATACAGCGCCGTTATGTCGTGTTCCGGAGTAAGACACTTCTGTTTCGAGAGCACTACTTTCTTCCTCCGCCTTCTTCTTTCTAATTAATTGTTAATCCTTTTTCCCCTTCTTTCTCTTTCCTTTATGTAGTAGAGTTGATGCGATCCTGCAAATTTTAGGAAGGCCAACAGAAAAAGTTTTAAGAAAGATGTTTTTCGTCTTGTCACGAGTGTGGGATAAAGAATAAATTCTGAGTCCCCATGAGGAATCGAACCCCAGACCTTCGGATTTGCGCTCCGATGCTCGACCTCTACAGAATTTGTTCTTTATCCCACGCTCGTGACAAGACGAAAAAACATCTTTCTTAATTCTTCACCGAGCTCAAAACTTACCATCTCTACTATTTCTATCAGAAAAAGTTTTGTTGAAATGCTATGCGCTAACTCATTTTAATAGAGTGGGACCACACCCTCACCAATTTAGACAAAGTAAATGAATCATTTCGACATCCCCTCCCCCTTTACTCATAGTAGTTAAAATGGTATTTTCTCGTCGCTATCAAAGGTTGTGGGGAGTGAGGAGGTGGTGTAGTGAAGGGGGAGTGAGTTGATCGTTCCTTTTTGTTACATCGAAGGTTATCATAGTATTTTCAAATGGGAGAAGTTCCTAAGTCTTGCAGATGTCTGCCCTAAGACTTGTGAAGACCTTACCTTTGCTTATATTTTGTCTTCATTCTTGTTCACAGGTGGCTAAACGCGTATTTTCTGGAAAACCATCGCTGTCAGCCATTGGTGATGTTTCTATGATGCCCGGTTTGGACGAACTCATGTAACTTTGCGTTGACTGACACCTTTCAATAATTGTGTAATACTGCGCAGTGTTACTTGTAATTGATGCAGCTGGAGCCCTTGGTAGAGACTTATTATTTTTAACGGGACTGATTGTTCATGGCGCCATTGGCTCTTTGTAAAGAATAGAGGAATGTTTATCAATAAACGCGTCGCCTTGGTCTTGGCGCCCTTACAAGTAGCTATGATGTAATGGATAATTTGTTCTTTCTTCTGAATCTGGTTTAACCCAGTTCCTCTTGCAGCGGCGAGTATTGGCTCAGTGGAAAGAATACGATGCTATTTCACGAATCTGTGTCATGCGGATAAACCAAATCTCTGTCTAGAATCTACTTGGTGAAAAAAATTGATTTGTGTTGAATGAAATTGCGCTTAAGTCCTTCAGCGCGATATTTTGCAATTTACTGTTGCCCATCGTAACGTTTAAAACTAGCATTGGCTTTTACCAGGTGTTGTGTCATAGTCTAATCTCCGGCATGTGACTTCAGACTAATCTAAAGTTGAAAAACTCGATGAGTTTTTACAGAAGTCTCGAGATTTTTCTTGGTTCCAAAGATGTCAGGTTTCTATTTGAAATTTCTAAGCAAATTCGTCCTTTAAAAAATGATGTAGAAACCGAAAAACAAGCAAAGGAGTGGTGTTCTTGGATAGCCCATTGGATTTTACTTGAATTCGAAATGAGCTGATAACAGTCCAACTCCTGTTACATGTTCGCCTCTACGGGCCAACCGTGCTTGCGGAAGGACTCGTAACGCAACCCTTAACGTTCTTACCCTTAAACGACAGACGTAACATGTTTCTAGACGGCGCTCTTTTTTCTTGACAGGAGATAGGTGGGAGAAGATAAGATGTCAAAATACTGATATAGTGAAACTTGTCTCCAGCGGACTCTGGTCTCTATTTATCTGTGAGAAATGTTCCTTGTAAAGCAAGGCAGCTGTGAGTGAAGTTATTTACTAAAGAGTAAGTGCAAGGACGGAATTATCTGTCTCCTGATTAAAGCTCGCCGCAGATCTCCTACTCTTGTCAGTGTTTGTGTAGAGAAAAATATGGTATCGATTCTTTTTTCAGTCTTTTGGAGATTGTTCTACGTTCTAAATTGTTCGTTTTCATTCTAAGTCATTTCAGTGTCAAACAATGATTTACCAAGTTAATGTTTTCCATCCTGCCTCAGGAAAGTTCAGACAGGTTTCCGTCTTATGTTATTGCTTTCGTACAAGTTCAACAATCTCCTTTTAATTTCCCAGTTTCTTAGTGTCATAGACTTTGGACTGCCCCGTAGTAGCGTTCACCACTCGGTTACTGGTGAAAGAAAGTAGTCATCTCGAAGTGTGTGTGTATAGGAAGGCTAACCAATCATCACATTCTCGAAATATTTGATATTAGCACCTTGTTGACCGAAATTAGCGGAATGGCAAGTGTATATAATCTGTTTACTTTGGAAACTTCTACAGGCTTAGAGCCTAAGAAAAACGTAACATCAGCACGTAGCAACACTAACACGATTGGTTTCGACTGTGTTGGTGCAATTGGAATCGATTTCTGTTTCTAATTTTTCTTTCGCTTTTCGTTGCATTACATCTCTCTTTTCCTCATTTTTCTTTTCTTTATATAGGCGGGAAAAGTACTCGCGTCCAATTCCAGTGACACATCATCTGCAATTAGATCACAAGTATTTTAAGTCAAGACCCCTCTTTTAGCACCTTTGTGATCCCTATAATTGCCATTAAATTTAAAGACCGTTTTATTTTTAAAGGAGATAAAATGTTAAACTTTGTTTTTTTTTGTTTTCATCGCTTCTTTTGATCGCTTAGATTTACCTCCAGAGTTTGCACTTTGGACAACCAAAGATAAAATGTTAAACTTTGTTTTTTTTTTTGTTTTCATCGCTTCTTTTGATCGCTTAGATTTACCTCCAGAGTTTGCACTTTGGACAATCAACACCCAATTTTGGCATTGAGAGCAGTTTAAAGGTCAGAGAAAGTTCTGCGAGTCAGCACACATTTTGAGTCATTTTGTTGCGACTCACAATGTTTCCAGAATTGACAGACACTAACGAGGAGGGGATAAACCAAAAATTGATTCTCTTTGTTAGAAAAATGGAGGAGATGATCAAAAATCACAGATGACCCCGCCGCATCGTAATGGCTTGCCCACTGTTGTTTTAAACAACAAAAACGCCGGCTAATAATATCGAGACAGCTAGGAGTAATTGTATATGTTATCCAACTACATTCAGTAGAGTATAAATAACGCGCAAATCGAACACAAATATCACACGTCATTGTACGGTTGTTTATTTTGTAGTGTAAAAAAATCCCTTTAAACCGTTCGGCTGCGCTTGCTACGCTTCTCAATCTGCTATAATTTTCTCGCCTGATAAGAAATGCTTATAACTTTAGGGAGTTGGACAATAAATAAATTATTAAAATTATTAAACGTTTTGATGTACGGTATTGCCGAGTATTTTTGCACTGTGTTTTGACTCGCCCTCCGGGCTTGTCAAATTACGGTATAACTCTTAGAAGTACTCAGCGATGCTACACACCAAAACGTCTAATAAGATATATATATATATATATATATATATATATAGGAAGTCTGCAGGTCGATTTTCGCGTGGAAGAGTGCTCAATACGATGAAGTAGAGCAGAATAAATATTAGAAGTACTCAGCGATGCTACACACAAAAACGTCACTCTTAAACCCCTAAGATATATTCATATATATATATATATATATATATATATATATATATATATATATATATATATATATATATATATATACACACATATATACATATATACATATATACATCATATCTTCAAGAGGCGTCTCTAGTAAGTTGAAATGTTTTTTTAATTCAATGTTTCAGAGATGTTTGTTGAAATTGGTGGGACAGGATTTTTTATTTTTGTCGCCGGCCTTTGTTAGGATATGTCAGTCTTAGGTTATCTTCCATAATCATATTGTCAATTTCTTTCGAGGACGATTAATTGTTGTAGAGGTTTATGACAAAGTTCTCACTGAATAGCGTGTATCAATCGAGTTCTCAGCAATTATTCGGAAATGCTACGCTAATGGTGTTGTAAAGCGGAAATTCGTTACGGAAGTTTTTTTTCATTTTTAGCCCCCAAGCTTCGGGAAATCTTGTTTATTGTTTTAATTATAGATAATATTCTGTCTGTTTATCCTGTATTTGGTGAAAGCCTTTGACCTTGAATCAACTGGAAACTGCTTCCACCCGTCTGTGGAATGCATCCTGTTTGTACAGCATTTAATTTGTGATCCTTCGTGTTTTGAAACGTCCGTGTCTGGCAGCAAAGATTACTGTATTAGGAAAGTACACTGTGTTTTTTTCTTCGGGGAAACTGATTCGTACATCCCTTAAAACTTCAAAGGTTCGATGTTCAAAATAACGAAACGACATAAACAAAGTCCGCCACTATGACTTCGAGTTTAAGTTTCTGCGTCAAAATCCTTGTTGTGACTATAATCCATCTTTGCGAGAAATCCATCTGAGATTTAATTAATACAGAGGAAGTAGAAAAGATATTCCAAGGTCTTCGCTACACTCATAAAGCAGAAAGGGAGAGATGAGTGCAGCCCTTCATGATCTACTATCTTGACTGAGTTGAAGAGGGCCTTCATGATCTGCTGGCTTTACCGAGTTGAAGCCGCCATTTAAGGCCAAAGTCATGTTTGTTCAGCACTGTAGCATTCTTAACCATCGACTTGTTGAGGAAAATGTTTCGATAACATAAAAACAAATTTATGCAATAAGAAATGCTCTGGGCGGCACGTGAAAGAAAAGCAATAATGCATCAAATGCATGCAAAAAGCATTCACTGCAGCTGAAGCAGTTAGCAATGACAAAAACATCTGCTCGTCTTAGGCGCGTACACTTGGGATCACTGCGAGTTTGTGGCTTGGCCTTCCTTTTCTTTACTCCCGAGCTGTTCAAGCTGTTCTCAATGCAGCAAACTGCTTTCTCCTAATTTTTTTATCATGTAATTCGTTCCTCTACAATTCACATTTCCGTTTACTTCTAAAAAAATAGCTACATCACGGAACCAACCACAGGGAGTCGCTGTAATTCGCATGTTATTTTTGGAAAGCCTTTTAACATATGATCCTTTCTGGGAAAAGGTAGAAGGTGTAGTTTATTTTTCTTTAGCGAGGAAAAAATCAATAAAGTGGTTTAAAACGTTGCACAGGGCTCAGAAACTGTAATGATTCCGCGCTTTTCTATTTTGAGCAAGGGATATCGTTGCTAGTACTTTTGAAGGTAAAGGGACTGCGTGAAGGTCGCGGGACTTAGGCCACACGATGAGAATACAGTGATAGCTTCCTTGTCAGGTTATTTCTGACAAGACTGATATTTCTAAAGAAAAACCACAATTGTACTGAACAAAAATAGTACTCCTTTCGTGTGAAAGAAGATTATGTCATTCCATTAGACAAGTTATCTTAAGTACAAAGAACTTTCGAAAGCCCTACGGGCGATTGCGTGTAATCAATGGAATGAGACGATTGATAACTAACGAAGATCACCTGCTGAAAGTCCGGCTGTGTCGAGTCCAAATACAAGTTTCAACTCTTAGTAATGAAACACTGTTCTGGTTCTTCTGCCATTTATTCGACCTGTTTTCTATTTAGGGTATTATAGGTGAGAAATTACCACCCATTGCGGTCGAGACCAGTGTGGACTTATTGGATTAATTTGCGCCAAATATTTGTGTGAGACCAAAAAAATTTGCCGGTAAAAAAAAGAAAAAAAACCGAGGTCGATGTCGGAAAAAGAACCATGTAATGACTTGAAATCTCAGACACTTAATCCGAGTTTCTTATCCTATAATGTTTGTGTTGTGATTAAAACAGTTTTGTTTTCAGATTATTCAGTAAGAAACCATTGTAGTTGGTCAATCGCTAATCTAGGTAATGTGCAATTTACGTCAGATATACAGATGTGGCGGAGGAATTTTCCGTTTTTGACCTTATACGGCGTCGCACATCAGCCTTCTTTCCGTTTCCTGAGTCTTGAAGCTTAAATTTCTTATGCTTGCTCTTATAAAAACAAATCAAGTTAGTGTGTGGGCGGTGAGAGGGTGGACAGGTACGAGAAACTCGTGATCTCCACGCCTTGGGTTTCGTTTCCTCTGCAAAAGTCAGATTTTTATCATTTTCCTGTCGTTATTCCACACGTATGAATATTACATCAAATTTGAAAGACCTTAATATTTCCAAGTATCTTTAGTTCATCTTGCAAGCTGTGTAGTAGAATTTTGGATTTTGACTAAAACATGGTTTACAAGGCTACATGCCTTGTATTTGTAGCAGACAAAGATTGTCACTAAGCTTTTCAAGAGAGTTCCGTGCCTCTTAAGTCGATTTATGCTTCGCAAAGTTGATGGAACAATCTTGAATCAATGCCCCTTTCAGAACTTTGAAGCCCTCAAGGCACATCAATCTTAATCTACGTTATCGAACGTTTCTATGTAATCTGTAAAGCTCTACTCACTTCTACAAGTGTAGAACATGCAAACAGAATAAGAAAGTTTTCAGATGCTTAGATTCTGCGTAAAAACCATCCCACTCACGTTTGTAAATGCATTGTGTGCAAAGTTGAGAACAATAGGACTCCGTCTGTTTAATCTGTTCTTTTTATGTCCTATTTCACAGTGCTGATTGTTGACCTTTGAAAAGGGGTAAATTAATAAGTTATTTGTGTGCCAAACACAATACTTGCGAGAGCGTGGGAAAACTGCAAAAGCGAAGACCATGACGACGATTTACAATCTGTCTCTTTATTTACAAGTTCCGTTAATAAAAATCATGAATACAATAAATTTTATACCAAGTTTTAAAATATGTAACAGGAAAGGGAAAACTATCATTAACGCAACAACTATATCCACACATCAATCTTCAAATTCTCTCCGGTTGCTTGAAATACATTCAAAGGTGGGAGCCAAGGAGAAAGGAAGATTGGATCAGAGAATTGACGTTAAAAAGCTCACTAATTAAATGTAGATTTTGGACAAAATCCCATGTTGGAAGCTGGACATAAAGTACATCAACTCCTCGTAATAACATTCAAGTTATTTACATGTAAACAGTTCGATAATAATTCTCGATATTTCAATGTTCTATTACTGTCAATTATACTTGATGTAGGCCCTTCTCTATTGAGTCCGTGATCAAAAGACCTCCACGTCAATTCACATCTAGTTATTGAAACTTGAAATACGTCATCGTCAAGAAATAAAGAAAAACTTTTTTCCCCTTTGGAGTATGACGTTTGCAAATGATTATATAAGTACATGAAAGTGATTACAACGCAAAATTAAAAATAAGCTCTCTCATTTCTTTGTTAAATGATGTTTCTAATCTAGTTCAATGTAGAGTTATTCAGTTCATCATACTATTTACTAGATTCTATAGCGGTGTCTGTTTTGAGACACTTCGACGGGGTGGCTTCCCCCATCGCTTGAAACTCCATCTTCCTCGACTGTGTTCTTCCGTAATTGACGCAAGTAGCTGTGGATCATTTTCCTTTCCTTGATAAGATCTTGTTCGATTTGAGAATACTCGTAGTTACAGCATTTCTCGTAGAAAACTTTATGAGGTTTGCATTTTGCCAGCAATCGGCGGTTGATAGGATGGCTGGTACGCTTCCAAACAGCTGTTTTCATTTGGTGAAAATGTCTATTGGGAGAGATTTCGTCTGGGTTACTCGTGTACCTGCATGTCTCTCCTATTTTGGCCACATCTCGGCCGAGATTGCAGCACTTTTCCCTCCGAGTAAGCTTCTTTAGTTTTTCAGCCTCTTCGGTTCGAGGTTTTGCTGTCGATCCGTCCGTAGCCTGTGTTTTTGCGGGCCTGACATCGAAATCTGAAAACGGAAGAAGACGAAAAATTTAGCTGAAATGAATCAAAACAAAAAAACACTTTAATGAGTATTTACACCAACCTTTCAAATTTTCACTGTTTTTAACAATGACTGCTCCTTTGGTCAAAAAACTGAATAAGACCACTAAGGTAATGCAATAAATTGAAATTGGCTTCATTTTTCCGAGCACCGGTCCTCGTTGAGTATGCTTGCGTAGTAACTGCGTGAGTGTCTCGTGTTTGAAGTTTTGTTTTGAAACTTAACCCAGTAAAACCAGTCCGATACGATTGACGTTATTGTTATAGTGTTAGTCACTACGCAAAGTAAACAAAGTTAACTACCATTAGCTGTCATTCACCATCGAGGGTTTACATGATTGACAGCTCAGAGAACAAAAGGATAGCAGAATAATTGATAGCACAATGGATCGAATAAGGTTTCTTCGCTCCGGGGCAACAAAAATCTTTTTGTCCCAACTTTTAGACATAAATAAATAACATCTTTGTGGAGACCGAAAGCATTTCACACCCCGTTTTCTGTATTGTTATCGAGATCTTCTATGAGAACAGCTAATTTGATCTGCCTTAAGGTCAGTCATTTTGTTTGTTAGTTTTATGTTCTGGTGTATTCTTTTTCCAGAAATCCGTGGGAATGTTTACCCAAAGTGTAACATGTAGACACTAATTACCGATAGCCCCCACATAAAGGGCGACGTTCTACTGCTTTGTTTTAGCTTAGGAATGATCAGAATTAATCCCCCCAAAAAAGTCTGAACAATTTGTGTTTTTGTAATTTTGTTCTTCTTTAAGCTTGTTGGACAAAGCTAGACATATCACTGATAGGAGGTCGGAATCCTTGGGCTGAGTGACTGCTGTGATTGTAAGTGAGCGGGAAAACTTCCAGGCGCCGAAATGTCTACGCACACTGAATAGCTTTACTCTAAAGTTACCCCTTAAAAAACGACAGACCATTTCATCTCCTTGTTTTATCTTGTAGGATAACAGATCTAGTGTACTTTCTACCTAATCACTATTGTTCGTTTTAACACAAGTCAAGCACTTAAAGGGTTTAGAGCTTCCGGAATACAAGTAGGTCTAAAGTGAAAGCCTCAACACTCTTGCGAGGAATCCGAAGATATTTTTTTTCCAGATTCTATCATACACCTGCAATTAAAATTGACAAAAGGATGAAGCAAAAGGCATGAGTATTACAGTCAACACCCCCTGAGGTTTGGAGCGAAGCCACAAGTGTACAGAGGAATGTATTGAAAATCAACATCTTCAGAATTACATGGCATGTCGCCGGTATTGTTCTGTTAATTAAGTAACATTGTTCTTTTGTATTCACCTCACGTTTAACGGGTAGTAAGACAGAAAGGCTTATTCAACGCACTTAGAGCGCTTCTTTCTCAAGAACTGGCTTATTTGAGAGTTCTTTGTGCAAGAAGTCATTTTCACTGAACAGAAGCTTTAGTCGATGTACTTTAGAAGACCAAACATGTTAGTTACCCTTTTTCCCTCGAGGTCAAAAATACAATTCTTATCACTGCAATTTTGTTATGAAAGTATTTTTGAACATTCACACTGCTAGCGAGTCTATAGCACCTACCTGTCTCGTCAGGGATAACTTCACATGATTCCAATGTGCAACCTCAAGGTGTTCCCATCTCCACGAAGTGCGCTGTGCGATATGAAATTTTAACAAAATAGAAATGTATTCATTGTTTACAAATTGCCCGTGATTGTTTACTCTATACGTATTTGCAAATAACTGCTTGAATGGTCGTTTTCGAAAGCAGTCATAATAGCAATAAGGGGTTGATATTTCACGTGCTGTGATGATGGAACAGATCGTTCTTTTTTCGTTGCTTTTCAGCTGTAAGGATCGGGAGGTAACTGTCTTTGATGCCTCAGGTGTTCGAATCACTTGCTAGCAAGAGGGTAAAACAAACAGTTCTTTCATTGTCAGCGTACAAAGAATCTTTTTGACAGAAAATACCATTGACTTGTATTCACGTGAGCTGCACGTGTTGTTTCTTTAAAACCATTGCTTGAAGTTTAGTGAATATCACTTGATTAATTAAGAGATGTGAGAAGACAGAGCTTTCAGTTTTGATTATCTGCAGACTAGTTTGAAACGCTCCAGCACATAGAGCGTTGAAACGATCCATCACATAGGATGACTGTGTCGGTCAGTGTAAATCAATTCACATTAATTAATGGTTAACTCCCAAAAACTTAAAAAGAAACTGAGATGCATCGCAAGGATCACCCTGGTACTCTCCACGAAGCCGCAGTTGCTGAGAGATTTCTTTCATACTTCAACCACTCTATTCTATTCTATTCACATGAATATGTCATCTCATTATTATCTAGGCTTCCTAAGCTCAGTGGAGCATTGCACTTTAAGATCATGGTGTCAAATAAATTTATGTCTTTGCTGTGTTAATTAGTTTCGGTGATGAACAAGGGGGTCCATACGTGACATTTTTGGTTTTTAAATGGTTGTAATTACTGCCGGTTTAAAAGCCAACACTATTGTGTTTCCGCTGGGAAAGTGAGCATCTCTCTAAATTTGAAGGATCATTAATAAGGTGTTCGGCTTTTATGGATCGACTGGAATCCGCCTACTGCCTTTTTAACTTGCATATTCTATATATAGAAAAGGTTTCATTTCAAACATCTACGGGCGGGGCCGGGTTGTTCAAAGCTGGATTACGATAAACCAGGGTTAGTGTGAAATTTGATTTCATATCTGAAATCTCCAAAGAAAATTCTCAGAATTATTATTTTTGTCTTCAATTTGATGATTGGATACTCTTAAAAGGAGAGAAAATTTTATTCGAAAAATGCTTTTGAAGAAAGAAATAATGAAATCTGGATTAAAATTTAATTTTGGGTCAGCGCGAATCGGACTTCGAACAACTGGGCCTTAGTGGGGGTGTCGCCTGTGGGATTTTGGATGGATCAAATGGTTTTCAGTGAGAACGGAAAGAGATCAATCGTCGCCAAATTAGTATAAAGGGGGAATATAAGGGGGGACTGCCAATGAGCGGTGGGGGGGGGGGGGAAGGGGAATCATGAGAATATTACAGAGCCTTATGGGGGGATCAGGTGAATTCTACAATGATACAACCAAAATCCTCCCTTCCCCCCCCCCCCCCCCCCTCCCCCCTCCCCCTCCCGCAGGCGATAAAAAAAAATGACCAGTCCTTCACCCTTTACCTCCCATGAGTGACCAAGAGATAATTTCTCCTTACAAATTCAATACAATATCAAGCATAGAAGTGATGAGAATGAAGTAAAATATCAATTAGGGGATTATTAATTGATCCTTAACCAAATTCTCCAAATTGACATCATAACAATTGTAGATCTTGAGAGTTTAAGGGTTTTAACTTGATTTCTCCCCCACATGGCGACTCCTACTTTTTCTAAGACTGCTTTCATTTTATTGCTCACTTTGAAAAAAGTACAGTCTGTAATACGTATTGTTTTTAGATCAATTTTGTCGGAATTTTAGACAGCTCAATATAATTCTTCAATTTTTATCTTTTTTCGTATCAATCTACGTTTCATGACTTAATTATTTACCATATCTATCCGCTAAAATTTTTTTCACCTTGCACGTGGGATTACTAAGAGATCATAGAAGTGCAATGTGAAAAAATTATTTGATAAAAACGATCGCAGAAAAAAAAATATGCTTTTTTCGTCTTATCACGAGCATGGGACGAAGAAAAAAAATTCTGACTTCCGATCGACGAGAAAACGTTCCTCAAATTTAATCAGAGTTTGAACAGCTTTTAGAGGGCTTTTCAAATGCCTAAGGGAGTTCAAAATTAATAAATGTACGTAGGCTAAAGTCCGAAAAACATACGTGCCTTAGTACGTTATTTTAATTTTGACTGATTTTCTTAATTGACGAGAGAACATAGTAAAGCAAAACCTGTGCATTGCTATCATGCATTAGATTTGCAGTGAAAAATCTGATTGGTCGAGAGCATTCAATTAATCTACAATCGCGTTTGAAGTCGACATGATAATTGCCATATCTATGAGGGATATCGTATTTATGATATCGAGTTTAAGGTCTGCCTGGTTTCTAAGCGCCTCGCAGTGTTCTCAAACTTTGCAAACTCCGAGAGATTGCAGATTGCCTAGGAAATGTATGATAAAAAAATCATTGAGTTCGGTTTTAGTATATCATGCTCGACTTCATCCAATAAATCCTTGTTCTCAATTCATGCGACCATGGCAAAATGGCGGAACACAGAACCCATTGAAGTTATTTGACAGTTCAAGGCTGTTGATTGGCTCGTTCCTTATCACGTGTGCGACGCGGGAAACACATACCTTAATTCCCGCCTTTTTTCGAAGTCTTCTCTGCCACTTCAAGACAAATTGTTCACACTTGTTTAAAGTAGCTATTATCTTTTCTGAATGCGGTGGGCCCTATCAAAATCAGGAATATTTTGTTCAGCCCCAAAATAGATGAGTTCAAAGCTGGAGAAGTGAAGTCAAATAAACTGTGAAGGTGAGAGGGTTTAAAATATGTACTAAATTTACCAACTCGTTGATTCTTCCCAACTTATTCAATTTCGTTGTCAACATTTTAATATCAGGGCTTGGTTTGTTGATCGTTGAAATATCTAAAATTTCCCAAACATTTTTTTTTATGCTTTTGAGTGTTTTTTCTTCTAGAGCTACTCAGTTGAATCACTCTTTTGGTATCAATACAACCAAGTTGTCCTTACAAAGAACTAAAATCAGAATGTTATAAATCTTCTGTTGACCTGCCGATGAAATGCAAGTAAAGGAATGATTCTCGCCGTGGAGCTGCAACCAAAGAAATCGAGGGAAAGAAATCTCAAACAATTCAGGCTTTGAAGGGATTCAAATCCTTGCGTACCAGATATTAGTTGCTACTACGAAGCCACATGTTGGTGGTGAGGAAAATCTGCCAGACGAGCGAGGCAAATTTTTTTAATTGCAGCTCCGCTTGCGAGAATAATTCCTGTATTTGAAAGAATTGAAAACAATGCGAAATGGTGGCCGTTTTACTTCGTAAATTAAATATTGTGACCATCATGTGCACCATTTACTGACGAAGTTTGTTAGGTCAAGATGTCCTAATATTGACGTCGTGTTGTTTTTGCACACGAAAACACTAAAATAGAAATTAGCCAATATCTTGCAATCAGTAACATCACGCTTGTTCAATAACGTTCATAAAGTAACAAGATGTTACTTTTTAAAGTTCGTTTAATAAAAATGTACCCGGGTAAAAACGGTGAATTCGATCGAAGTGTAGGTGAAGGATATCACACATCTTGTTTGACACTTCATCGTGTGTTGTAGTTATATTTACAAGTGGCATAGTATATAAACTGCTACTACATCCTCAGAAAAAGATAAGCTGATCATAATCTATAATATCCTTTATGGAATACAAACATCATTGTTAAGATATTTATAGCCCCTTTTAAAGAAAAAATTAGCCGGGGTGGGTGATGCATACAAACGTTTCCATAGTCTAAGTCTAAGTCTTTATCTGTCTTTAGTTCTAGAATTACAATGCGATCATAAAAATATAACCCCGAATAGCTAAAAGACGAGCCAAAAGTTTGCTCGTTCATCGCCTATACTAAATCATTCAAATATTAGCCTATTTAAAAAAGAAGACATCATGTTAAACGCTTGGTATTTGGTTTTGGGGCGCGCACACTCCTATACGGAGGTTGTAAGAGCAGTTATTTTTTCAGTAGGAATGTATACGTATACATTGAGTGGATGGTGCTCTTGCTTACTTAAGGGGTCCGTAATAGAAATAGGGTAAGAAGTGTAACAGTGTTTATAACGAAGAAGTTCAGTATACTACTTAACTCAGACTCAAACACCCCTATAGTTGCCCGTTAGTTCGATTATAATATCTCATCAAAGAACGTGCGTTTGCAATCCTTTTATGAGAGCCACGTTAGAGATCCTTTGGTACTTTCCTTAATCCTCTCTCGCCTTGGCAGCTGACTATATTTCGCACTCGACTGTTAATTCGAAATTCCGTTTTATAATATTCCATGACTCAAGATTTCGCAGAGGGTCTCTTCCAAAGTAGTCGAACTCATCGAAAGAGCACTGGACGATGGTTGTGACGAAAAGGACTGGGGCAAGCAATGAACGTGAGAAGACAAAGAGGAAAAAATTTCGAAACCCTCCAATTTCATGTTTTTGTATATGTACTAACGTGATGAACTTGATTGACTTAGGCCGACTGTATTCGAAGTAGATATGTGCCAATAATGTGGCTCAGCCACTTGGCCCAGACCTCTCTCGCCACAGAAATATCTAAAATGGCGGCCTGCCATCATGGTAAGTCAATTAATGTCTGCTCGTTCGCAGAATGTTGACTGATGGTTTAGAATCTACACAATACTGGTACCCTGTTACTTCTCCTCAGGTAGCTATGGAAGTATTACACATCTGCTTAATGAAAACTTGAGCAGCGAAGGAGTGCCACATCAGTTGGATTTGAATACGCACTAAACCAGGGGCCCATTACTAAACTAATGAAACTTGGACTGGTATTGATTAGAAGATTTGTTTTCTATAACTGATACTCAGTCACGTTTTCTCTCATTTTTCTGTTTACAGCTTCGTATTCGATAGTTCACTGTGAATCATCTCAAAGTGCTCAGCCGAATTCAAAGTAAGTGTTAAGTGGCGATGTGAAATCAAGATCATTGTTAGATTTACGATGGAATCTTTCAAAACGCATTTTGAACGAGAAAGCAGGATGACAGCAATGACTCTGGCAATCACTATCGCAACAACAACGACGTCAAGAAGTGCAGCAGGAACAATAACAATAATGACAATGTTCATGTCAGCAAAAATTAACAAAGACGTCAAAAGCAAAGCGGCTATGTCAACAAAACCAAAGATGAGAAATTAAACATCCAAAGAGACTTAACCCAGTACGTGCTCCATCACGTACTGGGTTAGTTACACGTACACCGCCTACAGCATGAGAGGCCACCTTACCTCTCATCCTTTGTGGGAAAATTCGTGGAAATTCGTTGTATGCTGGGATTCCAGAATTCAAAAGTATGGGACAGTCATGGTAAGAAAATGTTCATTTTTGCGCGAATGCAATTGCAAATATGATTTGTAGAATTTCATGATATTGTGAATTTTGGATATCGTGCTACTTTTCCCGTCACATTTATTTTGAGTACATTTTGTTTCCAATAACCAGAGAGTTATTTCATTAGTGGTGGATCTAGGGGGGGTACGGACGTGTTAATGCGGTACGGGGACACCCCATTCCTATCATACCTCTTGGCTTTATTTACCACTTGTCTGACACCAAAATTCTTGTAACGACATGAGGCATGTTACCACTAAAATGGCTGATTTTGTTTGTGCGACGGGGCTTATGTTGGTCGAGAAGTCACTTTAGACCTCTCCCCCCACCAAAAGAAAAAAATTCCGGATCCGCCTTTTTTCTTTTAGTTACAGGATGGTTGACAAGTGACCCAGTTCAGTCGTATTCTTAGAAAACTTAGAAACTTAAAAAAATGAAGTATTACCTGAGAATACGGTTGCAATATTTCAGAGTCGCGCGTATTTTTTATACAAGCAACAGAGAACTTTGATGTGCTTGTATATCCCCATCTAAACGCGTAAGGGGTTGGGAGCCGCAATGCAAACCTTCAACTGCGTCTCGGTTTTGCAAGGTAACAACTTTACCCCGACAGTGTCAACTATAACAAGCAGCAAATAGGTTTCCGTGTCCTATCTGCCGCATTCAAATACAAAGTTGCCTTCGACGAGTAATACTTTAGTGAGCTGTCCTTGTCCTTGGCAGTGGAGATAGAAAAGTATGGAAAGCTTTCCAAAAACATTCCAGTGTTTGCATATGGAACTTGTTGAGGAATTTTGCCAAGGAAACGTCTAAGGGGATTTATGAGTAATTCCACTTCATCAAACTTTCTACGATTAGGTCGAGCAAATGTCTTAGAGAAGTTTCCTTTACTGAAGTAAATTACGAAATTGTGTCCTTGATCCTTGATCCTTGATCAATGCTTTCGCCAAGCTAAATTTTCTTAAGAGATACTGTCTCAAAATGAAAGATATCCAACAGCCTAAATTGATCGAATTGACACCTGTACCAGTTGGGAAGTAAAAGGGGAGGAAATTATGCCGTTGGTTGGTATTTCGATTATCCTTTTAATATTGGATCCATTCCACTTTAGTTCGCTCGGAATGATGGAATAATTAGTCAGGAATCCGTCTCAAGAGTAATCTTTTCCGGAGTAGGCTGACACGAAAGATTTCTTAATTGTTATGGCTCTTCATCTGAATCAATTTCTAATCTATCTTCGACCTTAAAATATCAGTCTCTCAGGCTACCAGGACTTCTGCATTCATTACAGTTCTAAGTTGTGTTGGCCTGCCTTCAGGCTACTTCTGTTTTCTTTACTTCACACTAAACAGAAAATAAAACAGGATAATTTTGCGCGTGGACCAATGTGTACAAAGACGTTTGAATCATGCCTCATTTAAAAGAATTCCGTGACCACTCGTGATACAGGAAGCCAAATTGACATGAGCTGTTGTCAAGAGTGAGTAAACTTAAATTATTCCGATAGCTTAAATTGGTGTGGTGAAACTATAACTCACTGAAGGGCGTAGTGTCTACCGGAGATCCTTGACTAATCTATTAGTTTTAATTAAAATTGAGACCTGGATTAAAGGTTTTTTCGGTCTGGACGGTTTTCACTTTGTTTAAAAAATTTATTGAAAGTTCCGACCTGGAGATTACAGGCATCTTCAAAGCAACGTCGCGTCTGTAATGAGGAAGTTTTTTTTCAACGTGTTAATGCGATAAGACGATGACGAGAAAGAAGACGTTGGTTACTTGTCACTGATTAAAATATCTCTGGATAATGCTAATTACTTAAGGAAGTTAAAAAAAAAGACATCAAGAGAACAAATCTCTACGTTGCAAATTCGGTAACTGCGCAAGCACGAAAACGGAAACGTTTGGGAGGTAGTCGGAGAAATCAAACGCGGTCTTTTGGATGTGGTCTGTACTGATCCTGGGTTAAATTCCAACTCTTCATTTAACTGTTTTAATACTATTTTTTATTCGGCATTTGATAAATCAAACTCAAAACTGAAAGACAAAAACAGGTTCTAGAGTACATTTGAGTAGCTTTTTTTTAGTTTTGGCAGCTGGCTTTGTATCTAAATTACCAAATTCCACTTATTTATCACCCAGTGCGTAACAAAAGATCGAAGGATCTGTGTAAAGCTATGGAGGCATCACCAATGTTACCAACATCTAAGCACAGTTCGTCAGTGGTGGAATTACTGCTTTCAATTACTTTCTCTGTTGATCAAGTCAGAAGAAGCAATTTGATTCGTCAAATCCTGGTTGATCTGTTTCTATCCTTTTTTTTTTTTAACTGACTGTCATATAGTGTGTCATGTAGCGTCGAGTTCAGCTCAGTGATCACGTGATAATTTTCAATCCTATTCAGAATGAAAAGGAACCCAAGCGCTTCTTTTCTATGCCCATACTTGTAGCCTGCACACTCATATTTCCTTTACTGAGGAACTAAGAGCTAGAGATAAGCCGAAAAGCGGTTTTTCGTAAATCACTTATGCAATGCAAACAGCTGATGTTTTGAACACTTCAATTATATGGCTGCTGAGTGATATCAATGTCGAGGAAGTCCAAAAATACCCTCACGGATAAACATTCTATATCTTACTTACGGATTTACTCCAGATAATGGAATTTAAAATTTTTATCCAATTTACACTTTGGAATGTTATTTTTCATTTTGTAATCTGCAAAGACTTCTCATATCAACCGAATTACTCCTTAATTATCCTGGCTCGGGTTTTCAGTAATAACGTTTATGAAAAGATAATGTTGATATTGGTATGAGGAAAATTGGCCAATTACGTGTGTAATCAATCAGACTCTTTAATCTGCGTGCTCAAGTTAAATCTTCCCGTTTTTAACACAGGAAGGAAGTCAGACGTCAATGCACACGCTTCATTGAATAACAGACATTTTACTAGGTTTATTATTGCATTTACTCTTGACCTCAGGACATCGGCGTTTTTTCTTTCTCAAGAGATCAACTTGATACCACAAAACTTGGGATCAGTATAGGTCCATCCGCACTGAGAAAATGTTTCACTGTAGCATCCGAAGACTTTGGTGCTAAGATTATATGGGGAAAAAGGATAGGCAAAAAATAATGACTACATGAAACTTTTCTTTTAACTTTTATGTAATTGTCTGACAATAATGACTACATGAAACTTTTCTTTTAACTTTTATGTAATTGTCTGACAAGATAAGAAAACTTTTTCAAAGGGAAAGGATAATTAACTCAAACCCTACTTGCACGTCGGGTGCCTATATTGGTAGAGTGAAATATATTGCGAACTCTAATTAATGAAAGAGGAACGTTTACCCCAGAAAATGAGTGTTATCGGACTTATGATGCAAAGAAGGAATTGTTAATTAGATCAAAGGTGTAGCTCTATATTAGAAGATTATCGAAAGACGTGGATCAGAACTCTTTGGAGAAGGCAACTACTCACTCAAATCGTTAATCTGTATTGTATTTGATCGTATATCTGTTATCTCTGTGACTAGCTTTCAGTTTATTTCCTGTATTGCTAGTTTATACCCGCTAATAGCACCAACTACTCTTGAGTTGCTTAGGATTGCCTTAATGTCTGGAAACAGAGCTTGAACAGTGTATGTAGTTTCCAGGGAAAATCTCTCTGTTTTTAATACCTGCGTTAAGCGTGTTCACGTAATTAAACATGAATGACACCTTAAATATCTCCCTTAAGTCCTTTGTACTCTCGTCTGTCTTACTGCCTGACAACAGAAAGTTTCGAGAGGTCAAGCAATCCTGTGGCTTTGCAGATGGATATTTGAACTTTTGTAGTACGTCAATAACAGTTCCTTGATCGCGTGATAACAATGCTAATGGTAGCTCAGCCCACATTTGTCAGTAACTCGGTCCCTCCCACCACTTAGCTCCACTTTGCTATACATTACTCACGCAGCTGACTTAGCACATCATTAGAACGTGTAATGCTGACAGCTTAGATATACTAAACAACACAGCCGACGTATTAATAGTCTCTTTGCTGTCATTAACGCTATAAAACCAGACAGTCTTAAATTAGATTATTCATTTATTTAGTCAACACTAGAATTCTGATCGGGACACGAAATTACGCTTTTCCACCATTATGAAGATCTTAAATGCCTAAGGGTCTAAACCCTTTTCAAGTCGATTTGATTTCCTAATGATCTTTGTTACAACTTCAGAAGAAATTGTTTCATCGTGGCAGGATACCAATGGCCGACGCACATTTTGCTTCACGAAATAACGATTTGGATGAAAATGGACATGCTATTTCGTTATTATTTGAAGCAAATGTCAACCACGGTCTTAGAGAATCCAAATGCTTGACATTCTTCGACAGAAAAGACGTAAATCGGCAATGGGAACTTGAATGGCAATTAAGAATTCCACGAATACTATAAATTCGTCTCTACTGACTCTTTTTTTAGAAATAAAATATTTTATAAACAACTTTACCAACGGCATCGAAACACTGACACGGTATAACTGGAACAAATGCAAAACCATCTCGTTAATTATCGAGTCATTCTGTCCTGCTTCTCTATTAGAATGTAAACCCCAACGTGTTACTACGGAAGAGTTTTTTTCAAAAAGACTATGTTTCTCCAGAGTGTGTCTCCAACTCTGTAGAAGAGCTTTGCTTTTGTGATTGTGTGGCTGCTTTTGCCTTGACTTGCCTTTCTCGCAGTCTACGCTCGCAGCAATCTTCAAAGCATCGCCTTTGCACTGGTCTTTGAGATTTGCAGAAGTTCAAACGCCGTCCAAATCCTTGTGACATGCGAAGCGAGCTAGCAGCATCCATTCTATCCGCCTGTGAATGGTTAGGCTTGCGTAATCGATGACTTGCAGACTTACTGTGTTTCAGACCTTGTATCAAAGCCTCGATGTTGCATGTGTAAACTGACGACGTGTAATCAAGTCGTACTGCCTTTCGTCCAAGTCTGCAGCACAAGGCACCTCGTCGGCAAGCTGTTGGTGAGGTTTTATCTATCAAGGACGGAACAGAATAAGCAATATCAAACAAATCTGCAAGCGTTTTCTCTTAGATTATTCGCGATAAAAAGCCCAATAAAAGGTTTCGATTTTTTTAAGTAAATGGCATCATAACAAGTCATTACGAATTCTGCAAAGAATGTAAGCAAAAGCATAGGTCGTGGGTAATTCGGGAGCGCTTTGATCAAATTCTGAACGGTACTTAAAAACACCATACTTGTACGAGATATTAGCCTACTTACTAACCAAAACGCACATGTCCTCTCGAATAATCTTACTTGCTCCCTGAACATCTTTGGTTGAAAAATTTATCAGTTGAGTTTCGGATGACATGAAGCAATTCGATGGGAAAGTAAAAAGCTATTAAGACTCAGTCGTTTTCAAAATATCTAATAGTTATTCTTGTCTGGCTGTTATTGTAGCTTTTTTTGAAGGCATTTCTGTCAGAATGGCTTCGGACGGTCTTCACAGTTTCTACGACAAGCTAGTGTCGTTTGGTAACCTTTATCAGATGAACGCACGTAACACAGTCAAGAACAAGCAAATTTTCCGCATCTGTTACACAGGTTTTAAATAATGAAATCGAACGTGTGAGAGCAGAATCCTTTACTGAGTCGTACCTTTGTTTCGTCTTGTTCCTTCAGCAATTGCATTACGGTTCCCCTCTCCAGCTGAAGCGACTAAAATGAAACTCAGAATTCCAACTACAAGAAGACCTGTTGTTCGTCGCATTTTTGGTCTCACATAACTCAGTTGGCTTCAAATTATTCATCAAATGCAGAAAGGCATGCTCTCGAGCGCACTCCGATTGATTGGGTTACCTGCAAATGGCTACGCACTCTTCTCTCGTATCAATCTTTGTATGACATTAAGCAGGGCCTTCAAATATGATCACTGTGCTTAGTCACGTCGATAACTCTGGCTTAATATCCTTGAGCCAGCAGAACGATTTGAAGTGGGGATAAATGCGACCTTTTACAAGAGTTTTGACTCTCTGCTGCGGTAAACTTAGCTCTAATATTGGTGAACGATTCTGTGATGTTGATGACTTGTTTTCGAGGGTGACTTGTACCAGAGCCAAGAACCACGCCGCTGACGTGCTGATTGTTAGCCAAGCGTACTTTCAAGGTTTCTTATAAGGATGTCGCGCGCGTATTCATCTGCCGTGTTTTCGATGAGCTAAAACGTCTGCGCATTCGTCTGACTGCCATATAAGCGTTGTTGCATGACCTGGCGTCGCTGAGTGACGGAAATTCAGGTCTCCCAGTGTTTGACCTCAATCTACACTTGTGCTTAATATGCGTACGTCCTGTTCGCGGCGCTCGCTCAAATGGTCGAATTAGAATTGTGACGAGTGTGTGTCGAGTGATGCACAGCGAGAGATCTTTGTCATGGACTGAAGCGTTTCTAAACAAACTGTAAATCTATGGTAACAGACTAAGACATTAACTAAAAAGTATTTTATTCAATCTTTTGTTGTCTTTATCGAATTATTCATTTTGCAAATTGAACCTTTTAGAGCCGGTGAGCTGTGACTTGAGGGTTTGAGGGCGTGAGATTCTACTTTTAGGGACACGATAGAAATCAACGAAATGTAACGATTTACATCAATTTGTATCAAGATCCTTTACATCCTTCCGTCAAGTGGTATTGAACACTGTGAAATTTATCCACGTAATATTTTACAACGTACATATTCAAGCTAGTGATTGTTGTCGGACTGTTTATGTCTTTCATCGATAATAGAGACAACAGTATGCAGTGAAGTATGAAATTTTTCAGTCAATGATAGAAGTATTCTTGGACAAAAGAAATTCCAAGTTTCCAACATGAATAAAATCCTCTAAACCCCAAATTAGTATTTCAGACGCTTTACCAATGACCTCTATCGAATTCGTGGTTAGGTCACGTTACAATGTTCATGAAACAGCTATCCTGCACCACTGAATGTGGACGCTAAGCGTTTGCGCAATGATTCACGTGAAGATGGAAGGTTCAAAGCCTGATGATTTCAGTCAAAGGTGTAATTTTTCAGTCAATGACACAAAGATACAATAGAATGTATTGTCCATAATAAAATTAAGCGTCCCAGCACAAAAGATTGTATATTTCTTAAGTCAGGTAGTTTATCTATTTCAGTCGGCAATATATTTGAATGAAAATATGAAATTAATCCTGTGTTCTCTGTTTGTCCAGTGACCAGAATTTGTATGTTACATTTTAATGATCACCACACACTTGTGCATTTTGAGTAGAATCTGTTCGTAGCGGTTCCCATTCGCAAGATGCTGAAATGTGTTTAATTAACACATCAGTGGGAACCAACTTATGTGACAGTGCGAGACATGCCAAAAAACTTGGTAGGAGTACTTAATTTCGCTAATTAATTATTAGCTCTCGAGAGAAACCTCAATCCCTTCCCTAATCGCTTTAAGAAGACTTATAAAGAGGCCCTCCCAGGAATATCCCATTTGATGGGGTTTAAATATATTCCAAAATCTTATCCATATACATAACCAGAATAGTTTGCTTGGCTCCCTTGGATATTTCCTCTTGTCTGATTGGCTTGGTTTATGTTTTTCAAAGACGAAAAAATTATATATAGGTTCATGTGCTTTCGTGATTACCTGGAAAACACTTGACACCGTCAGAAAAATAGTGTAAAGTGTTTTACCAGTTTTTGAAAACCAATTGGTGTTAAGAGAAGAGATCACTCTCTACAGTATGGGGGGGGGGGGGGTAACCGTATGGCATCTTTATATGAGTACCGTATTTCGATCGCCGTGCTGGCAGGCACGGTAGTTCGTACCGTCAACGGACTGCTAATTGACAGATTGTTCATGTTGAGAGATTATGACTCAACTTTTCAATTTTCCCATTTGCGATCCTTGTTGATATTCTCAAGTTATATTGTGATAATCTGTTTGCCCTTTTTGTTTTTTATTACATCTTTTTTATTTCTCGATTTTTCCCATGCTTATATTACGCCCTTTCAAGATGACGATAACTCTTTGGGGTGCGAAAATTCAAGGGAAATATCGTGACGCTGTTCAACTCTTTGAGAAATATCAGCAGTGCAACAACAGGAGTAGTGCGCGTCTTTTTAGCTCTTGTGTTTTCGGCAGTTTTATCAAAGCTAGTATTGTTTAGCACAAACTTCAAAAACTCTTGAGTAACAAATGATTAAGAATAGCGGTTTCTCGAAATTTTAGATATAAGTAAGAAAAGAAGTAACAAATTAAGACAATATCCTTTTTACCCCGCCCGACGCTTGAGCGGAAAATAATAATATTGATCTTGTGAGGCCAAATTTGATGTCGACTGGTTGCTTTTGAATTTACCGGTCAACGGTTTAATCAAATATCACAATAGCCCCGTAATTCGCATCACAAAGGAAAGAACAGTAGAGCTTTACTATGCCGGAGGGAACATCGACAAAAGGCTGAATAAAACAGAAAATTTTAAGATTCGCTGTTGTAGTCAAGCATGATTGTTAACGACTCCTAAAGGCTTGTGTGCGTGCTACCTTGATCAAAGCATCCTATATAATTATAGAAAATGCTTATGGTATCAGATGAAGTTGTTAAAGGTTTCAAAGTGCTAGATTACGAGAGAGGAATCTTCGTCACCTCAGTGTTGGTCGAAGAGATCTGCATCAGTTTTGTTTTCTGATGTATGGCCCGGGTTAAAAATGATGGAATAACAAGCTTTGATTGGGCAAGGGGAAAGCCGTTGCAAGTTACATAGAAATATATGCTTGATAACGAAAAAAAACTGATAAATTCTGGATGACTACCTGATTGAAGGTATAGAAAAGTTTCTCCCTCAGTTATAATTAGCACAGAACAGTTTACTTTGATGATGTCTTCAGATATTGTCGGTTTGGATGAAAAGGAATTAACAGAAAGGTTATCTTTTAATGGGCAAACACTTGAAGAATGATACTGAATTGTCTGTCAGTTCTCAATCCTTTTGTTGACTACCTGTGCCATATAAACGCGGGATGTTGGAGAGCTGTCAGTCCCTTTTTTGTGGAGCATATAGCTTCGCAGTGTGCGAAAAGAAACGAAATGGTTTTCAGTTATTATTTTTTTTGTTCGATTCGATGGATGATAGTCACTCATTAAGATGTGAAGAAAGTCTGTTTTAAGAACTTTGTTCTCACTTAAATTGGATTTTTTCATAAAGATTTTCTTTTACTTGCATGGGAAAATTTTCCGGGTTTTCCTACGTATTTACGCGAAAGCAAGCCGTGTCTGGGAAAGCTAGAAGCCGAATGTGGAATTATTTACAAGTTTTCAGGTCTGAAATAATGAATTGCCATTCAGAAAAAATATTTAAAATACTGAAAGTCTTGTTCACTGCATAATCAGCTGCAGCCGGGTAGCAAACGGGCGACATGTTAGTTCAAATAGTACATTCAATGAACAGTTTAAAGAATCATTAGTTTCGTTAAGTTGTTTAATCTAGCTGAAACTTTAGGTTATTTGTCATTGAACAGCACCTATATTATGAGATGCCAGTCGAAATTCATCATGCTACAACACAATGATTTGATTAATTTATTGTCAGTACTTTTTGCCGCAAAAGTGTCTTCAGCGTGAGGGTAATCGCAAAAACACCAGAACGTCAGATTTTGGAAATGTTAAAACGAGAAGAAGAAAGGAAACGTGGATTGTCAAACACCGTTCGTTTTGCAAGAGTCTAAAAACGATATGGCGGACTGCAGTTCTGGGCGCGTGTCCATTGTAAAGTGAGGAAGGAAAGGTTAAATTTCCAATACGTAGGACAAATGAAAGACGGATTTTAGCGAAAAGTTCAATCTTGTGTTTGCTTTATTGTTAAATAACCCAACTGTTTTAAACGCAGACGCTTCGTTTCGGTGATGAAGGTAAATGACAAAACCTTTCTCTACCCCTTTCTCTGTTGCTCTTGTTTCCGGTCTTCTGTCTGCGGTAAACATAGCTATAGACCTGCTATCGTCACAAATATCTTGTGTAGTTCTGGTTTTTTATTTTTCATACATATCCTTCAATACTTGCCGGCAATTCCACCATGAACAAAACAAAGGATAACTACAAGCACCATGGCCAAGCTTACCAGCGACTCCATCACGCCACCTTGTAAACGGTAAAAAAAGTAGGAGGGTGGAAAGTCTAGAACAACGACGTATGTAAGTAGTGGCCTCAGAAACTTCGAACTTTCCTTAAAAAATGCAAACTGATGTACTTTCGTCGCGCGTCGCACTTGGGCTCTCGATGAAAAGGCTTTGTTTACTAGCCATGCTGCTTGAATGTTAGTGCGCATGCGGCACCGTTTGACCTCTGTGTTGGATGGTCAAGAGCGATAGACGGCAGCTGCCGCTGACCCCCCTACTCTCTTCTCCCAAAACCCCACCGTTTTTTCGCGTACACGTTTTCCGCTCTTTTCTACGGACAAAAAATGGAGAAGATTGACACACATTAAAAATGATTAACTTGACAAATTAAGGTTAACTTTTTCAAGATGTTTAGTGTTGGTTCTTAAAATCTTTGTCATGGCGATTGGAATCAGCCCAGCTCTTTCTCACAACGTGCCCCATCTTCCTGAGAGCGGAATGAAGAAAGTCCAAGGGGTATCAACAGTTATCAGTTCCCATTCTCGGGTTGTCAAGATGAAGTGGCAATCACTGTCCCTTTCGCATCAATTGTCATGTTAGGTACGCTATTCCTTAACCCTTTAAACCCTAAGAGTGACTAGCATCAAATTTCTCCCTGGAATATCACCCCTGAATGACACGTTAAGGTCGTGAGAATAAAGGAAATGATCACCAATTGGAGAAGCTTTGATTGGCAAACAAATTCTCCTTGTCAGCACCTTAGGAAATGTATAAAGAACAGTATGGAGAATATGCATACTGATGTTAGGGTATGAAAGGTTGATGACTTTCAGGGGATTGGACAGTGACTGTAAAAGATCTGCATATAAACGTAAGTCTGTTGTTTCCCTGGTTATCGAGATTGAATGATCTTTTATTCTCGTCTTCTTAACTGTTACCTTGTTTATACAAGGAGAGAAATCTCATCAATTCAGCTCTTTAACGTGAACCATTTGCTCTCTCATTTTACCTACCAGCACGACACGCCAGCTAACTGTTCCTTGCCTCTTACAACAATGTCCTAAGTCCCATTCCCTTATCATTTTTATGGCTCTATTTTGTTTCCTCATTTTATCATATCTCCTGA